GGAGTCGTCGTCCCTGTAGTAACCTAATAGACTATGCGCAGGAGCATTACTTCATGTGACCCATGTTTACATAGAGTTTCAGATTACAGTTTACAGTATTACAGTTATGTGTGTAGGCCGTTTGCAGTTAATATAAAGTAATCGTTCTGTTCTGTTCAACCCATGCATTGTTCTATCTCCTTCACATCTTAACAGTCCCTCCACTTTTCTACAGAGCATAATGAATTTTTGTAGGCAAAAGTGGAAAGAAATCTAGTCTACCATTTTGTAAGTGACTGTGCTTAGTAATCTATAAAAATAACCTTAGCTTAAGCTTGGTAACTATGTCTTTACCAAAGAAGACAAAGAGAAAATTGAAAATGGAACTTTGGTCGAAAAAGTCAGCCGTTTTCCTAGTTGTACAACAAATAACAGCTTGGCTTAGGAAATAGATCGAGAAACCTGCTCAAAAATAACTTGGTACCAACACCAAATGAAAGAGTCTTGTTTTTTCTATGGCCTACACTTAGCTCCCAAGGTCTATTTGTTGACGGAAAGCTACTTAAAAACTTTACAATAGAGAGAAATCAGCTGTTGAAGGAAATGAAACTGCTAGAAAGAAAATTTTTGTGGATATGAGAAATGAGATTTGTTCTTTGAAAGTATAATCGAGAAAGCTTCAAAGTTTGATTGTATCAGTAATCCATTCCTACTAAGAAAGAGAAAATCTAGATGTAATATTAAATTCTTTCAAAGCTCGTTTTGACCAACCCAGCTTGAAAGTTTTCAAGTCCAGAGTTTTTCTTGTTGCATAATCTTTTATTATTAGTTGACAGTGCTGTTGTTGGCTATTAGTTGACATTACAATGATAATGTTTTTGTCAAAGCTTGATTCATTTATTGTTCTCCTCCATCTCAGTTTGGTCATGGCGCCTTTTTAAATCTAAAGAGCTTGCTCATAGACATAGCGATAAAAGAAAGCATACAAATATTTCCTTAGATTTTCCATCAGTCAAAATCCAATTTAAATGCAGTTTCTGGCCGTCCCTAGATACCATATTTCTAAAATTGTTCTTGCCACCCCTAAAAACTTTAAAATTTGATTTTTTTTGGCCCTTCCACTTTGAACTTCGTTTCGCCGGCCCTGTTGAAGAGACACTTGGTGTAAAGCGTACTGTATGTTTTGTTTTACTCAAGCAAAACACACGTGCGTTGCAGTGAGGAGGGAGGGGGAGGGGTGTTCTGAAAACTTCAAGATATTACTGCACCTAACTTATCAAGAAGTAGACAATTTACGTATTTCTATTTTTTTCGTTCTTTTCATTTTCATTTTATAATATTTATATAGGTTAAAGGTTCATACATATGTTTTTCAACCTGACCTGTTTAAAAGATTAAAATAAGAGCTAATAACTATGTTATAATACTAGTAACAAAAGAAATTTACCAATCAAACCTTATTTACAATATTTAATAATACTAAGGCTATAAAAAGTGAACGTAAAGTTCGTTATGTAGCCCCTACTGCCATAATCTAACAGAACTGTCATTGATAAGAAAGATAGCTATCGGACAAATAGGAATAAACGGAACTTGCTTGAAAATGCATCCACAGCGAAATCTTATTACCTAGCAGTGATTGAAATAAAGCACGAAAGGGGCCGCCGCTTTGAGTATGTAACATGTATATCTTCAACTTATTCTTGCGCAATGTTACTTTTGAACAATGGCAAAAATCTTGTTTCGGTAAAATCTTAGATATTGTTACTATATAGATTATTTAATGTTAGTTTTAACAATAATAAATGTACACTACATTTAGACAAACATAAAGCAATTCCAAGGATTGCATAAGACAGATTACTTACTTCAAAGAAACATGCGCGCCTGTTTTTTAAGGAACCAAGTTTTAATCAAATTCTTGAATTGTGTAGTATTTTGTGCTGTCTTTATTGGCTCTTTCATAGAGCAGCTACATTAATTCAAATGCAGAAGTAGAAGAGAGGTCCACTGATAATGTACCTAGTCGCAAAAAATTCTTCATTATTCCCCATATTTCTGCAAGGCCATTAAAGGCATTGAGTCACGATAAAATGGATTGGGTATACCCTAAGTGCCAAAATCCGCTGAGTCATGATTTTCATGACTGAGATAATATTGGTTGACCTGGAACTGGTCACATGAACTCACCTCATACTGATTGGCAAAGCAATTTTCATCAATAGCAAGTTGTCAACAACTGATGCAAATATCACATGAAACAGCAGCGATGACGCCAAAACCAAATGAACCCCTATAGAAAAGGCCTATTTACCATGACTCAATGCCTTTAAGTTCCGTTTTAGCGCAGTTATATGTAAGTCCCGTGATACGAACCATAATTGCCTGCGGTACACATAAATGGAGACTAATTCTAATTGCTGATCACTTCCATAAGGCAAGCATAATCAATAAAATAGTGACTGATATCTCTCAAGGCGTTCACGGCAGCCATTCTTTATTATCATTCAAGAGATTCGATGCAAAATTGATTGATAATTTTTTCCAGCAGCGACAATCATGCAAAAAGAGAAGACAAACGCATTGATAAAGACCCATACAGTCCTACCTACCTTTTTCCAATCACTTACGTGTTCTAACTTGCTGTGGATACGAGCGAGTGAAGTTCTGCAGATGAGTGCGGTAACCCTTTGTCCAGGAGTCAAGGAGCATGCATAAAAATGATTTCTTCCATGCATATACTCTTTGACTCTAGAACAAAGGGGCTGCTTCATTCATGAAGACTACCTCTTGTTTGTTTCCCAGCAGTATCGCAGGCCATAAGCAGCCAACACACTCTACGGTACCTAACACAACTCGCCTGCCTATTTAATTTCAATTTTACTCGTCACAATAAATGTCGCACACTCTGGTGTCATTCGCGGCTCACTCTCGGTGAACACTTGTATTCACACAACATGCAATGGAATAGAATGGATTTTAAGAAAAACGAACTGAACTGGACAGAGGTTTTCGCCACTATGAACACGAAAATGCTGTACCATTCTTGTGAGCCGATCAAAAGTTTGCTACAAACCTGACAATATTCCCGTATGGCGGTTGCTATTGGCAGCTGAAGATTTCGACATCCACCAAGTGCCCTCGGGCATGTGTCAGATTTGTCATCTTCCAATCTCTTCTTTTTTTTTATCAGCTAAAATAACAAAATAGTTAAATTTCGTAAGAAAACAATACATAAATTACAGCGTAACCTCTAAGGCTGCACTTTTGTCATATTTTCTTTTAAATTTTTGAGGAAAACAACTTTCTTCCAAGACTTGCTACCCTACCTATAAAGACATGCTCACTAAAAAGTACTGACGACTCGCTCAAAGATAAGGTCTTGGTAAGTTTATAGGTTTAGTGTTCATGCATGCTCTTATGCTCTCGGGCAGCATTTACAGGAAAGCCTAGACTAAAACTATATTGGTGATATGTTTCGAATTATAGGCAAAGCCCGATTCTGGTTCTATCTAGCATTTTAGATAAGAATGGAAAAAGTGCTATTGTGCAGACAGAAGCAGTTCGTTTTACTTTAGGACTCCTCTTGTAATATTCTCAATAAACAAGCGGCACTGATTGGGCAACCTTTACAGTCGCGCTATTGTCAGACGAAAAGCTTAAGAATTTTTTAAAAAGCTTGCTTTTTCCAAGCCTTTTAAAATTTTTGTACAACCAAACAATTCTCAGGAATAGTGTTCATTGACCTTACAGTAACGTAGATCATAGCATTCACTGCAAAAATTCGGTCTTTGGTGGGGTTACCTAAATGGTATTCTATAAGAGGTTCCACAAGATTCATGTCTCGACCCTCTTCTTTCTACTTCAATGATCTGCTAAGGCAATCGACGACTCTAATGTGTGTATTTCTTCTGATTGTACGATTTGGTTCGGCTTAATAGGGTTAATTTGGGGCGATCTTTTGAAACTGGATAATTGGCTTAAAGGCAACACTCTGTCCTTGAATGTTGCAAAAACTTATTCTACGCTTATTTTAACACCAACCAACGATATAACATTCTCAGGTCTTGGTTAAACGTCGCTCTTCTCATGCACCGAACCTATTACTTAAATTAGGCGCACGAGAAGAGCGACGTTTAACTTGATTGAATTCGACTGATTTGATTGAGTGCGGCAGAACGTAGTTGGAGCGACTGACCCAGTCGGATTATGCGGCCATGGAACGGTCTCAAATTAAACGTTGCTCTTTTAATGCGCCGAACTCAATGCATAAATTACTAATAGGTAATTTATTTTGGCTTAAACGAGGCAGGCATGAGCAGGAATGATTCTTCAATTGACAAATACCAAGATACGACATGTTAAGAGCGGTGTCTAACTCCGTGTCGCTCCACAGTCGCATCGAAATGTATTCGGTTCGGCGCATGAGAAGAGCGACGTTTAGCCTAACTCAAGACTTTAAACTGCCAACATATGGTGATATTCAGTGAAATAAATTACTGCTTTGTTGGATTGAAAAAAGCATTGAAAGAGTCTTAGCAATTGGTTTTGTAAAACGTGCCACACTTTTTTGACTCAGAGAAACTTTGCAACACTATAAACAGGTATTGCTGTGTCCTATTTTTTGAAGCTGTTCTGTCAAGAGCTTCGCTGGCCTATCTGAAATCGATCAAATGCCATAAAAACCGCTAAGCTACAATGATAACGAATAACAATTTTCAAATCCCAGGCAGAGCTTTTATTGATGGTTCGGGAAAGTCGGTGAAAGAACAGTGGTTCGCAACTGGCTTACCTGGAGCTAAGAATTAAACCTTAATACTTGGTCAAATAGCAAAAGGATAGAACGTATTGTAGCGAACGACAGCTTTAAAAGTAGTAATAATCAATAATTGTATACAAAAAAATTGTTTAGCAAAATCATTCACTCGTTTACTGATGCCAAAACAGAACAAAGATTTATTCAATAAGAAAGAAAAAAGAAAGAAATCAGAGTAGCTTCAATTTTGATTCCTTTAAGATAAAAGTTTTATTTCTGTCTCTTGGATCTTAAGTTTTGATAAAGTAAATCAAGGAGGGTTTAAACGGAGATTTAATAATATGAATTTGATATTTTGATGTCAAAGAAGTCTCATGCATCATTGTTCTAAGAAACCGAGACCAGTTGCTGCACAATCTTTAGCACGATCTCTTACTTCAAAAGTAGTTGGTTAGATCTGTTTGAAGATAGCAGACAGGTCTTTATAGAGAGACTACCGAGGAGAAATCCACGTCAAAATCGCAAAAAATGACCTAATTGCGATGTCATAAGATCATAAACCGTTTACGAAACCCTGTGACAGCGCTATACAGCGTCAGTAATAGCATTACCTTCACGCTCAGCTCACAGAGAAATAGATCTAAGTTCGTAGGCTATCACGCTTGTCGATCTCTGTTAATTGCAATTAAAACAGAAATTATTTCATCTCAACGCTCTGATAATTTTAGTTTTCACGTTTCTCGCTCGGCTCTTTTTCAGGTGAACACCAAAGACTGTTGTCTAGGCACACAACTGTGCTTTCAGCGTTATTGCGTGGATCAGTCTATATTATTGGTATTAATTTGCCTGTTCACTGCTTGTCATATGAAAGGTTTACGAGCCTGTAACCTCTTAATTATATCGGTAAAGATTTATCGTATTCCGCCTACTGGCTACAACAGAGTGTCTGTAAAATACGACAGTAGCGAAAAAGAGACTCGTGAAGTAAGTCTACCTACTGGTGTCCACACAAGCATTTTTAAAGATTTCATGTCTCTCTACGTCAAAACTTACAGAAAACTATATACACTGGAAAGCTGAAAAAGCCTAAAAACCTCTCCAGATGCCGGTGGGCGCACTATAAGAAATATACGTTGAACAACTTGCTCTACACGGCCTTCGTGTATATATACAGTACAGTGTCCAGAAAACATTACGGTCGCACGGTCATGGACCGGAGGAAGGTTTGAGAAACAATAGAAATTTTGAGGAAGGTTTTGGCCAAATAGAACTTTAAAAAATAATTGAGACAACTTATTCTGCACTTGTTTCTTTGTTGCGCTTTTAAAACACGCGTTGAGTCGAATGGTGAATGATAGCACGAAAAGACGCGAAGTTTCCAGTCCACGCCCTTACTTTACTGCCAAAAAACACATCTGAAAGGAGAATGCTGTTCGTGTTCCATGGTTTTGAAATTTTTCAATGTATATTATATCATAATTCCATCGAATTTATCATTCGAAATTTAAAAGAAATATTATTTTTGAGCTGTAATGTGATTGGAATTCTAGCAAAGTTTTATCGTATGCGATAATTACCATCGACCCAAAGACATAACTTTGTCTCGATTTATTGTGTCTGTAACCCCTCATGCCGTAGCCACTCCCAAACCACGCCCTGTCCAAGGTGATTGCTTGAAAATTTGGAGGAAGGTTTTGACGGAGAAAAATTTGACCGGAGGAAAGTTAAAGGCATTGAGTCATGATAAATAGACTGGGTATACCCTGAGAGCCAAAATCCGCTGAGTCATGATTTCTATGACTGCGATGCTATTGGTTGACCTTGAACTGGTCACATGAACTCACCTCGTACTGATTAACATAACAGTTTCCATCAATAGCAAGTTGTCTACAACGGATGCCAATATCACATGAAACAGCAGCGATTACGCAGAAACCAAATGACCCCCTATAGAGAAAGCCTATTTACCATGACTCAATGCCTTTAAGGACTTTTCTGGACCCTGGTCCCGTAACGAAATTTCAAAAATGCCACGAGAGTCTATTCAAGTACGAAAACAAAATCCAATCTCTAGATACGTTTGACTGAAAATAAAACTATTTCAGCACTCGAAACATGTGGTCATTGTTTTTTCTAGGAAAATTTATTAGCTATCAAGGCATTTTACAATAAACATGAATAAAATGTTCTACATTTTAATAAACACACGACGAAATATTGTTTAACATGAATCCTAGAGTAAAATTCTTGACGCAGTTTTACAAACATAGAAATAAAAATCAAAGCATGAAAACAACAGAGAGTACTTATCAACAATTGATAATGAATGCACAGTAAAACTGTAGTTTATATTAATTATTCTGCATATTAACGCTATAACGATTCTATATACATGCTTAGATAAGATGATACTTGACATGTTTGCTACAAATGGGTAAAGACATGATTTTGCGCCAATTCTAGCAAAGAAATTCAACGGAAGATCATTTTGGTGGCCTAAACGTTATTCTCTACGACTGTTTTACATGAAGTGCTTAGTATATCAAAGTTTAGAGACTATGCAATAATAGAAAAGTTGAATTTAAAAATTTCTTTGAATCCCAAATGAACCCGAACGTCTTGCCATATTCCAGGTGCTTCTTCTACATCATTCCTCCTGATATCACATAAAATCATGCCACTTCCAACATTCAAATTCTATCCTGTTAGCTAAACTTTAACCTCAGTTTCCTAGAAGTACATATTTGTGGATGGTCACAATTATTCTGCGGTAATCATTTTTAGGCCAAGGCTAAAGCTTAGATGACGATTTTGTTCTTATTTTATGTTGGCTTTATTCTTAAGTCAGTGCTCCCAACCTAGACGTTGATCTAACCATTCAAAAAAACCCTATCTTCCCATTTGTTCATTTGGACAAACATCTGTGTATGTAGTTGATAGTCTTGTCCTAACCTGCCGTTTCCTGCTTCGACAAAAGTTGGAAATAGTGTGCCTGACAGAACTGCCAAGAAAGTCACAGCTTGCCTGTTCCTTGGTGAAGATTCGTAGCATTAAGTGAGTTTCTATAGTGGCCCTGTTACAAAACTTCCTTCTGTTGGCAGTATTGAAAATCCAACATGTAAGTGACAAAAAATTTGACAATGTAACAGCTGACAATCTGACAACACGACGACAACAGCGGACAATCTGACGAAAAAATCTGACAACAAAGACGTAAGCGAAGAAGAGGGTTCTGTATATGATACTTGAATTTGAATTTTGCAGCTTCTCGATACTGGAAACCGATCATTAGATTTGGAACTCTGCTTAACTCTTTACTGTAAAATTGTGAAACTAAGGTCTTCATGAGCATGGTCAAAAGGGTAAACAAATCGAAATAGACCCTATGGGTCGAATTGATGTTTCTATAAAAGACAACCAATACAATACATAACGCTAAACTTACTTGTACGAAAGTGTACACAACTTAAAAAATATATGCTACCTTGATACGTTCAACATTGAACTGAGTGGATTGCCATATTAAAGCTTTGGAGAGCAGAAACGAAAGATGAATGCATTAGCATGTTATTCAAAGGGCTCAACGTTTGCGACTCTTGAAAGTGATTTGCATACCATGCACGCCTTTCAAATGTCTTAGAAAGTTTCCTTTTTGTGCGAAGCCTCTGTTGCATTCTCGACAGTTGAACGGCCGTTCTGTGCCATGTAACAGGATATGAGACTTAAAGTTAGCCAAAGTTGTGAATCCTTTTAAGCAGACATCACACCGGTAAGGAGGCATACCTTTGTGCACCATCATGATATGGTCTTGTAGATACCTTCTCCCACTTACGAACGATTTTCCGCACTCTTTACACACCCATTTTGGAGCATCCTTTGGCTTGGCTGGACACATTCTGTAGTGCTTCTGGAGAACCTCTTGGGAAGCGAAATCGTGAGCGCAAAGACTGCATTGATGGCCTACAATTAGAGGACAGAGTTCAAATACCAAACATTCTGTTACACCAGCAGATTTAAATTCAAATTTTCGTTTAACAGGCAACTGCTAGAGCAGCTATGTTGGTTTCCAAAGTCATTTGCACCCAACGTTGGATTATGAATACGCTTCTTTTCTGACGTTTTAACTGACATTTATTTCCGAAATACAAAAGATGCTTCGTTTTCAATTTAGAACTACTTGCAATTAAAGACAAACTCTAAACTTGCTGTGCCCTAAACTTAGTTCTCTAAATCTAAGACTTTTAATAAAACGAATTTGAAGCCAGCAGGTTAATTTTAATATAACCAATATTGGCAGAGCATATAAGACATCCAGTCAGGCAAATCTTAGGATCAACAAGTCAAGCAGATTATCATCAAAAGCAATATGCTTGATCATGATGTTATTCCTGCTCATTTTGTATTAACTGCACGAAAATGAAGGTTGGCAATGCGTTTTTACTTTATCATTTATTTACTTTTATTTTGGGAAATGAGTGGGGGCGGTGATGAAAGAGAGAGGTGGCCGAGGTTAGAGGGGGAGGACATAAGAAAGATTCTTCATTATAATCCATATAAAACAATGGCTGCAATTTATCCTTGGAATTTGAACTCAGGTCTCTAATTGGGCCATTAATAGCAGGCAAAGTGTTAACAAAGAAAAAAATCCACGTTCAGCTTTTTACTAGTTGCCTAAACAGTGATTGCTTGGTACCGTTTGAGACTGGTGCGTATAAATAGTAACGTTTTCTCCAAACAATCCGCAACAACCAAAGTTGCAAAAAGAAGTTAAGACTGAAACGTGGAATTAGAAGAACAGAGGGAGAATTGAAAAGAAAAGAAAAGAAGGCCATCTTCGAGCAAACGTTTTAGCTAACCAAAACAGAAAAGCAGCTCCAATTTTTCGTCGCTCATACGCTCTACGACGAACACAACGAAAATCTAAACGAGGCACATTTAAAAAGGCAGTTCCGAATTGGGAGTAGAAGATGGAGACAAGGAAGTGTATATCTGTACCCTCTCTGGGAAAAGGCGCCAGTCAAGTAGAAATGTCCAATTCTATATGAAAAGAACATGAAATTCAGGTATAAAGAGGAATACTAGTTTGAATCATGGTGTGGGGTAGAAGAGGAAGACTTCTTCTTTATTCTGGAAGGCGACTCTTTACAATTTCCTGCTATTGTTATTTCAGTATTTCTGTGATGGGCCTCGTTCAGATTTTTCATATTATCCCGGCAATTTCGGTAAAGAACAAGGCAGATCTTAGTTATCGTAACGCAACTTGTTGCAGGCCAATGCTATTCAAGAAAATTGACAAGAAAAAACTTTCTGTAAAATTAGAAAACAGGACGAGGCTGTGAAAGATCCTTGGAGCTGAAATAATGTTTCTTTAGTAGTCGCAAGAAAATTATGGAAATTAGAGATTTTGTAATTTAGTAACTGATTCCTATCTTTACAAAAATTGACGCGGATGGATGTAAAAATAAATGAATATCAAAATTCGATAAAAAGGTGACGGCCGATATTTCTTAAATAATAAAAATTGATTAAAAATAAACCTGTATAGAACTGAACCTTTTAAAGAGCTAATTAGACAAATAAAAAAGCAAAAGTATATCTGCGATCACATAGCAGATAGAGTATAAAATCATTGACAAGATAATTTTTAAGTTACAAAAATTCGTAAGAAAAAGTGGCGACTGTGGAAAGCGGCAACTTGCTGTAACTTTCCAGTTTATCATACATTCGTCATAAAATAATTAACACTCTACTTTTAAAATAAAAAAATTGGCATACAACTTTTAACAAAAAGACGAAACATGATGGCTTTACTATTTCAATACATTTAAAAACCCCAAACTAAATACAATATCGATAGAAAGAAAGTTTTTGAAAACTCTAGCAAAATGACATTTGTTGTTGCGGCAGAGTTCATCAGTCGATGCCAACAGGAGAATTTTAAAAATCGCAAACAGGTTGATCATAAAGTGGTAGGGCTGGGAGCGGTAGTAGATAGGGGTAGAGCTAAGACAAGCTTGCAGGAAAGGGGGTTGATCCCAAGTAGCTTGGCTGACACTTTCATGTTACCAAGTGGCCAATTGTCAGTTGGTGCTATTGTCGTTTGAAATACCTTTGAAGGGGGAGGGGGTGGGGGGTCTTATACCTATCAGCTCATGTAAAGAGAGATACCCTTAACAGTAACTAACAAAAGAAAGGATGAACAAGTGCTTTCTTTCCTGATTCTCTCCAAAGCACAGAACAGCTTGATGTTGTCCTTTTGTACATACGGAGAATCCTCTATCGAAATGCATCCAGGAGTTTAGGAAGGTCTTTATAAATGTTCACAGGATTTAGTACTTTAAACGATGGTAGAACAGCATACAAATTCGAGATAGGCCAATTAAACAGAAAACTTCTTATTTCCAAAAAGAAGTTTTTATAAATACTAACGCTTTTAATATCTGAATAATTAACGCAACCCACCCCCCTATTGTAATGTCCCTGTATACAATACCCATTCCTTGGAGTGTGAGGGTTATGTTAACGCAAGGAACAGTAAATGGAGGACTTAGCATATTAACAGCATAGTTAATTACTTAGCGATTTCCACGAGCACATTTACATTTACAATAAACGGGGTAAAAAATATGGTGAAATAGATTGAGAGAATAAAACACCAACAGGCCACGTTTCCCTTGCTTTTCTACACTTCGTTGTGCTCTCCAAACTACGCAGCAACGCCAGCAGCCATAAGTACCAAAATGCACACACTCTCCCCGCCAAAATTATATCAACGACGAACAACTACAAAACGTCGCTTCCAGCTAGCTGCTCAAGGTCTACTGCTAACATTTACACAAAATATGAAAGGTGACTTCACCAAAAATCATAAACAGGGTTCAGTTGAAAAGGAGGTACACTGGTGGAAGAATGAGCATTGAGTCTTAGCATGAAGACGGGGCTTAATCTCGTCAGATAGAGGCTGTAGGCATGGAAACGTGGTCTGAAGTGTTATGTGTGAATCTAAGATGCAAATCAACATACCCAAAAAGCTTACTTCAAATCTAAAAATAGGGCTTCCTCTTTGCTTATATTATGAATCCTCATTCGGTGGCGCGCTAAATTACAATACTGATTGAAACTTTTCTTACAAATGCTACATTCAAACGGCCTATCGCCGCTATGCACTAGCGAATGGCGTTTAAAGTTGTTATACGAAGCGAATCCCCTTCCGCAAACGCTGCACTCATACGGCGAGGTCCCCATATGAACCGAGAGAATATGATCTTCCAGATACCGTTTTCCGCTTATGAAGGATTTTCCGCAGTCCTTGCACGTCCATTTCTCATTGCTTGCCGGGTTGCGTCGCTTACAAGACCTCTTATGTTTTTTGAATGACCAGACCGGGATCACTCGGTTACAAACTGTGCAGAGCTGGCCTTGAAAGCAAACGAGAAAACAGCGCATGAGATTTGCTGATTCTGCATTATAGATTCACACACAACAACACAGTGTTAAATGGTTTATTTGCTGAAGGACACAAAAAGTCCATCGATATTGTTGTTGCTGTTATTTTGTACGCTGTTCTCATAAATCCTAGGGAAGTAAACAGTTGTTTTGTAGGCCACATTCAGAGGAAGGCCGTAAACCACACCTGAACCTATCGCATCTGCGACCTCTCTGTTCATCCTTCCTCTCATAGACTATAGCAAAGTTAATTCCTTTTCAGTAGCATTCAGCATTACAGTTAAGTATTACAGTCAGTATTACATACAACAAGATCTTATAAAAGCTCAAGTTGATGAAATTTTTCAGTCATAGACTACATGACTCGCGTGGACCAAGAGGCCTAACTTAGTCGAATAAAAAATTAGAGGGTACGGTAAGGCCAAGAAAAGAAACATACAGAAGAATGGTAAAAAAACTTTGAAAAGTACTAATAACGATTTCAGAATTAAAAACAGGCTGACAGAACAGCAGAGCCTTAGTACGGATGCAGACTTGCAGTGGCATGACCATGATCCAGGGGTGGCTTCTCATCGGCTTAATACATTAAAAACTTTGGTACGAAAATGTCTGTCTAATGTTTGACGGTGTCTCCAATATGGTCTGGTCGGTTAATCGAGGTTCATTTAATGGGTTTTTACCGTATTTTCAAAAAGGGATTTCGAAATAACACCCAACTATGTTATTTGGGTACCCAATAAAGGTCTTAGGAACAAACATTTTGACTTACGAAAATGAACAAGAAAGGATAATAAGTAGGTTTTATTGTCGTTCAGACAAAGTTGTGGCTTTTATCGACGATGTAATTGGGTGGAAATCTTTCAAGGTCATAGAATAGCAAGGGACAAGTAAGTTCTCCAATTCAAACCGACACAATATCTGAACATCAATATCTATTTTGAAGGGCCTCCGAACGACGGCGGAACGGGGGGCCGGGGCCATAGCTCCCCACTATTTTGTAAAACAATCGAGCTTTTATGCAAAATATTTTGTTTTGGGTCTTTAACTTGCTCGTGGCCCCCTACTTTCCAACTTGCGTCGAGGCCCTTGTTACGATAGCATGTACTGCTCCCTTATTCATTTGAAAAGGTACCCAGTTGCTGCTTTTTGATATCGTTTTGAGTGATTTTTGCAAGAGCCACCCTTATTCTCTTCGTAACACAACACAAATACCTATTTTAAGTGTATGGCATTCCTGAATAATATACTCATTTCAATGCTATTTATCAGAAGCAAATTCAAAAGAAAAATAAAAAAATTGTTACGATTCGTTTTAAAAAAGAAAATTCACTCGAGAGACTAACAATGATTAAAAATAGCTTCCTGTTTTAAAACCAACCTTTAAAAAACATTAAATATTGTGGCCTAAAGAGAGGGTATCAACATGGAAAAACACACATCTTTTCTGATAAAAAACCATCAAAATAAATATGACGTAAATACAATCTGATGATATTTACAGTTAGGATATGTTGCTTTTATGTGTTTTTATTCACAATTTCAACAATTTACAATCAAATTGTTGGGAGTACCTCAAAAAAGTTCGTAAATAAAACATAGACTTGAATAGCAGCTATTCACTAACACACAATGCCAGTTTGTCTTGCAGAATTCTAAGCAAAACTTTTTCATCAATGATGCTGATTTTGCTGCTAATGCCATTTCATTGTGAATTTGTTGCATGTACTGGCAGGTGAGGGAGGGTGAGTATCCAAACGGGATTTTTTTCACCATAAAGATGATCGGGACCGTTTTTTAGAGATCTTTAAAAATATCATGTTAAAATCTTTGATTGAATCTTCTCAACTATCTCTCAACTTTTAATTATATTGGTTATATAATGTTTAATCTATATCAATTTTTTAGTTTTGATAATTTTGCTGCCTCAGATTTAATACAATGAATGGCATTTAGCTATAAAGATTTTTACGAATTTCATAGCTAAAAAACCAACAGCAAGATGGATCCCTGACCTAGATAGAAATGGCAACCGATGCACAACTTTAAATGCCACGCCTGGGCATGCATGGAATTTCTTGGGGCAGGAGAGTCTATTTGCCTATACAGGCCGACCGTATTCATTAGCACCAAACTGACCCCAAGCCTTAACATTGTAGCGGGGGATGTTCAAGAAGCATATTCAGCAACATCGTAAGAATTGTACCCTCGAAATCACTTTCGAACAAAATCAATAAATATCCAAGGATAAATAAAATCTTGATGGTCACATTTAAATTTGAGTATTGGGAACATAGTGATATTTGTAGTGTTTCTTCGACAACTTCAAGTGAGTTTTTCCATGTTTCATGAGTGTGCTTTTCTGTGCAAATGCTTTATTGCATATGGTGCATACAAAAGGTCGATCTCCAGTATGTGTTCTAACATGGTTTTCCAGAATCAGCGCGGTAGTGAATGCTTTATTACAGTACTGGCACCTGAATTGGGATACCCCTCTGTGTACGACCATGGTGTGGCACTGCAAGTAGGCGAAAGAAGTAAAGCGACTGTTGCATTCGTTGCATTTGTGTCTTTTGCTGTTCTCTCCTTCGTTATTTTGGCTCATGCACATGTTCATGTGGCGCATTCGTGCTCTATAGTGATTCAATCGTCTTCCACATTTTGGACACTGCAATGATTGGCCTAAAAGTAAAGCAAAGTGCTGAGTTGTTTCTGCATTAACAGGCTGTTGTGAGTTATTCATTGATTAACAAAGGTGCGAAATTGCAGTTAGTTGTAAAGGGTAGCCAAATAAGAGAAAATCAAATCGATAGAGAATCAAGTGATAAAAATAACAATTACAAAAAATGAAACACTCCTCTAACAGACAGGCCACGTTCTAAAGCCTCAGGTTGAATGGCATTGGCAGATATCTACTATCTAAGTTTCCCCGCGCATTTTTTCGCGCTCAGGCCCGCGTTACCGTTTTAACACTTTCGCAGCGACATGGAAGACTGGCAAGACGTTCTACTGCTGGCTAAAAAAACAGGCATCGCGTTCAAGGTGAAATACAACAGGACATGCAAAACTGAAGAAAGTAGATTTTCAAAGGTGCTCAGATTGGTAAACATTTTTTATAACGAAAAACTGACAATATCGAGATTGAAATTGTTTGCAACTTGATTATTTTATAAACATTAAAGGAATTTACAGTTACAAGTTACAGATAAATATCAGCCCTTCTGTGACTTTCTGACGTCATTCAATGTTCTTGTGACCTATAATTTTAAGAGAACACATATCAGCTGTGTCTGGCTTTCTATCTATTATAAGGCTTTTTTAAAAAGGATTTAAAAGATAGTAAGGTTTTATCCATTTTAATGTACATTTTGAGCAGAGTTAAATTGCTTATCATTTTAGTACTACAGGTTTTGCAGGAAACCTTAAAAAGTTCAAAAAGCTCAAATAAACGATAATAAATTGGGAGCTGCAGCCATATAGTAGAGTCGCCATGAGAATATCAACGAAAAGAAATGTTATAAAAAAGATAAGAAAGCGCATATATCTGACAAGAATACCAGAACAAGGAGATGGAGTGCGCAAATATACACAACAATTACACGACGCTGATATTACGCTATCAAAAAAGGAGACTGAGCTTGAACTATTTGTAAATTTCACAATTTATGCGTAGTTTACCAGTCTTCCAATGTCGCTCCTTTCAAAGCAGGTGGAAAAACTTGAATACCATAACCCATTAAAAAAAGTTTCTAATATAAATTTGCAAACTGAGAAATTTCTAAACTCACCAGGAAGAATCTTGTTGCATAGCGATGCCCCTTTCGATCTTAACCCTGTCTGTCTTCCTTAGGAAGTGTATAGTCGGAGATCTCTCTTCTTTGTCCTTCCATCATGCACATTTTGAATTTTATAAGTGGGATTTGTCAAATTGACATCCGGCAAAAAGCGCAGCGCTACTGATTATATATCCCTTTGCCTCAGCTAATTCTTAGGATTCGGTCAATCCGATGTTTCATGCTATCCAATGGCACAGTTAACGGGATGACTGAGTCAATCTGATGGTTCAGTCAATCCGATGCTTCAGTCAATCAGGTGGTTTTGTCAATCTGATGTTTCACTCAATCCAATTGCACATTCAATAGGATGGCTCAGTCAATCCAAGAGTTCAGTCAATCCGAGGCTCAGTCTATTTGATGGTTCAGTCAGTCCGATGTTTCATTGAACCCAATTACACAGTCAATAAGATGGCTCAGTCAATAGATGGCTCAGTCAATCCGATGTTCCAGTCAGTTCGATGGCTCAGTCAATCCGAAGCTCAGTCAATCCGAGGCTCAGTCAATCGGAGGTTTCAGTCAGTCCGATGTTTCAACCAACCCAATGGCGCAGTCAATGGAATGACTCAGTCAATCAGATGGCTTAGTTAATCAGAAAGTTCAGTCAACCCGATGTTTCACTCAATCCAATGGCACAGTCAATCCGAGGCGTAGTCAATCCGAGGGTTCAGTCAGTCCGATACTTCATTCAAACCAATGGCACAGTCAATGGAATGGCTTAGTCAGTCAGATGGCTTAGTGGCTCAGTCAATCCGAGGGTTCAGTCAATCTGATGGCACAGTCAGTAGGATGGCTTTGTCAATCCGATGGTTCAGTCAATCCGATCTTTTACTAATCGCTAATTTCGGTTTTTTGAGAATACTTGCCATTTGAAAAACACAAAAAGAATTGGGGGCAATATTAATTATAAAAGTCAAGAACAAAGCAACACGACGACGACAATCCAATGTAGTCAAATAGAATTTTGAACTAAATTTAATAAATACTAACATTTCGCCCCGGCATACAGGGCTTCATCAGACGTATTATTACTCATCGCGAGATTCACAGAATCCGGCAGACAGCAGCTCTGCGTTTTTTCCTTCTGACAACAATATTACTTCCTGATGTTCAGAGGGGTAAGTTATTACCACTCTTGAAGTTCTCCGTTGTAAGAGGTTAGAATGTCATCAGAGGGTAAAATTTTTTGATTTGCTTTGGTAGGAGTTGCCTGGTAGCATCAAAATGTCGGCCAACACTGAATAAACCCAAACTCTTAATTAACAGGAATCTTTGAATTTGATTCTTGGGTAAAACATGAGAAATATTCTACGATTAGCTTCATCGTTTTCTTTAATACCGAGCCAATTAAAATCAGTCATAAGAGAAAGGACTGACTGAGTCAGTCACAAGCGGCCTACATATTAAATTTTCTGCTGCTGCACGAGAAAAGTTGGTATTGAAAAAATAAAAAACGAACTAACGCAGTAACAAAACAATGAGTTCACTAGGTAAAAATAAAGCTTTTTCGAGCGTAAGAACCAATGACGAGACATGACACCTAATATTTTCTCAATTTGCCAGATTTCTATACTTATTTTATGACGAGAATGTGCGAATGATTTGAAAATGTATAAAAGATTTGAGAATTTATCAAAGATTTGGAGAATGTTTAAAAGATTTAAGAATATATAAAAGTTTTGAGAACGTATAAGAAACTGGAAACGTTTAAAAGATTTAAGTACGTAGAAAAGATTTGACTGCACATGTTCTCATCATCATAGGAACACGGAAAAAAAGGGCAAGAATGAAACATTTCTATTGCACTAAAACCAAATCTGCACTACCTAATCCTGTTTGTAAGCTTACTCAAAAAAGTTTCTATGGTATAATCTAAGCCTTGTTTTACTTAGCAAGGAATACAAGGAACAAAAATCTTGCTAGGATTCAAAATCAATAACCCTACCTTCTCCTCCAGCTTTTGCTTGGTTCTCGGGCTCGGTTGTCTGATTTGCCGATCCGGAAACATCGCTGTCTTCTTTTAAAGTTTCTCCTATACCACTTGTTGTCGCTAAAATGGTTCTATTTTCAATAGGATTACGGTTCGCTTCCTTCGTATCGGCACCTTTTTTCAACATTTGGTTCATATACTGCGAAATATTATTTTTTGCAGTCTCCCAATCACTACGATTCGGTCCAAAAGGAGGCTGTACATGTTCGACATTTGCTGATGTATCGGCGATTGGTTCTTTACTTTGAAGGATTCCGCCGGTAAAATCATGAGGGTCATACGATTTGTTATGTGTTAGATGGCTCGAAGTTTGAGCAGTACTTGTCACCTGCAGTAATGTTCCTTCGTTCTCTTCCATTTGTTTCTAGAACCAATGTAAATAAATATAGAAAAGTATATAAATATATGAAAAAATTAGAAAGAAAACTATCAGTAATGAATAATTTGCCAAAAATAGTGCAAAATAACCGTATCCCATAATCTTGGGTTGAAGGATATGTCCAAAAATGGCGAGCATGAACAATGCAACTTTCCGGAGAACAATCAAATTTAATGACAAATAATTTTGCAAAGACTGCGATACATCCATGCCTTAAAATACTTAATAACATTTCGCCCAAACATTCAGGTTATAAAGGGTAAAACATATACAATTCTGAATACAACAGATTTAAAAAATGCACAAATAAATGAATTATTCCATGCATATATAACAAACATCTCCTCCCCGCCCTTATCCATACAAAGTTGCCCGCTTATACATTTTAATAGGAAAGGTACCAACATTGTACTGAGGGGCAGGGGAAGGAGAGGACGTGCAAAATGTTAACCACTCTGGTCTAAAATTGCAATAATTTTTAAAATGATTTCTTAGAACACTTATGGAAGTTACCTGAAAAGCGTTTGTCGCCATAGTTGGTCTTCCATCTGAATTCAAAAATGACGTCCTGCCCTTTAAGCTTTGAACCTTTTTAATTCTGATTTTGTCTTTGATTTCATACATCTTTTTTCCGCGTTCGTAAGCAGTTCTCGCGTAAGCGCGTTTCTTCCCGCGAACTTTATTAGCTGTGGGTCCTCCCGTGGTTGGTGGGATTCTTGACACTGAAGCTCCTTGATGATCCTTTTTTGTTTCTTGCACGGGATAACCATCAACGATCTGAGATAAGGCAAACAATGACTTTGATAAGAATGAAAAAATAACGATAGCTAGTGACCATAAGCCCAGGGGTTTTGCTAATGGAAAATTTTAATGGCTAATTCAGCAAATTCAATTTGTTGGAATTCAATTTTGTAGCATCGTCATGAAGGCATAATGTGGGGATAGGCTGGGTCTGTATACATCGAAAACTATGTACAACAATGGAACATATCTTAGCATATTTTTAATATATTTTAACATATTTTTAATATATTTCGATACATTTTTTATATTAATTTAACATGTTTTCCATTCTTAGTGGCAATCCAATGTGTTCTTTTAGGTTATCCAGTCAAGTGTAAAAAATCATAATAATATCTTTTATGACGTCACATTCAAGAACTCTATTGTATCAAGCTTCTAAAATTTTTAGCTTGAGTGACGTACCCTTTAATTGGATAGGTATGCGCATGTTGCAATAGAGTTTGGTTGGCCAATAACGCATTATAATTTATTTTTGTCAAAAAATATACACGGAATACTCCCGTTACTGAAGCTACCCTGTTCTGTTACTACTGCCATTTACCATTTTTAATAAGTGCACCTAAAACCATCCCGATAGGTCGTCAAAATTAGATCCATTTATTCTTTTAACCAGGGAAAATGATTGTTTATATAAAGAAACAGCCTTAATTGTACAACTGGTTTCTTGAGCAACTAAATACCACCAAAACTTACAAAATTGTTAAAATTGACATTTGCTTTTAAGAAGAATAAAATCATGTTTGAGGCGAAAAAAATTTTTAAGTGTAATTTTTTAAATATACTTATGAATAAATTTCAAAGACCAAACATGCTGCTCCAGATCATTCTAAATATTAGCAGGTGACAAGATGGCATCTTAAAATTTTGGAAGGAAGTTCTTTACCGTTGGCCCCTGATGACTGCTTGAATGTGCCCAGACACGAAAACTTTGGCAATCGTTGTAAAGGATGGTGGAATTTTCACAGTGAGGGAATTCAGCACAGGCCCAACACAGAAACGACGGTCTTGTGACAGTGTAGGATGGGGCTAGTGCAAAGGCAGAGTCTAGAAAGTTGTTAACCTTCCTCCTGACAAAAACATCCCAGAAGGCAAACCTTCCTCATAAAACAAAAGAAAGTGGGCTTGGTTTGGGTGTGTCATATGAGCTTCTAATGTTTTTCGTAGACCTTCCTCCGGTCAGTGGCCGTGCAACCGTAATGTTTTCCTGACTCTGTGCAAAGGTTAATCCCACTCGGCTTTGCAAAACCACTTAGAAAATGGAATATTTGCTTATGATAGTCTCGAATAACACACATTATCCTTTGCATAACAACACTCGGTCATGAAATATAACGTCGTGCCAGTTCTTGTTATGTAAGAATTGAAAACAGAAATCTGGTTTTCTTATGTAATAAAAAAGAAGAAGTAGAAGATAAAGCGGGCAGCTTCTTGTTAACAGTGTCAGTTTTAGCACGACCCTACTGAGTGTCAGTCACGCACCGAAGACGACATAACCTGCCTAAAGGAACTCATAAATCGACCTGTGAGAGAGCAACCGAAAAGGCAAGACAAGATGGCGGTCACAAAGACTAGAGCAATCGCAATACTGATCAACGTGGCTGTCTTTCTATTGATGATCGTTTTCAGCCAGTTGTCTACAAAATCATCAGGCTTATTCCCTAAAACTCAAAGGGAAATAGCAGCATTGTACAAAAGCGAGCTAACCCCTGCAGGCTCGACATTCGCTATCTGGGGCTTCATATACATCTACCAAGCTGCATGGATCGTTTACACTCTCACCTTGTACTGGCGAGGAGATGGTAACATACTACCAACATGGTTCTATATGGCGTACTCTATCGGGAACATATCGAGCGTGTGTTGGCTTATCGTTTGGTCACGGGGGCATATCAGCCTTGCCTTCGTAATTCTTCTCATGCACGCAATCTCCCTTGATTTATGTCTGTATCTCGCATTCAAAGGAATGGAGAATTACATGAGTGAGTTTCCTAACAACGAAAAGCTTCCTAATAAAGTCGACGTCTGGTGCGTGAGATTTCTTGTCCTGAACGGCATAATGACCTACGCATCTTGGGTGTCAATTGCTACGTGTTTGAATCTCTGTATTGCCCTTACAACTGACATGAACGTCGGCATGTCACAGGCAGCCATGGGTGTGCTGGCGTTGTTGCTGCTCATTATACTGGTGTGGTTTGCAATGGAGAATTACTTTTTCGAGAGATACACCCGATTTGTTTTCATCGAGTACATTGTGCTAATTGTTGGCCTAAGTGGAATCGTCAAGAGGCATTGGACGGATGGGAGTGGAAGCCAAAGTTTTGCCCTGGCGCTGCTGGCATTGTCCGGCTGCTTGTTGATCGCAAGAGTCGCAGTTATCATTCTGAAGGAACGGAAGACAGTTAACAATGGGAGTAATCTTAAATACATCGTTCGCAGACCGGGTCCTAAATAGTACGAACAGCCGTTTGACTTGAACAATTTGAAGCCTTGTCTAGCTTACAGCAACGCTAGTTGCTGACAAAAGGAAGCTTGTTAAAAAAGGTCGACTGCAACTGAAGCTATACAGGATACATTTATTTTATTGTAGAACCTTATAAGCATGACCATACGTATATTGAGAGCTTTCCCAGTCAAGTATTCCCAAAGTATATCGTAATAACTGATTACATTTATATTCCGTCCTTCTTGTATTGTTCATTCCATATAATACCTTTGTTCTATTCAATTTTAACGGGAACCAAATTTATTCAGTTATAATGCACTTGGCATTTCAAAACCAAGTTACATTGACAATTAAAAACCAAGTCACATTGAAAAGGAAAAGTATGATTACAAAACTAGATCCCACTCCCTTAAACATGCTTTTAAAAACAGTCTTTCCTTTAGATTTTACAGGGAAAATCTTGTTTAGAGTTCTTATAATATAATATAATAATATATCGAGTTATATTTTGCACATGTTCGATTGGTGTCAAAATGCGTTTAATGTTGTCGTCTCGATTGATCCCTGCATCGAGGATGGTCTTGTGCTAAAGTTCTTTCATACCTGTGTTATACAGGCGATTTCGATATTTCCCTAGAATTAAGACATTTTCCTGGACGAATTATGCGGTATTTCAGGAAGTATCATGTACCATGAAATGCAGTGACCTACTTCATCGAGAGACTAATTTCTTTTCTAATAAATAAAAAATTCAATTAAAATTTCTTGGTTACAAAACTTCCAATACAAAACGATTCAACCTGGTGAGACCCCCACCAAAGACGGTTTCTGATTTGGAAAATTCAATTGTAACATTCTGATCTGCAACCAGATATTGGTTTACCACACATTACTCAGAACTCGATATGTTAACCACCAAAGAAACTATACTCTCATTTTTCGCGATAACGTATTTCCAGAGCCCACACAGTCTGATAAAACTTACAACTTCTAACAAATTGGCGGGACAACAAGTATGGCTACGAAAAAACTGTCATTTTGAAACGATATCTCTGCAACTATCAAAGTCCTGTTTCTGAAAATGAATGAGCAAGGTAAAAGCCCCCCCCTCCCAACCCCACCCAATTCCTAATTATATTATCAATACAACTCTGCTTTAATCAATATAATTCTCTAAACATTCTTTAAGACAGTTGCCTAATGATCGCATTAAGCGTGAAACTTGGAGTAGCAACTTAGTACCGTCCTGTTCTATACACCAAATAGCATCCACAGCTTTGCCTGTGCGGTATCGAGCACCTTATGACAGACCGGTAAACAACAATTTTCATTAATTTTCTAATCAATACAACACTGCTTTGTAATATGAAAAGAAACGTAAAAGAAATAAACGTCTCGTCTGATTGTACTACTAAAAGATTTGATAAGCTTTTCTCATTTATCCAGTTTACGATTCGATCAGGCAGTACTGTTCTCGCCACTGGAAATGAATCAACTTTACAACTCAATCATAGTAAAACATAGAACAGATGAAAGGAAAAACCCCAATGTAAGATGGCAACGTACAACTGACAACGACTATCTAATTTTTTAAATGTATGATTTGCATTTGAGCCACTGAGCCACGTTATTTCTTTTCCTAACTTTATTAGTCTTCCATCATCACTTTCTCTTTATCATGGTATTTACTGTTGATCATACTGAAGGCCTGAAGGGTCAAGTCGGTACTTCCTAATAAAGTTTCGAAAATTTTGTCGAAAAAATAAAGGAAATCGTTACAAAAGAACTTTGCCCTTTCATCACGACCCCTTTGAGTCACGATCAAGACACATGGAAAACCGTTTTCAACTCTAACATGCTTCTCTATCAAGGCCAACTAATAATTTACTTCAAAAATCTGATTATAACTCTCAATAAGCTGATAGTAATCATAGAGAATAAACATACAAATGACAGAGAAATTTTGCCTTACCTCTTCATCTTTGGTTATGTTTTCGCTATCTTCTTGGGTACGTTGCAGAACTGAGAATGAGGCTGTTTCGTCTTGTCCAGGCGAGTCTGTGTCCGTTGGATTATAACTTTTTGATACAGTCGTTTGATATGCTGGGTATGTTCGCTCTAGAAAGCAAACATGTAATAAGACTGGAGTTTTTGGTGTGCAGAGGCGAATGCGAAGGAGTTCAAGAAGCCCTATTCTTTGATTGCTTTCCAGTGCAAAAAGTTGAACATTGTTCAGGTAATTATCAAATAATTAACGTTATCATATGGTTTGATCAAACACTCTTTGTAAAAAACAAGCTCCAGTTATCGTCATTCACGTGCTGTTATAACTGGGTGGCTTACCTTTGCAAAATCTTAACATCGTTGATAGCTTGCTTCATCTACTGACTTTACAACTAGGGATTTTGTGTGATTTGTCGCAAATTTGAATACAAAAATATTAACGACCATAACTTCAACTTGATTAATCAATCATACTTATTATTGTGATCAAATATAAGCGCTGTTTTAGGCCTACTAGCAGGATGGGTCTTTACATGGATGGTGGACAGTCGATGGTAAACAATCACTTTATGCCATAACGTGGAAGAGATGTGGTAAATAATGAAGAACGTCTTATCACCAAATTGATACCGATGGTGTTGATGTTCTGTAGTCATCACCTTCCCAACCCCTTGCTATTGAGCTCCATACGCCCAAGCTTTAATTGGAGAGCGGATAAATAGAGGAAAAAATAACAAAAAGGCAAAAAATGGACCAAAGGACCCTATAATATTTCGGGACAATAATCTTAATTGAGTTTAGGTGTATATGTGTGCCATCCATAATGAGTTTAGGCTATTTTCTCAACAGCTGTGTCCAGGGTAGGAAAAGAACAACATTCATAAACAAGTTGCTTACCGTCTGGAGCGGCCGAAGCTCCATAATCCAGTGTTGTAGAACTTTTTATGAATTGCTCGATATCTTCGTCGCTACCCTCAAGAGTATCGTCTGAGAATGGAGACTCCTCCGCAGGCAGACATTCTTCCTGCTTCACTTCGACTATTCTTGGAGCATTCTAAAGAAAAAATGCAGAAAATCATATAAGACGTAACGAAATTCAACACACTGTCTAACAACAATCAACAATCCACAGACAAAATGTTTGGTTTTAGGCAACGAAATATATAACTCCGCATATAGTCCTAAAATTTATAATGGTCCTTAGGTCCTTGAACTTTAAAATGATGAAAGGCATACATACATGCTTTATAAGAAACGGGGTTATATCTATGTAAAGCCTCTGAAGGATAAAATAAACTTTGCAAGTACCCTTTACAACTCTAATAGTCTTAAAAGTTCATTCAGTTTTTTTTTGTGTATAGTCACATCAGCTTCACATCTGAGCACCATATTTACATAGTAGAAAAATTTCGAATCCGATAGAAACCATTCTAGTGAATCAATCCAAAGGGGAGACCTGGTGCCTCAGAGAGCTCCATTATTATTGCCAAAAAGAAACTTGCTTCAACATACTTTTATTTGATTATAGAGAGAACACACTTGTTCTTCATAACACTACACCCCTATTTTTCTGGTATTTCAAAATTTATATGCAATTCACTCACTTCGTTTGCTACGTCATCGCTGAAGTCTTTTGACCGCGCAGCCTCTTTCCAAGCTTTCCAGCACCTCGATACCAATCTATTATTGTACTGCTTTTCAGCTGCGGCTGTGTTTTCATCAGATTTCTCCGCAGAGGATCTCTCCCATTGATCAGTTGATACTGCTCGTAGCTTTTCATATTTCTCTTTCTGAAAATTAAATTGAATTGAAAACTGAATGTCTGCTATCAAATTAGAGACATTGGTATGTCTTTCTGCCTACAAGATCAATACATTCTTTCTGCATGATTGTTATAGAATCTTTTAAAACACTGGCTGACTGAAATACGATGTAATGACGACTTTTCGCCTGTTGTTAGTTGAAGGTACCCATACCCCTACCCCTTTAAATTAATTCAACACCTACCAAAATGAACTTATGGTGAAGTAAGTTTGATTATCCTAGCGATAATATTCTTTCTACTTTCTTAAATTGATTCAGAAAAGTTGATCCCACTTGAGATCACACCCTATGGAGTACGTATAGAATATGCGGTAGAAAAGTTAATCCCGTCGCAGAAATGTTGGTCCCGTGGTGAAATAAGAGTCTCACCGTTGTGTTTCTGAGGCTAACTCGAAGTGAAAGAATCACAAATGGTTACTTCCATAGGCTTCAACAGAGGGTAAAGTTTTGAAAATAACTAAAAATGGAGTCCTTTTATAGTCTCGCTCAGTTTTTTATAGTTCAGTTCAGTTTCATTTTTTTAAATTCCACAACAAAAAATTTTTTACAATTATCTAACAAACAAAATAGTTAAACTACAAGAAAATAAGACAATGCTATAGAAAAATCATACATCGGAAAGTAAAATTATTACAATGTACATTCAAGTAAACAAAGACAACAAGATAAATTGTATGAAGGGAATTTCTTAAAGAGGAGCTCTCTCAGTAGTAAAACTAGTTGAAGAGACAGCAACCCCTATTTTGATAGTATTTTATGTAAATTTGATTACTTTTATTGAGATTATGACTGTCAACTATTCTAAGATCAATTTTGGACGCGCTGAAGCCTAGTTCTCTCTTTGACACGCAAAGTCCGAGTCTAGTGCGCTTGCGAACTTTGTTGAATGGGGTGTTAAAACTCACTTAACATCTCTCACTTAACAAGGTTTTTTGATAGGGAACTTTCCAACTTTGATACTGACAGTTTCAGATGAAGAACGTTGAAGTGACTTACAAATGATGAAATAAGTTTTATCAACAATAAGCGACAATTTATTAACCTCAAGTCACATCTTTACTTTCTTCAAACCCTCATTAACCACACATTGAAGCTCGTCAAGACTTTCAGAGTCACAATAGATAATAGTATCATCAGCAAATAAGTAGAAGGCTATTTATATTTAGAGGTAAGTCATAAATGCAAATTAAGGAAAGAAGAGGACCAAGATCAGAACCTTGTGGAAACCCACAGGTAACACTGCGGTAACAAGAGTAAGATCCATTCACTGAGATCCATTGTTTTCTATCAGATGAATAAGATACAAACCAATCTAACGTAGTTCCTAAAATTCCGTAATGTTCTAGCTTCAAAAAAATATCATGATTCACTGTATCAAATGTTTTCTGTACATCAATAAATATTCCACAACCAAAATTTTTAAAGTCCTGTGATTCTTTTATGGCTTCTGTTAAAGAAACCAGATCGCGATTAACAGAATGACTAGCACGAAAGCCAAATTGTAATGAAAACAGGATTTCATGTTTTTCTAGGAATTTATACCTGCGAACAAAATGGAACAGCAGTTGGCCTTCCCAACCTTCTATTCGAGAACCCTCCGCTAATTTCTCTAATTTTAATCGCAGTTTCCTCAGATGCTATATGGTCTCAGACCACATCACTATCGTCCACCATAACTTGGCTTATAATCTCCCTTTGTCTGTTTTGCAATATCTTCTTCTGAAAAAAACGTATTGCAGCTGCAGCAGCAAAAATTCAAGTATTCCAGCTTTTACCAAGAATCGCATTATGAGTTGCACTCCTTTTGTTTTCCGTATTCGGTAAAACACATGTTTGCACAAAAATAGCGTATTTTTCGCTCGATTTTCCTGCAACGAAATTATCGGTCTTTCTTGAGAAAACATTAGCTTCAAGGACTCTTTGATTCAACCGACAAATTAAAACAAACGTCAAGACAAAAGAACTATGAGATTCAGTCACCGCAAGTTCGAAATATTGGAGAAGGTAGAGAGGTTTCGGCGCATCCAACTTAAAATGCTGAAAAGAACTCCAACCTCAATGACATTTGCTTGTCAACCGACAAAGAAAAACCTTACCGCGTTAGATTGAAATTCAACTAGATTATGAAAATTTGATTGGATATTACTAGGAAGGCACGCAGGATGCTCTTAACACCAATTAACGCTATCAGCTCTCGTGTGTGGCTCACTGTAACAGCTCTTACTTGGAAACAATAAAACGTCATATTAGGAAAGACGTCAATTAAACAGAGAAAGATCTTGTCGTCTCAAAAACCTTATCTTGCAGTGAAGGCTCGATTATGTAGGAAGAAGTGGATCAAATGGGAGATTGGAAGAAAACAGGCACTCGAGAACCGTTTCAGATAAAACTACCTGCACTAAAATTTGATGGTAAAAATGGCGCAACAATCAGTTATAAGATTCCGGAGCTCAAGAAGTCTTCACCAGCAAAATGCTCTCCTAACTATCTGCCAAAGTTGCCTAGGATTTTGTCTCGAAAAGGTCTACCCGAAGGACAAGGCACGTGTTGCACACGGAAACAGTTCGAGAGGAAAATTGATGCTCGCTTCACGCTGCCAGTGTTAATGAAGAATAGTAGTATTCAGGCATCTTCACGCGCACGAAATCAAGGCCCAACTCAGCCTAGTTGGTTCCGTATCTTGTCAATGACATCAGTCGAACGGGAGAAGAGGGACACACGAAATGTACACAGAAAAAAGTACTTGAATACAGGGACTAATATTGGTAACTTGAGCTGGTTTTCTACCTTTGATAATCACAATGGCGTTGATTTTACTGATAGAAATCAGGTTGAATACACTGCTGCCGATAACTATGCCCCTGAGGAAGAAGATGATGAAGCAACATTGGAATGTAACAAAACGACTTTAGAAAGCAACCAAGCTAGCAAGACGTACGATTCCGGAAGACAAGATATCGGTATAAGTATGTCAAATGCAACTTTAAAACGGCAGCCAACGCGTGTTGGTGTAGTTGCCTGTGATGAAGGGGTTGCTTCGAATCCAAAAAGAGAGAAATGCTGGATACCAAACGAGCAGAGAAGACGGTTGCTAGGGCCCAAAAAGATCGGTGTTAATGAAGAAAAATTTCTTACATGTGTTTCAAACTATATTCGTGACAAGGAAAAACAAAATAAAAAATAACTTCAAATCTTTTTTAGTGTTATAGAAGTTACAAAGACTATATCTTTATCAGTGTAAATATTATATTTCTTCACACAATCTTTGGATGTCAATGCAAGATGATAGGCAAAAGCAACAGAATTCAGGAATTTCAAAGCATTATGTTGGATAGTCTAGAAAAGCTATTTATTCGCCTGATGCAAGATAAAAACATGGAATAGACCAACACAACGGACTGCATATTCACTTTTTAACTCAATCAGAAACATTAAAAAGCAAACTATCTTCTTCTTATGGTGGTCTAAACTATCAAATAATAAAAAGTTGATTTCATGTTAGTTTTTCAAACCAGCTGTTCCATATGCGTAACTTTATCCATTTGCTTTCTAAAATATTGCTCAATACTACTTTATCAAATCTTTTACAACTCTACAATATATTGCATATTTATTTTCTTTTATCGATCCTATTAATCAATTATATCCATTTTTCATTTTATCATATAAAATAGCATACTATTATATTATATAACATATATAGCTCTTTTTATTTACTATGCAATCATGCTTTTAAAAAGATTGATTGGAAAATATATTGATACTTTTAGTGATTTATGTCTATTTCCTATTGGTTCTAGGATCTTGTTTGTCTATTTGAATACCACCTCATCAGTGGCGTAGCGTGACTTTTTTAACTGGGTATTCTCTATTAAAGAAAAGGGTGGGGCAGGGTGTGGCTCGGTGGGGCTTGGTGAGAACAGGGGATAATAGGAAGATTTAAAGGACTAGCTATTGACATTTTATCTAATTTTCTTTTTGGTTCGATTGGCAAGTACTGCACTGTCAGAGTAATACTATGATGAAAACGATACTTTGCTAAAGAACCCAACGCTAATACACTCTTCGAACTCATTCATTGCATCAAATAACCACTAACCATTTTATCAAAAGTAATTCAAATCAAAACATACCATTTAAAGTCAGTAAAAATATACTGATCGAAATATGTCAATAGTTGTTGTTGAATTCTCTAAAATATGCACTGATGTAAAGAGGAAGTAACTGTGAACACCTACTCTTGATACCTTAATACAAAAGGGCTTTCAAAAGTTCCGAAATTATTCACATAGGGCATTACATGAGTTGTAAATTGTTTGTGGTATGCAATCTAGACTTTTTCTTCAAGGAATAATCGTGATATTTTCAATACAAGTTAATGTTTGAAAGAATCGAAGGTAAGGAGATGAGACTGCACAATAATGCAAATAAATGCGCTCGAATAATTCAAACAAAATAGGCCAAAAATATAACTGAATGCACCATGAATGCATAAGGATATTATCCAAGCCTATCTGCATTTACTTTAATTCTATCACATGATACAAACAGAAGCATCCCTGATTGACAAGCAATAACAAAATTGGCATTTCAAGGGCACAGATCTGAGTGTAGTATTATGTAGAAGCCTACCTTTCCTTTCCACTTTGCTGTTGGTAGATTAAGATTAGGGGTCAAATTAGAGAATGATTATGAAACGGTAATACGGACATTGCAATAGCTTTTGAATGAAGTCATGTTTACTGTTTTCGATGCAGCTCCACCACTCCAACCGCTCCGACGTCCATTAACTGTTTATATCGATCTCATAACGAGACTATTTTGAACCAACTTTGAGGCTGTATGCTGCATATTTCTCAGCGTACATGACCTTTGTTTTAGCTGATTAACAGTAAATATTATTCATGGAAAGGAGCTTTTGATTGGTCGAATTACCGTCTAGGGCATTCACTGCGTATTCATCACCGATCTCTATTCAACATGAAGTAGCTCAATCTTCAAAATTAACTTCAAAGATCTCCCAGCTTCTCTATGCTTCACAGCGTTATTGTTTCCACGAATTTCGTGATATTTTGTACTTGTACAAAATGAGCTATATCGAAGGCAACGAATTCAACCAAAATCAATAGCCCCAAAGCAATTTTAGTTATTATAACTTGACGTTGTATTTATATTTTTTCTGAGAAATATTATGGTATTCACTGAATACCTTGAATACCTGGACGCTATGCCACTGCATCTCATCTTATCTCAAGTGAACATTTATGTAATTCATTTGACTTCATATATATACACTCCCCTCACAAAAGTATTGCACCACCTCGAAGGAGGGAAAATGGCGCAAGAATTATCGAAAACTATTGTTGCGCGAATTGATTGTGTTTAAGTGGCGAATGGGAGTGTGTCGGAAGTGAAACAACCACCAATCAAAATTTCAATCTTTTTAGAGCACTTTTTTTAAAATAACAGTTTCGAAACGTCTTTTAACAGTTTCAAATTTTAGTCAGCAAAATTTGCAAACTTTTCCCGCCGAAATTTGCTATAAAATATGCCCATTTCACCCAATTCATGCATTCAAATGTTTTGTATTGTAAAGTATTGACAAAAAATGCCGCCATTTTGAACAAGGTGGTGCAATACTTTTGTGAGGGGAGTGTATATATAGAACCACCAAGCACGGGATCAGGCCCCAGGGCAACCAATGCCTGTAGGCCTGATATAGATTTCAGAAAATGATAATAACTATAGATTCCACAACTATGTGCTACAAAAACTTATCAACATGTTTTACCTGCAACCTGTGGAATGATCATGTTGCAATTGAAAATCTGGCATGAATTGCCAGTTGCTTTTATGACAGCTTTGTATTAAGAGTAAAATCTATTAACAAACAATTTTCTTGCTTGTCAGCATAATACTGCCAGATTAGCATATACAAACTTTTAGGTAAACTTTCCCATTCTGTCATCTAGATTTTACCGATTTATGCCTCAAGTATCATTTCCAAAGTTTTATTATTTCTTGATAAGACTTTAATTGATAATAAACTAAAGGAAGTTTGCAACTAGCTACAAGACTCAAATTAAAGACTCCATAGCTGAAATTTTATAAGCTAAGGCAACCAATAAAGTTATAAACAATAAATTGATGTAACGTTTATCATGGAGTACAAAGCCATTTAAAGGCATTGAGTCATGGTAAATAGACTTTCTCTATAGGGGCCATTTGGTTTCGGCGTGATCGCCGCTGTTTCATGTGATATTGGCAACCGTTGTTGACAACTTGCTATTGATGGAAACTGTTTTGGTAATCAGTACGAGGTGAGTTCATGTGACCAGTTCAAGGTCAACCAATAGCATCGCAGTCATGGAAATCATGACTCAGCGGATTTTGGCACTTAGGGTATACCCAGTCTATTTATCATGACTCAATGCCTTTAACAGTTTATTTAGTGGATTTTGGAAGCGGAGAATGGAATGCTCTTGCATAAAATACAACAACTTGCAATAAAAAGAAATATTAACTGGCAATTCAATCCCAAAGCTGCATACTACAAAAATAAAGAAGAATATGTAAGAACTTGATTACCTCTTTCTCCAATGACTTCACTAAATTTGATACAAGCTCATCTTTTTGGCTAACAGACTTCTCAAGTGTATGAAGCAACTCTCTTAATTTGTCAATTTCTCTTCTTAACTTCAAGACCTCTGGTGATGGTTTGCTAAAAATCATACAAAGAAATTATTAACAAAAGTCTGGAGTTAAGGAATGATAATTATGGTTTTCAGGCTGGATTTTAAGAATAGGATATGTTTCAAATCACATTAAGGCAAGTCTATCTTGGGTTTTGTGAAGAATTCAAAAAATACAATGTTTGAGTGATTCCTGGTGAAGGGTGCCTCTAGCCAGAAGCTCAGTCCCTCTGCACAGCAAAATTGCACATAGGGAATTTAGCTAGCATAGCCATAAAATACATGGTACAAATCAAAGATTTTTGTCAATTTGTCAATTTCAAAGATAAAGTTTTTCTGTTATCTTCAATGGATTTTGCTGGAAATATACAAAGAGCCAAAGAGAAACTACGCAAAATCATATGTTGCCTGCCTACTCAGAGTCATAAAATTTGTGGCTCAAAAATTGTTGGTACTTTGTAACATTTAAGGTGTTGGATAGAATTAATAATTATAATAAACATAATGACAAGGCAAATACTAAACATTATTTTGACAGCCTTGAGTTTACTGAAGCTGCTAAATGGGAAAATAACAGTTACCTTTGTATCTCACTTAATGTCCTTTGCTGCTCATTTTCTAATGAAGATTTGTACTTGATAAATTCATTCTAAGAAAATAATATATAAGAATATGAAAAATCAAAAGTATAAAGGGATAAACTTAGAAGATTAAAGTCTTCAAACTACTTTGAAGGAACGCTGAGGTTTGATTTGTCAAAAAATTAAAATAGCATAAGAACATGACTAACCCCAGAACAACTTAATGTTGTGTATTTTTAAAAATTTGGAGAATGATTTCATCGTATAGTAATCACTCTGCTACTAAGTATGCAAAACTGCTAGTTAAGTGGTCTTCAAAACAATTTAGAGTAATGAAAATAGCAACATTAACCTTTGGCAAAAACTGGTTCTAATGACAAAATATGTTTTGTTCTAACTTAAGGATTGTTAACTCTTTAGTTGATTACCGCAACCATCAATAATCTAGCAATGACATGAAGATTAAATATATCTGTCTAAAAGGAATGAATGAAAAAGTGTGGTATGCAACATAAATGGCTCTTTTGTGATGATCTTTCATGTAAGACAAGCTATGTAAAATTTGGCTTGACAAGAAAATCTTCCAAACATATTGTCTTGGGTTTACCATTCAAATGAAAATAATGTAAAAACATATGTACAAGCTTCTATATATAGATCATTTGTTTTAACTTCATCAACTGCTTTTCTGCAGTGGTGTAGTGGAAAGGTAATGCAGCAAAATGCCCTTATGCTTCCTAAAATGTTTGAGCTGCAGCATTATACTACCAACCAGAGCAAACAGTAGGGTTATGCTTCTTGAATATCAGTATCATACCAGATATTAGCACAACAAACCAAGCTATCTTTTATTTGATGATGTTGCAAATAACTATGTAGGCATCAATACTTCTCTCAACCAAGGTTCGAGTGAGTATGAAAGTGATCAAAGTCATTTGAAGAATTTGCAATTGCATTTTGGACATTTGCTTATGTAAGCAGGCATTCTTAGTCTGAAGGTCCTTTTTCACAATTATATGCAGTACCGATATTGATATGGTCATTGGTCAAAAAAGAGAGCCAGATTATAGAAGAAGCAAGTGAATATGGCTACCTAAGTCAGCTAATGATATCAAAATCGAAACAAATAAGATAACTAACAGAAGAACAGCTACAGAATGACAAAAATTTGGGCAATATGTCGATTCATAAGAAAAAGCAATGAATTTCAAGAAAAGAGCAATGGATCGTGCAATACTACTGGAAATCGCATATGGTGCAAAACATATCACTGAGTGGATACCAATTTTAATTAAGTGGATGTGAAAGACTTAAAAAGGAACCAAAAGAAGGGGAATTTTGCATAACCATCTAGCAAACTGCCTAACCAAAATTTTTAAAATTCAAGTCATGAAAGTAAAGGCCACTGATAAAATTAGGTCTTGGGTAAATTCAGGCAAATCACCCGAAGTAATGTTTCAGAAAGCATGAAAAATGCATGGTCAGCAAAATTATGACCTTCAACTTTTCAAATCTTATGAATTTATCAGAAAGAGCTAACAAAACTGAGGTAAATACTAAAATAGCATTGTTTCCTGGCGTTATTTGACCTGCTGAATAGAATAAGATGCAACTCTTACTTTAAAATATCACAAAAAGCTTTTTTGATTTTGGTTCTTGTACACCAGCCAGCTGCATGAAAAGTCAAAGCATGCCACTCAAACCAACAAGCAAATATTTTGGTCGATGAGGCAAATCCGTGCTTGTGGGCACGTTAAATTAATCCCTGGGTTCAATGCAGAGATGTCTTAAAAAGCACAAAATATGATATTTTTCAGAAAGGAAATAATTAAAAGCTATTTTTGTTTTTCAACTTTTGCATTAAACTTCCTGAAAACTTACAACTACACCACTGCTTTTCTGGTGGAAAGTACATCAAAATTGACCCAATGTGTTGCTACATATCTTTTTTCAAATTGTATAATATTTTCCTGACATATCGCTACAAATCACAAACTTTGCCATTGCCTGTTCTAAGTGAAAACAAATGAATGGCTATTTTGATAAAATTAGGTTAAAGGAGGCAAAAATAGAGGAACGCCATACTAGCAAGTGGTTCTTATAAATATTTGTGCCTGGCTAGCATGAAAGAGCTTTATACCTATTAGTTTTACAAACTTTTGGCTCCAAGTTTGAGAAAATTGTACCAAGATAAATCATAAAGATAAAAGAGTTATGAAGGAATGCCTACTTTTATAACAGAACTTTTCAAGCCTCTACAAAAGATTCTGGCGCATGTACATATTTATTTGCATTTTTCAAAAACTAAGAGCAACTTCGTGAGCTGTTTGCATCTTCCTTTGCAATGAACAGAATATGCAAACACATATGCTCAATTACCGTAAGCGACCCGCACTTGTGTCTGGATGAGCATGATCCGTGAACTAGGCTACACGACAGAAAAGTCATCGTTTTACGGGAGGAAGAATGCTTGTCGAAAACTGAAAGTGGTTAACTTGAAGTTCCTTTAGACAGTCAATTAGACATGAACACAACTTAGTATTTGACAAGCATTCCTTTCATTCCTATTCATTAAAAGATTACAAGGAATAAACTGAGATCGAAAAAAGGCCTCCTAAAGGGCTGCAAAGGCACTGCACCTGAGCGACGTGATTTCTGGCGATTTAAATCAACATCATGGAGGATGATAATAATTACATTTATCCGAAGCAAAATTACTTTAGACGGTGGGAAAAGATTTTCAAGAAAATTATCAAAATGTCCCACTTTGCCCCTTTCCACAAAACTACCTGGCAACAATGACATCTTAGTTATTGTCTACAAATTGCTTTCAGTGAAGATCGGGTTGTTTACCAGACAAACGGCCTTGTCTACAAAAGCGAAAATAAAAGGACATTTGTTTGCGAAATTTACCACAACTTTAACTCGTAAGTCCTTGCACCAAGACTCTAACACTCTTTCTATTCTCTCTGTGCCTTTCTGATATTGAAGATGAGCAGAAGTGTCGACGATGATTACATCGGCGGCCGCCATACCTTTGGTCGACGAACGGAGAAGAAGAACATCCGATTTTGCAGGAATTTCATTCAAAATACAGCACAAAGGTGAGACAATGAAACGAGACAAAAGGAAAATCTCCCAAAACAATAAAGAACAATAGGGTGAAAATCACCAAAGGTGCACCGACTACTACTGCGCATGCGCTTTTCTTGGCAAGAAAAGAAAACAAAGGAGACAAAAACATTTCATTTTCGTTCCACAATTCTAAGATATTTGCGGCTAACATTTCAAACAAAATGTTATAAACTATATAACCTTTTGTTATGACAGACTTCCTTCGTAGTCGGGCTTTGAATGAAGAACAACAGCGCGTTTGCCCTTTCTGTCTGGCTTTTCGTGTGGAATGTGCCCCATGCAGACAGCCTAAATTCAAGTTCAAGTTCAAGTTTTCATATTTTAAAATTCCACTACATACAAAAGTCTGACAACAATACAACTAAAAACAATAAATACACTAGTAATTAAATACAACACAAATTATACATACTACTGAAATGGACTTTGTTAGGGAGAGGAATTTTTTTGAGGAGGAGCTCTCTCAGTAGATAGACTAATCGAGGAGAGAGCACCCCCTAAGCAAAGAACCTTATTATTAATCAAATTTTAACTTAATTTGAATTGGTCAGAAAAGGAAGAAAGCTATTTGATAGAGATATTCAAGACTGGTAATTGGTTGCCGTAATTCCCAGGTGCTTGACCACTAAACACCCAGGCTGTCCAGGGCTTAAATGAAAATCCAAAAGGGAACACTAACATGAAAACTAAAACATACATATTTTTAGGCCATTTTCAACCTGCCACCATAAATTAGAGACGTTGTTTCACTTTTCTTGCATAATGTGAAAGTTGTGCTCTATGTAATGGTTTGATACCATGGCTGGCTATGTACATATATGTTTGTAGTTCGTTTTGTTATCATCTACAGCGGTCCACGGAGATTGGGCAAAATCATCTAGGATTATAGCAATTTAATCATAGTCTTATGATTTAATATAGAAGCGTTAGGAAATATGGCCTCAATAGACCTACTCCATCCTCTTAAAGTCTGCCACCAGAGAATCTCAAGACACGCATTAGAAATCTCTCGCGCGAAATATCTAAATGTAGCGTATAGGGTTCCGCCTTAAAGATTACCAGGGGCTGTTTTATGTAGGCATGTTTTAAAACCCGCGCCACTGACCACACCCTATGACCACACCCGATATACTTACATTTCTGTTATAAATTCTCTGTTGTGGTTAAAAAGTCATTCAGACGTCTCAAGTTGACTGATAGGAAATTGCTCGTTCACAGAAAATCAAAAGTATTGTAAAGTAATATAGTGTTAACAACACATAATTCGTCTAACCAAACATGTGCTCATTTGTACCTCCGACCTCCTCCACTAGTGAAGAATTGAGAATACCTATGATTTAGACTGAAGTTGGGAACTTGATTGGATGGCGAGAGCTTCTAACATAACTAAAACATTAAATAATTTGAAATTGAATTTGTTAAGTATTCTATCAGGCTCCAACAGGCCTCTCACATTTCCCTAACCAAAGTCATGGTAGGGACCGCGAACTGACTAGAAGTAAGGAGGCTGAGATATGGGGCTCAGGGGCGTGCTGCTAAAAAAAACTTGGAGGCCACGCCCTTTAGTGCGCTGAAAACACCCCTTTCAGAAGACGCTTTTCTCCATTCTTTTTAATAAACAGTTCGATTCAGAGAAGATCTCATTTACTTTGTGAAGAGGTGATTAACCATTAAGATAATTATAATCCAAGCTGACCAATTTAGAAAATGCATAAATTATTCATTAACAAGAGAAACCACCGAGAAGAACTGCAACAGAAACAATAACAATGTGGAAAACTTTAAATTCACCTTTTTGCTAAAGACAAACCAATAAAATGCTATCATCGCAGTGATGTGTGATAATACAGTACTGAAGAGATGACGGGGAAAAGCTCATTCATTCGTAGAATTATTAGCCTGCGTGAAGACTCTACGGAGGAAAACCCTACGGAGGAGAATATGCATGTAGGCTATAGATTTTAATTGAAGACGAGATGTTGATTTTTGTAAGGTTATTTGTGCTCGTGATAGGCGATCAATTTAGCCACAATGAAACAGTTGAACGTTTAATGTACTTGCGTAGGTGGATAAAATAATTTCTTACCCAGATGTAATTACACTCTATAAGAGTTTTATCTTTGTTTATGATTCAAAATCGACTAACCTGTTGTTTAAACGCCGATGTATAAGTCACTTTTGTACTTAGAACAACAATATAAATTGTAGTATTTGACATCTCTTGAATCGATTTCTAGAATCTCGAAAAAGCCCTTCTTAATGACATTGAAGTGGCCTGAATTCTCACAACTGGTCACTGCTCTTTAAAGATTGATTCAGCCTACTAGACTCCTAAATGTCACCACATCTATATTGTTTCTTCAAATGCATCAAGTAGGAAAGTATTCAAAAAGATCAAAAACCATCTTTGAAAATGAAGGATGCTTCAATCTTTCTCAAATTTGTTGTTTTCCTTTGATGCTGCCAGCGAGCTAGGCCTACTCTTTCCACAAAAGTTGCATCAGGATTCATTTTAAAATTCGTACTTATTTTTCCCTTTTCGAAAATCAATTAGGTCAGTTCACTGATTAAAATCTCCCCATTCAAAATCCGCCGAGAAAGTTGAAGAAGGAAGATGCTTTTATTAGTGGATGAAATCTTAATGTTATATGATCGGCCACATTTCCAATACAGACTTGATCATACCAATTGGAATTTAAAGAACTAGAATAAGTTTTAGTTTTTCTGGACTTACCATAGCTTGAAATCTGAAACTAGGATGGCAAAAGTGAAAACTAACTCATATAATTTTTTTTCTGCTTTAGAATTTTGAAAAGATTCATTCAGTAAACATTGTTAATAACTATGTTTGATAACATGCTATATTTAGAAATTATATTTTTTATCATCAGTTTATGATAATGAAGAATAAGAAAAGTTCGTGGCTTTAAACTTATCATAAAATTATGCTTAGGAAAAACAACTTTCTTACAGTCCACTAAATTGGAAAACAGAAAAACAGAACAACTATTGTTTTCCTTCGTCAATACAGACATATATTAAGCATATTTAAAAAAGTTATTGTTGGCACATCCGTGGAAAAACTTTTTTATCAAAGAGAAACATTTTTGCAAACATAGCTTAGAAATTTATGCCCTAGAAATCAATCAGCAATTCTTTGCAATACAAGAAAGATAGCCGCAATGCATTATGACAAACTAGAAAGAAAATGACCATAGCAAATATGACATTCATTAATCTGACTAATGAATTTCATATAACTGATTTTTTACAATAGAAAAACCAGATTGTATTCTGGCGCTCATTTTTTACAGAGTTGCTTTCGGTAAAAGAGTTGATTTTCTATGCCAACCAAAGTTCTAAACAAAAAAAGCAAGCCAGTCAAAGCTGCATTTAAAAAATAAATACAGCACTTAGTACTGACCAAATAAGATTCTTTAGATAGCAAGTTCAGTGTGTTTCAGTCATCATTAATAACTTTAAGGAGCGTGGAGCATAAATGTTCTGTGTATCAATCCATTAAGCCAAAATTGGCTATCGTCGGTGCCTTTTCTGTTGTATTGGTTGTTTCAGCAATACCCGGGTGGAGCATTCTTCTCGAAAATCTTCGAGGCACAGGAGTCTCATGTCAGCCAGTTACCACCAAGAAAAGTTATACTGCGAGAATTCTTTCAGATGACCATAAAATGAAAATTGTCTTTCTTATTCCTTGACCAGCATAGGCAGAGACAAATTCGGTCGTGACGAAATTATGTATATTGCCTCATTTTTCAGAAATTCTTCCCAGTCGACATACCTGAGACGAAAAATGAAATGCCTTGAATTAAATTCTGCTATCATATCAAAATTCTGCCAGCCAGCTTCAATTTGCCCACTGGTAGTCGATAGAGGAACTACAGTTCAAAGGTTAAGCCCTCAACTCGGAACCTAGCGGTTTGAAGATGAAGCCCTCTATCCTCCTGAGCCAGGGGTCAGGAATGGCAGCCTCTGAAATTGGCCAGAAAGCCTTATTGCCTTACTTAGTTCAAGGGTTTATGCTATCTTAAAGCCAGCTGCTCAAAATCTCTAGCAGTTTTTCTTTAAATAGTTTTTCTAATCAAATCTTGAAAAATTCAGCGTCTATTACTGTTTGAATTTGTTAGACAGTGATGTATGGGACACAGAGCATTATTTCTCAAATTCAATTGGAGAGAAAAGGGAACGGAAGTGACAGTCTTTGGGGGGAAAAACACAAACAAGGCTCTAAACGTTGCATCTTTAAAATAACTCAGGAAATCATTGCAAAACTCGTGGAAGTTGTTCAAAGTATTCCTTATTCAAAGACAACAGGATTTTGAAGATAATTAATAGAGAGTGCGGGAAAATAACCGACACGAGCGAGGCTCGAACTCACGACCCCTGACTTTGTACGTCAAGTGCTCTATCGCTGAGCTATCGGGTCGTGCTTTCAAGCCTTATTCCTTATTTGTGACTAGGTGTTTCTTAGACACTATAAGCTAAGCAAAAGAGTACTTTACAAACCTGTTCCTGTCTGCATCTGCTTCCATCACCAGCATTGTCATGTTGTGAGCATGGTTCTTCACTGTTTCTTCACTCAATGATTTGCTAAGGGATCGATGCCTGCCATTCACAGTATCGCTGCTCAAATAATAAAGAAAGCTGCAATGTACATGACACGTACTTAGACTGAGTTAAATAGGAACAAAATAGAATGAAATTAGAATTATGCAACACAGCTTTACTCAATAGGCTTACACTCAACCTAAATGAATACTGGTGACACAAATTTCGGGAACCAGAAATATACCAAAAATAAAACTCGTTTTTTCATTTCTTTGCAGAGTACACAAAGAACTGGCTTGGTTTCAAATTAGAGCAAAATTCGAAAGATTCTTGAGAAAAGTTTTGGAGAAAACCCACCCAGAACATATTTGTCAATACTACTAGTTAACCATTTTCTAGCCTCGTGTATAAAGAATTTGTGAAAATATTATAACAGTATGATATGACGTTACTAAGAACTGAAAATTTTCACTGTTCTATTATAGACATGTTCTATTTGATGCAAAAGCTTTAAATCTTAATCGTATTCGTTTTGATTCCTATTCATAGGCACTGATAATCATTCACCTTTTCATAGAAATTTGGGGAATTTCACACTCCCCCTAAGGCCTACAATCCCGGACAAAAATGTTGAGACAAAATGCAATTTTTGTAATTTTTCTACATTACCCTGCCCCTGTAAATTCGAATCACCCTTTTCCCCCAAAGCAATTTGAAGTTGTAGTTCTATAATTTTTGCTTCAAAATCATGCATTCAATATTGAATTGGGGGCGGGGGAAAGCTATTTCTCAAAGGAAAGGGAAAACATAATGTCTCAACCATTTTTGTCCGGGATTGTAGGTCACATATTTTAAAGGAACACTATTGCTTAGAATAGCTGACACGTGATTATACTAATCGATATGCCTTCTATAATCTGAATAGGCCCAGCAGGTTGGAAAATTGAACACATCATGATGATCTGGATCTCAATCAGGTAACCGGGACACTTCAAGCTGGAAAAACATTCCATTGATACCAAAGTAATGTTACTTAAAACACAGTGAAGATGCTGTCTGCCTTGTATAACTGCAAAACTCAAGGAAGGACATAAAGCCTATGTTTTTGGCTTCCTAGAAGGCATTGCAGTCACCAATGGATAGTCATTATCAGTAGTAAATTTGAAGTTATGCAGTTTTGTCAAAGCTGTTAGAATTTATTTTCAATATCAAATGATTATGAGTACAACATATTCAATTTACATGCGATGGTTGATCGGCTGATATTGATGGAATGACTCTGCAAATAGGTATAATAGGTAGAAACACTGATATGCCTAGGCAAAAAGCACAAGTCCCTCTCTTATCATAAGGCATTGGCACAAAATCCTCACCAACCAATCAAAAACCCTTACACCTCCGTTTTCATTTCGGGTAATCAAAGGCCTTAGTGTTTGTCGAACTGCGGAAAATACAGCATCCCAATCATAATTACAACCAGCATCTACGGGTGGATTTAAAAACGCAATCTAAATAAAAACGATTATTTCGGCTCTCGGTTTCAAAGAAAATCAGTCACCAGCTCCATAATGATTGTAAAATTTCAGAATACTTTTTTAAAATCAGAGTTGTTAATCCGAGTACAAACTGCATTACGTTACGTTAGGTAATTCTCATTCAGAAATAAGTTTTGGGGCTTTATCTTTAAACTCAAATACACGATAAGAAAATAAAAAAGATTGGAATTGCTTAAAGCTTAATGCTTTAAAAAGACAATAAAAATGATATGTATATGGGTATGAAATAAGACAATTGTGTAAGAAAAACATTTCATTTTCCTTCCACAATTTTTAGATATTTGTACTTTCTGTGTATTGCTTGCCCCAACCCATCAGGCGACAATCATCATCATAATAACCGCGGAAGGCTCGAGAATCCATTAAACATTCTTTCATGAGACAAAATGGAAAGCAAGTGATAGTTGGAGAAAATAAGTTCAAATGTCAGGTTTTATGTCATCTTGGCTCGGCAGCTGTACTTAAATGAAAAAAATAAGAGCGCTTTGAAAATGTTGATGGAAAATATTTGCGTCTACAGCTGCTTTAATGCAACTATGTCCATTATCTTGAAAGCATATCCTTTTAACGTCCAAATGAGGGAAGCAGATGCCCCTCCCACTAAAATTATACTTCATTGCTTTGCCAATTGACGATCGTTTTCTTATCAGAACAAATGGTTTCTTAATCGTTTCTCCGAGCTCGATCTAAAAGCACAAGTATGACCCCTAGAAAGATCTCTAATCATGTATATTGAGTTTCTCTGTCCGAGGCTACGTCACTCCATAATAGGATAATGCAAACCAAATCTACTTACGAAGATTGGTCCTTGATTGCAAGTTTCCCAAACCAATCAAAAAAAGCCTTTTGCGCCTCATATTCTGTTATTCTACCGTCATTATCAACATCGAGAGCTTTGAATTTGTCTCTTACATTTGAGACCTCCTTGGGTGACAAAATGGCAACCAGTTCTTCCTTAAATTGTAAAAATAATAAGCGATAATGAACAACCTATGACGTGCTTAGTACAAGTAATATGCAAGAGAGTAACAGCTTCCTTACAACATCCATGCAATACCTTCGATAGCTGGGGACATTTATGCAGCCTCAACAGGAAAAATACTTCTAAGTTTATCAAGCAAAGCTACCTTTGAAGAGAGTTAAGGGACCAAAGCTGTTTCAATAATTACGAAATCAGGTCAATCAAAAAGAAGACATCGGACCTGGCTGTATATATCGATGAAAAACTAGAAGGCCCTATTTGATCTTCACTCGACGTAAATGCCGTTCCAACTTCAACTTGTGGCCACATTTGCCCGAAATTGATGAATAAAACAGTTATTCGTGAGTGATGGTAGAGCAGGATTTGTGAAATTAACGGAGAGAAAACGTGAGCGAATAACGAAACTGGGGCAGGACTCGAACCCGCGACAGCGAAATTGTAGGTTGGTTTCTTGTTAGTTCATTGGAGAATGATATGCCAAGACGCGGATACAATTAAAATACATCTGTTTAAGGTTTTGATAAATCTGGAAAAAATCTAAGGAATAGAACGTTCTTGGTTAAATCGAAGGATTAAGCGTGTTTTATCATAACTAATTTGTGGCAGCCATCATTATACTGAATATGTTTATCTTCCTATGCATTTCATCAGGGCTAATAAAAGTCTAAGCACTGACTATTTGCAGAAACAGTCGCAGAATTTCATATGCTAATGCATCATATTCACAAGTGGATGCTAGATAAGATGAACAGTTGAAAACTTCTGCTCGTGACATTGGGCTTTTGAGAACTCTAGAAGAATGAAATCACTGACCTTGTCTCTTCTCGCTAGCATCTTGATAGACTCGTGGTTGAGAAATTCCCACCAGTCAATGGTTCCAGTCTTATCCCTATCTATCATACAGAACTGAAAAAAATACAAACCAAATGAAATAAAAATTCAATAAGTGTAAGCAACTGTCTTATCAAGTCTTCTGCTAACTTGTTTTTACTGAAATAGGTTTTTGAAGACGGCATGGAAATAAGTTCCTTGATACATCAATATTTGAAGATGGCATGGTAAAGCAGTAAAGTAATGTTCGTAGATTTACTTATTGAAATCAAAGAAACTTAGTTTATAGGAGGTAGCTTGAATCTTATCTAACGTTTTTGCTTGCAAAAGAAATTTCTTAAATTTCCTTGATGTCCCAAATATTTTTGATGCGCTAATCCTTTAGCGAAAATATGACATAGGTTGACCAGTTTTATGTCCAAAAATCGCGAAAGAGGCCAATGAAAACAAAGAAAGTAAAGTATTGTACCCAAAGACGGTTTTATTGATTGATTTTCTAATCAAGATTTCGAAAGCTTGAGAAAATTTTTCGGGGAGAAAATAACACCTTTGTATAAAGAAACCTCCAAGACACGATGGAAGGCTTGATACGAGCAGGTATAACTTCCGAGAATAAAAATATAACACCAGAGATAATTGTCAAAAATTGTATAAACGAGAAAACCGAAAAAAAAAACAATGAAATGTTATGAGTGGCAAAAAAGAGTTTTACCCAGCGAAATCATTGGTTCTTATGAGATTTTCAATGCAAGTCGTGATATAATAAGCGTATTTTCATTGCTGAGCAGCAGGTCTTTCTCAATCAGCTTCTTCATTAGATTTATATAATGAATAAATTTTTTAAAAGATTCGCGATGAAATTATATGCAAATGGCAGCAAAAGCAAACTCCAACCAAAAAATTATTTTATTCTATTCTAATCTATAATAACATATTAACATTTAATTTTCCCTATTCAGTGCAAAAAAATAACTAAAGGTGAAATTTTTTAGGAAGGTTGTACCTCATCACTTGCTAACTTCTTCAGGTCATCTGGGCATCTGTCTTTCGTTTTCTTGACAAATTGCATTTCTTTGAATTGAACATATTCCTCTAGCGATATCTGCGTATCTAAGTAGAAAAAACATAAATAGAGATCGCTAGCAAATGACGTCACAACCAAGGCTACATTTGGTTCCAGGCCTCTTAAAAAGATTAAAATTTTGTTGCTACATAGGTGCTGGACTCTCTATAAAAGATTTTGGCTACATTTGGTTTGATAAAGCGATAATCAAACATAATTTCTCTCTTACCTTGGTTTGAATCGTAGTCATCGAAAAGATCCATGATTTCGTGCATTTCATCTTCGGTCAATAACAAAGACAAATTGCTCTAGAAAAGAACCAAGACTGCAGCCATTCCAAAAGGAACTTACGTAAGTTAACAAACTTTACCAAAATCAAAAGGTGAGGGATTAAAACAGTTGTTTGAAGACTAGAGCACAAAAAAATTTTCCTCTTTTACATAATTAATACAGCTTAATAGTAATATACTTTCATTTAAAGGCTAGGCATGGAGAGAGTTAATAGGAATTCCTTTAAGATTTCCAAAAAAATCAAACGGAACAAACAGCTTTGATAACATTTCTGTTAAAAACTTTCTATCGTTATCTATTCACCTTTATTCGAATTTATTTTGCAATTTGAAATATTGTAGTACGAGAGCCAAGTTTGCAGAAAATTTTTAAAGCGAATCTTAAAATTCAATAGACAACTTACACATTTATAACACGACCACCCAATACTGGATTTAGAAATTGCGTTGGCATGCAGCCTGGCAACTTCAGCGGAAAGGTCGCCAATCTTTCGTAAACACCCTTCGTGGAAAGATTTCATGCAAACCCGGCAAGTAAATATATCAGTTGATGTCGAGTACACATTGCAAATAAAGCACACTTCATCTGATTCAAGCTAGAAAAACAATATTTATTTTAAAATCAAATAATTCGTCTTTGCATACAAATGTTTGTTCAGGACAAAACGTAAAGGACTACTGGAAATTCACATTTACAACGAAACGGTGTGTTCATGCTCTCCGCAGTAAAACGAAATAGCTGCAACAATGCCTCGATTAATACCAAACTGAGGAATGAGCAAGATTGATAGATCATCCTGTTAATTACATCAAATAAGTTTTATCAACTGATTCAACAAAACAAGAAAAGCACCTGGCAAGCTGTTACCTCTACAAAATTAAATTAAATTTCTTATGATGCTGCAAAGGTCAAAGACTGCCTCTAAGTTCCAACCAGCTAGTCCCAGCTAGCAACTGCTGTACCTAAAACAGCTAGAAACTAAAAAGCTTCTTCTGAGGGAACTAAACCCAATTGCCTCCCAAAACTCTGTTCCAGCTATTTGTGTTACAATAAGCAGAACTTGTATAAGTATAACAGCATTTGAATACAACGTTTCCCTTCTTGTCGCTACACTCCCTTATAAAATAATATTATTTGTATGAATATTCAGGCTCAAAAGCAACTAAGTATTAAGCATATTATAGGAACATTGCTCAGCTTCAGCTCGCATATTTGTGTCTTATTCTTCAGCCTGTTTTGCGATGCTAATGATATGGAATATGGTTTCTTTTCGAGGGCAGGCGATGTTCCCCTGAAACCATATCAGATTTGAAAAAAAATAAAAGTATACTTTGAGAATATATTGAGGATCAAAGCGAAAACTTCTTTAGATTATTGAGACTGGACAAAATTTTTGTGTTCTTATGAAAAAAGATTGTATCTAATGTTGCATGCTTTTGATCAAATTTTAATTCGTGAATAAAAGATACAAGGACACAGGAAAGCGCGAGGGGGAAACAGCGTACGAGATTTCCATGAAAACAAAAGGATTTCCAGAGATTTCCAGCAAAAAACAATAGGATATTCATAGAAGATGTACGAGAAATTCATGAAATGATTTGCACCTCAAGAAGAAGAATACTGTACTTCAAATGCGTAAATGTTATTAATAGCAGCTTTGCAAGAGGAAAAATATCAGAGAAGGTTAAATAAATTTCACAAAATACACATCCTGGACCAAGGATCATAACAATCGGCATTCATCAGCAACATCCGCACTTTGCTTGAAATCTAGAACGTTTACAACAGTATGTCATCCAACCTTCGTCGTAACAGGACGAGCCTTTGAAATCTCTTAAACTGCACAAGAAGATCTTTTAGGTTTAAGAACGGAGTTCCAGTTTTCTAAACTAGGATTATTATCAAGCGTATTAACTCGCTTCTTTAAAAAGAACATTGAGGGATATTGTCGGTTAGCGTTTCCCAATGTAGGGTTTCAAATACGAATTCAAACTCTATCAGATTATGCTCTAAAAGCAGCTGCTAGCCTATTGTTCCTGGCGTATGACTGACTAGGTTTGGTCGCATATAATGGAAAGACTTGTAAACTGCTAGTCAAGCAGAGCTTGCCAGTTTCCTAATCAAGCATTTGGATGCTAAGAGAGAAGAAAGCAAATCAGAGTATCTTCAACTGCTGGCTGCTGCAAGCCATTTCTAAACCAAGGTGGCTTCGTCAACACAATCCCCTTAACACCTACTATACGCAACTTTAAGATCATGTTACAGAAGTACACCACCAATAACAACTTTCACAGAAAGCTCATTCAAATTGACGAAGTGGGTGTAAACACTGGAGATAAACTACCTTGCTCTGAAGACTTTTGCCACGCTTTTGTAAAACCGAAAGGTGTCATAGGAACATTAAAATGTGCGTGGTATAGTTTCTCGTGGGGGTTGTTGCTACGTAAGTTATGTGAGTCATAAAACGAGAGGAAATCACATTTACCTAATAGTTAACGCCTGAATGCAGTTACGTCGTTAAAATTAAAGAAGAATCTTTCTATTCAAACATCCAGGGCTTCAAATCTTTCAATTTATAGCGAGGTCAAGAAAGACAGAGTAATCCTATATAACATATAATCCCATATATAATATAACTTTTACTGAACCAGACGTATTGTACCTCAATGTTGAACTGCAAACAAATATTTACCAAGGGCTTCCATAAACAGTTGAGACCACTCTGGCGCAAAATACTAAAGGTTCCGCACAGAGAGGTAACGAAGGCACTGCTCGTTAAACGAAAACTGAGAACTAAAAAATGATTAAGAACTGACAACAAAGAAAGCCAAGTTCATCATAGCTAAACTCACTGGTGTTTGAACATAAACACAAGATATACCGACAGTCTGTCAGAGGCTGAAAGCGGTTAAATCCTTTGTATATCGTGAAGACAGATAAAGGGTTGATTTAGAGTGTATCAGATAACACTACGATAGATATCGAGAAGTTTCAGCGCAAACTGTTGAGATCACAGAATCAGATCAAACTGTTCTAGATAACATCACGAGTGCTTACCATTTTGCATGTAGATAGCTGCTGTCTTTCTGTGTGAATTCTTGACGGGTCATTCAACGAGTGACACGCAAAACTTACTGGATTCGTTGAAACCAGAAACTGCGCGTAAACCAAATCCTGGTTTTATGATACCAGAGCGTTATTTACATACGAGCCCACGTGACAACGATCTAAGAGAGCCCGACCACTGCGTATTTATACATCATATTTCATTTCGACCGTCATCCATGCAGCCCCAAAGACAGCTGGACCAGAACAAATAGGAGAAAGATAATTTATAGTGGCGGGTACTCTAAGACAAAGTATTAAAGCGTGATGCTATACAGAATAATATAACTTAAGGAATATATAACTCCACATGTAGAGAAAGCAACAATAATTCTGGTGGGTCTTTAACAAGAAAGTCTTATTTGCTGATAGGAAAAGTTTTTGGCCTCTTTTTAGTTGATTTCGTTTACAGAAAAATTAAGCACACAAAAATATCAAAGATTGCAATTATATCAAGATTACAATTATAAAGATAACAAAGATCGACAATTCTGAATTTAGTCGAAACGTTTTTTTCGACACTACATTTTGGACGGCCTCAAGGCCAGAATTCCAAGAGCATAGCAAGCATTGTCACCGATGTTAATTTGTGCGAGAATACGAAGGAAATGTTTTAAAAGAAACAATAGTCAAGTTACTAAATTATCAATTATGGATGAAACAAAATTGCGAAATAAATGAGGATTATATATTTCACTGTTTCAATTAAAATTTACGTAAGATGTTGCGAAATAGCAGAATATTTTGTCGATGGTTTACCAAGTTAAATTGTTTCAACAGTTTCGACTCCAAAATCTGCAAGAAATTGATTTGGAAATTAATAAATCATCTAACTGATTAAGACTCTCAGTGTACTAGCGCTAAGTAAATGAAAAAGCCATGTCAATGAATATTGCGTAGCAATTGCCAGTGGTAACACTAATTATACTAAAAGGTTTCAAAGTTGCACGTGATTTCTGCGCGTTCCTCCGTGGAACCTTTTGTTAGTTAGGCCGGCCGTCCGCAATGTCCATATACATGTTTGTTTCGAGCATACTATTTCAATGTTCTGCAGTCAATTATTGATAACGAAAGCATACATTCTGGAAGTTTTAAAATTTCTTTACCCATGTGCCATAAATGGAAGATTTAAACTGAAGAAGAACAACACGGTCGAGGAAAGCGACAGAGAGTACGGGAGGCGGGGGGAGGGGTGGAAGGATAGTGAAGTGGGGAGAGGGTGGGCGTGTTGCCGTCATATTTCACCATTTCGTTGGAATATTTACAGAAAATTGTATCCTTCCCAACAATTGAATTGAAATAAAAGTTCTTATTAAAGGTAGAAAGTTGATTCCACATGAAGATATTGAAGCAAAACCTACATTTCCTGCCAATTGTAAGTAACTTAAAAGAAAACTGTGTGAAAATTAAAGAACAGATGTCAGTTGATACTCATTAAACAAATTTACAAAATGAAATTTTCGACAGCATGAATAGATGAATATAGCATGATAAAGAAGCTGGTTAGTCCACATCTATCACAGAACCACTTTTCAACAACAGACATTAAGCATGTGCAATTAAAAGGTCTAATTCTTAAACATGGTACTGTTGAAGATTGAAACAAATTTTCTATTGCAAAAACACTCTCGTGTTTCCTTTATACCCTAAGGGTGTTAATGAAAACCTGGATTTTTTTCAAATCGTTAATTTTGCACACATATCAAGCCCCTATTGAATAATTAATAAACAAGCGGTTTAGCAAACTAGTATCTTCACACAACTGGCGCAAAATCTGGCAAATTGTCTTACCAGATAATGTATTTTTTCGGCTTTTGGCCGCAGCTTTTGCGTCTTTTTGGCAATTTCCAGGAATAATGTTTTTGGGTCGAATAATCTTGTGAAGGAGAAGAGTGGTTGCGGGAAGGGGCTGGGTTTATGCGTTGCAGATTCGATTACTCCATGGTTTTGTGTCACTAGTCATTCGTGTTTCGAGAAAGCTACAGCAAGCTGTTATGCATTTTAAAACAAGGATTCATTCGTCTATGAATGTATTTGCATTTTCATGATTATCCATAGAATAGTTAAATCATAGTTACATGGGACACTGGGCTTTACACTTTATCATTAGTGGGGCACTAGATTTACAAGGGGCACTAGGGTCTTGGCAGAGTCCATGGTTCCTGACGGGGTATGCTGATCTTTGTAAAGTATCGTCACTTGAGATTCGTGGAAATAAATATTTGAAATAACACCATAACCGAAAGACAGTAAAACTCTATAAGAATCCACTTTTACGAGAACCAGAACAGAAGGCTTGCAAGTTGTATTTCGTTTTGGAGGCTAGCGCAAACAATTGGGATGAAAGCTTGCCATATGAACGATATCTTGCTTCATCCCACCTGAAAGGGCTATCTGAGAGGGCTAATTAGGCGAGCTGACTTGAAATTGGCTTGAAAATAGGATGATGTGTAGATATCCACTTAGTATAAAGAAGAGACTTTGCTAACTGGATATAAAACTACTTGGAAAAAACTGATCCGATTCATCAAACTAGATGAAAAGGCTGGTCATTTTTCCAAAACCTTTCATAGGCATTTAATCCGTGTTGGAAATGTTGAAAACCGAGAGTGTAACAGCATCCACTTTCAGCAATTTTTCTAAAGCAAAAACGGGATTTTGAAATTGGATGCTTAATATAGATCATTGCGAGAAATGCTTACGACATTTTTAAACTGCGAAAAAAGCTAGAATTATGAACCTTAATAAATTCATAGGCATGTATGCCGTGACACTAAATTTGATTCACCAATGCAAATTATGCCACTATAATACGAGCGCGAAGGCTTATTATTTGTTTTTAATGCTTTAATGAATTTAAAAAGTCAATTCCTTGATGATATTTCTTGCTTGTTTTCCACGGCAATTTGAATAATTCTTAGAGGTTAAATTAACAAGAAAATCTTAGTAAGCTTTTTGTTCTGCAATGTTATGACAAAAAAGGAAACATGATGCAAATTGCGTTGCATTTGATTCTGCTTTTAGCTTGAATTTTCTCTAGATATTGTTGATAATCCTTTTTTCAGGTAGAAATACTGAATGTTATACATATGGTTTCCAATAGCTTTGGCTAAAGTAGGGTTTGTCATTATGACATTCACTAAAAAGTCTACTTCAAGTAACATGGCCTGCACCACTGATCCTAAACTTGAGGGACCAGCAATGTAAAGAAAGTTTCCTCTTAGCCACCCCCTTCCCCAGCCCCAATTCTGGCAAACATTTTGATGACGCTGTTTTTTTTGTGTACTTTGGTCCAATGTATTTGTTGTAATCTAAAGGTGTATCTATTATAAACAATTCAAACTGATTTTATTATCATATTTAGCGAGCAAATGGGAGGGACACCGCCATGCCCACCCAACAACCCCCCCCCCCCCCCCTGACACAGATCCTGAGTAACAGATCATTTTCTTTCAGCAGAAACCATTCGAAGAGATAGACAAAAAGATTCATCAAGGTCTCAAGGTAAACAAGTAAAGTGGTATCAAGGTAACAGGTATCTCCATATAGCAGATGGTTTCTCTGGTCTAAGTGATCCCCGTTAAATGAAAATGATACTGTACATTTAATCTTGCAAAACAACGAGGCCCAGCCAACAGTGTTCTAAACTGCAGAATTCAGACGAAAAGTTTGATCCATATCAGCTAAAAAGCTGTTGCAAACAGCTGCTGAAAAATAAGCCTAACTTTTGAAGAAAAAAGATATTTCAGCTGCCAAAAGCAGTGTATGCAAGTAGATTTAGGAGGATTCTTAGAAGAAAATTAGAAAAGCGAATGTTTTTCGAAATAATGCAGGGTAAATATGATTTGACAACACCTACCAAAGTCACATTTGTGAGGGATTTCCGTGGCTTAATCTTGTTCAAAACAACTGGTCGATCAGTTAGCAGCGGAAAAAACTCTTTAGGTCCTATGATATTTCGTTTACTGTTGCAGATGTTAGCAAAATGAAGATTTTAGATGGGCGCGAACACTTAAATGTTCGGTAAAGCTTCTGTACTGTACCGCCGTAATATCATGTGTATTAAACCGTAAGATTTTGTATAAAATGGTGATTAAATCACAATAATCACATTTTGGTCACTCGTTATTTATTTCTTTTAAACCAAATGCAGAATGAAAACATCGGTAAATAACAAAAACAACTGACTGAGTATGCGCACTAATAAAAACAGTACAGTTTTCGAAGATTAACTTTAACATTTTTGCTTAGAAACATTTTTTGATTGGTATTACTAATGGTAATGGCATCTGTAGTATAGTCCCGATCTCTCAAATCCCTGATAACTTGAATCCTATTTTCATCGTTCTATTAGAGGTTCTCGTTTTTGGGATCTGATAGTTCAAGAAGCAATGTCGGTTGTTACTTCCTTCTTAGAGTAAATACTTCAGTGAATTGCGGCACAAACATTAAGGAGCTGGATAAAAACATTAGTAGATGCCAGGGTTACCCAATTAGAAATAAGAGGAGCCTTGATAAGCTGAAAAAAAATCAAAGCCAAGAAGGCATGACGTCACACTATGAAAAAAAATTTAAGTACCACGCCCAAACCTCGCCTCGCCAAACCTGAGCTTAAAGGCAATATCGAGAGGAAGGAGAAACACTTTTCTTGGCCGATAAAGTAATCCATGTGAATCTTTAGTGCATTTTACATTTGCTAAAAGGCTACTAGTGTGTGATTACTTTGCATGGCGAATTGTAGCTGCTGCATTTATGCGGAAGACATTTTGTTATCAAGTTAAGTACAAGAAGTACTCTCTTTGAGTATTAGGCTTGCATCGAATAAAAGTGCTGGATTATGCAGTAGCACAACTAAGACTATACTCAACAATGTGTGACGCCTACTGAAAGGAGTAGAAAAATTAAATGCGTGACACCTAATGAAAACAGTAGAAAAATTCAATGCGTGACACCTAATGAAAACAGTAGAAAAATTCAATGCGTGACACCTAATGACAACCTGCAGCTCATTTCACACTCTAACTTGGGTTTTAGTATGTAAACAATCGTGGATGTTCACATAAGAAGAGCAAAATATATTAAATCATAAGAGAATTAATTTTCAGCGATTTATCCAAAAATTTACAAAAAAAGTTTTGTTATATAATATGTTTTTGTCTTGAGATTGAAGCTTCAGAAGGCAGGGACACGAGTGTGGTTAAAATGTCGTCTTTCCTACAATTCACAGTGAAGACAATAAAACCATTTCAAGGGAAAACAAAAATACACAGCCGCAAAGAAGATTGCGGTACTGGCCAGTCGCGTTTAAGAACAGAAACACGATCAGTGAAGGGTGAATAATTAAACAGAAACATAGGCATACCATCATATTGTTAACTGTTGCATCTGCGTAGAAGCTGACATTCTCCCTGTACTTCTCAGACAATTCCATGAATTGTTTAAGAGAAAACGGGACAACCGTTGGCTGTGTTGACTTGGCGAAAGGGTTAGGCAGCTCGGTCGGGTCGGTGTCGAATGATGCCGATCCATTAAACTTCTCCACGCCTAAGTCTGGGCTTGTTTTGCTTGATCGCCGCAAAGAAATCACCATTCCCATCTGGTCGTCTTCCGCTATTTGAAACTCATCAAAAAATTCTGCCGCAAGTCGAAACTTGATAAGCCTCAGAAAGCTCGGACCAGTGTTTATTTCGTAGAATTTCTTACGCTGATCCACCGAAAACTTGCATGTGTTTGGATTGGCATAAAATCAAGCAGTTTTTTAGGCAATCCATCCGCTTTCTTTTCGCTAGAATCAACAAACGATTAATACAACATCGGGCACATTAAAACTGTAGGAGGAAAGACAACAGGCCAGATTCAAGATACCTATCTCAGCGTAATTTGTGTAGGCCTTAACCATTGTCCACATAATCCATACACTACAAAAACCTTTGTTGCGAAAATGCTTTTGTTGATTTGGAAAAGATGTCAATGATCGCACACTTATTTGACTTCATTCTGCATATTAATTGACACCAGCACAAAATAAATCTGCCGAAAACATTTGAAAATTCACCAGCTGCTTGCAGCTTCTGTGACTTAGATTTACTCTATCGCTAAACAGCCTATCAACGAAGGACTAAACACAAAACTGAAGTGATTGTTCAGGGTTGACCAAGCTTTTCATAGACTTTGGAGGAGTCAGATTGATCAAGAACAGATGAGATCTCGTGTTGCGCGAAATTCGATCACCGATTAACATTTGTTTATATCCGACAATAATTCATATCCAACGATACGAATATGATATACGAACAAATTTGAGATAGCGGCTGGGCAATACCGCCACCTTATTGACAAGAAGGTCTTATAAAGCATCTCTTCTAGAAGGCAAAACAAGAACAGCCCTTCAAATAGGGTTTCCTTTTTATAAGAACCAGATGATTTCTGTCGAGGCTCAATTTTCTTATTTCATGAATAATTTAGGCTCTGGTGTTCTTACCCTGGCTACCAGAGCCATAAAATTTCGAGCACGGTAATTCAAGAGGTGAGCGAAGAAGCAGAGGAGCAGTGAAGCGGAGGGCCAGAGAAGCGGAGGAGCGTCTAGCTTTCAAGAAGTCTTTCTGTTGTACTCAGTATGGTGAATGACCCTTAATATTTGTTCCAGGTTACCAAACGAAAACGGTTAGGAAAAAAGGGTAAACTGCTTGGAGTGATTCTGGACAAAACATCATGCTTTAAAAAGCAATTGGGGTCCATTTGCAAAAAGGCTGGGCAAAAGCCCTCCCCAGAATCTCTCACTTTCTTGATCCTGAACAACTGAAAAGAATAATGAAGGCATTTATCTTGTCCCAGCTCAACTACTGTCCTCTTGTTTGGATTTTCTGCGATAGAACACTTAATAGTAAGTTAATCGTATTCACGAACAGGCATTGCGAACAGGGGCGAAACTTCACTATTTTCATTAGGGGGGTATGAAGCTTAGATGCCCGACGAAAGGGCGTGGCATGCTTGATGACAGGGCGTGTCATACATGAACTTCATTTTTAGAGCACATTGCCTCAAGGGCTGGAATCATCGGGAAGCCCGAGAGAGGGTCTTTAGACTCAGGCTGTTTTTTTAAAGTCAAGAAACATGCCTCTAGTTTGTCTGGTGTTGGCTATAAACATTTTCACTTTCTAAATCACATAGCTATTGAGAAAGCAATTCAAAAAAGGGGATTGAAGTAGGGTCTCAATTTATCAAAGTGGAACACCAAAACGGAGCTAGGAAATTTCGGAATTTAGAAACAGCTACGCAGATTACATTGTTTCAACAAAAAAGAGCTTCAGTTGCATTTTCTGAGTTTCATTTTCAATTTTCGGTTGCTCCGAAAGCAATTTCAACATTGTTAGACACCCAAGCACAAAGTACGTATCTCTAAATTCACCATCACAAAATCCCTCAAGCAAAGGAAAGTTTTTTATTGGAGGTATTTTACAGGTGCACCTAACATTAAAGCTCAATTTTTGTGTTTTCGTAAGCTTGTTCAGAAATAGAATAAACTCGAAAGTTTTTTGCAATTGATATCTTAACTACAATTTCTTGATAAATTTTATATTATTTTCCGCTTGAACTGATTAAAACTTTCTGTTACTTGTTACGGTTATTCGAATTTTTTTAGTTAAAATACTTTGGCGTCTGTATGACCATCTTCTAGCGAAGGGTGCAATACTTTCGAACTGTAAGTGTAACTCCTTATGAATGTATGATGAAAGTTTCATACATTTGGAAAAGAAAGTATTGATTGATTTTTCTCAACAACGTATTCCGAGATGGTATATCTTTCATGCTTTGATTTATGATGCTTCTAAAACTGTTGGTGTTCCATGGGCTTCGCGGCAGGATGGAAAGTTGGGGGGGGGGGGGGCTTGTCAAGGGAAAATTTAGAAATCACAACAAAGAATTTTGAAAAAAGCTCTCTTGGTTTGCAAAAAGTAGGGGGGGGGTATGCACAGTGTTCATTTCCTTCTCGCATCAAACACACTTTACTTTCCGTCTATACTTTCGCTGTCGATCAATACTTCAGACTTCATCGCGAGGCGAAGATAAACATGTGCGTGTCGAGCTCGAGACGAAAGCGCTGATCGGTGGACAAAAAAAACAGAAATGTATATATGTTGCTGTTCCTAGCCTTGTTTCTGTTTTGTTTTCCCAACTGGGAGGAGATTGAAAAAAAGATGGGGGAAAAGACCTGATTAAAAAACCAAGCTAGGGCAAAAAGTAGCAATAAAAGTGTGACATAAAGAAAATTTCCAGATTTGCTGGACAGATACACTGGCAGCCATAAATTTGCCCGACAAAATCTGCTATTTTAATGATTGGGGGGGTGCAGCACCCCCCATACCCCCCCCAGTAGTTTCGCCCCTGATTGCGAATAACTTACAAAGATATGAAATCAGATTTTGACACAATGTTACTCAGAGACAATGCGGTACCAATCCACATCAGGAACTGACAACTGTTGGTGATTGAAATATATAAAACAAAATGGGAGCTCAATCCTACTTTCATGAAGGATATCTTTATTTAAAACACAGTACGTATGGATTGAGTAGCTGCCAAAATCAACTGCTGCCATAAGCGCACACTACGTGCTATGGCTTAGAGACGATATCGTTTCTAGGAAGTAAATTGTGGCAGGCACTTCCCAGTGAGATGAAATAATCAGATACCCTATCCAGCTTTAAAAGGAGAATAAAATCTTAGAAAGAAGAGAAATGCTAGACTATGTAGACATTTGGTGGTTCAGGTTGGGTTCTTGAACGGATAAATGTATTGTATTGTAAATGCCAAAAAATGCTGTGAAAACATTGTAAGATCTGTATATATGTATTTATACTTAATTATTTCTTATGTTGGATATATATGTATCTTTATTTTTTTATTTTTAAACAATTTTACTTTGTAGTAGGCTTGAGTTAGCTTTTATTCTGTAGCTATTTTTATAAGCCTACTTTAAATAAATAGCTAATAATAATTATAATAATGGTCCTCAGAATAATTGACCATCAATCAAGAGACTGAATGTGAACCCAAACAGTTTTTGAGGGGGTTGAGAAGAAGAAACAATGGCGTTCTTCTGCCGACTAGCTTTGTTCATAATAGTTAGAAAAAATTCCAAGTGAACTTTTAAGTTTTCCAACTGCAATTGGATTTTCCAACCTTTGAGAGGGGGTGTCACGCCCCACTGAACAGAAATGCTAGTAACTGGTACTCGCAAACAATATACAAAGGTCCAAAATCTCTACCTTAAGATTGATAGAGATACTAAACAGCCCAAAAACGAAGCACGAAATTTAGACGTCATCTTTAACAAGCACATGACACTGAAGGCTAATGTAAATAATTGAAGCTGCTGAAATAGGCCATTCATGCCTTTGATGTAACACGACTTGATTGCACAAACTCTTTACTATATGGTCTCAGCTAGGATTCTGACCTGTGCATAAAAGTATGATCATATCACCCCAGTATTGGAGCAACTACACTCGTTGCCCTGCCAGGATCATCAAGAATCGAGTACAAGATTCTTATGATTGCTTTCAAATGTTTACACGGATCACTGTATCTGGAGGCCCTCGTCCCAAAGTATGAGCCAGCCCCCATGATGAGATCAGCGTGTGATGGTTACTTATTGAAACACAACTAGACAAGTTTGAAAAAAGCATGAGATAGCTCATTTAGTCATGCAGCACCAACTTTATGGAACAATCTTCCGCATCCAGTTGGGTCATTAGATTCGCAGTCACTAAAGACATGCCTATTTAGGTCTTATTAGTTAGATGTGTTTTTAACGAGTTTAAAAGTATTGATTAATATGATTTTAAGACGGCATTCGTTATCAATAGGTAAGCCATATCAACTACTTTTACAGAAATGCTCGAAGACCCAAGGACAACATGCCCTCGATTATATAACTCAAAGCCTAACAAGATTAATACTAGGTTATCATTGGCGATTCATAATCGAAACCCGATGATGTCGTGTCCTTTTCAGCTACGACAGCTATAGATTTTTTAAATGTAGCCTAAGGTCTTAAAAAGGCTAAACCTGGATAGATAATACTGGAGGTATGAGCTCAAACTAGTTTGCAACAATCTCTTACAAAAGACAGAACCACGTTCGTATTCAATTTATGATTCATCTCCTGTTCTAATAATTTTATCTCTTTGCTAAAATCCTCGCTAAGGTCTTTGCTAAAGTCGGCCCCACTTTGAGGTATCCGCTCATATTCGATATATTGATATGGGAAAAATCCCTATAAGCCATTGGTGTAGAGATATGCTTGATATCTTGAAAAAATATACTTTAAGACAAAGAATACTTGTCAATGCAACAACAACTCTACCGGACGTCTGGTAGGGAAGGGCGCTCCGAAACTGGTGTGTCTCTGTACAAGACAACCGGAAGTAATATACGTAAGACCGTAGAAGCTGTTGCTGCTCTTTGATGCCATAATTTGGATATGAAAACCTCTTGTATTTTCAAAGAGGAAATTGCTGCATCGATAACTATTTGATTGGTATTTACATTGTTGTGCGAGTTTTTAAAAGGAATCATATCACAAAAAGTATATTCTCTCAGTTAAAGGGCATATGTCGCATTAGCAGTTGACAAATAAAACAAAAGCGTTTGGAGTGGAATTTTATTGTTTCGTGGCTTTTAATTTCTTCTTAATTAATTTTTCCTGCCGTAAAAATTCACCCTCGAGTTCTTGCTTTGTACTAAACAAAAGAGATGATTGTATTGCATTAGCCATTCATTTTCACGACACAAGCCCTTTAACATTTACATCAGGATCGGAAAGCTGTTCAAAAAGAACTTGTCGCAAATCAAGTCACACTGATAGAAAAACAGGTAAAAGAGATCGTTGTCTTCCATGTCACCACCAGAGGCACAAAATGGTTAAAGGCTTTTGTATCTAAATTTTTGTTAACTCACATTTTCAAAATAGAGAGAATTATTTTCAGGTATGGAATGTTTAGTAAAGTGCCTTTAATGCTTCTTGAAAATTTAACATGCTTGCCAAGCTTTTAGGATAAATGATCTGGTCAGAAATCACTAAATCTGATTTCTTTTGGTTCAAATTAGGCTTATCTAATATCACCAAACAAGTTCTTTATACTTGCAAAATATTTCTGAATCTATCATGGCAGTGGCTATGAGTAGAGTCATTATCACACCGGTCTGATTTGTAAGCAACTCTGCCATCATAATATTATTGCCAGTAACCGATATTACATGCTGCGAACAGAAGGCTGGCAAAACCTGAACAATATCCTGCTCTACAGACAATCATCAAGGCATAAATTTTTAATGATACCGATCAAAAATTTTGTAAACTGAATCGATAACAGTTATATGTCTGGAGAATAAATTTTCTATCGAAACACCGTAGGCATCAAAAATTAAATCTTTATGATACCAATATTATCAAAAACTTTGATTTGATTTTATCATAAACTCTCTTAACAGAAAGGTTTTTCGTGGATTTCAAAACCATGGAACACGAACAGAATTCTCTTAAGAATTTCAAAACCATGGAACACGAACAGTATTTTCCTTTTAGATGTGTTTTTTGGCAGTAAAGTAAAGGCATGGACGAGAAACTTTGTGACTTTTCGTGCTATCATTCACCATTCGACTCAACGTGTGTTTTAAAAGCGCAACAAAGAAACAAGTGCAGAATAAGTTGTCTCAATTATTTTTTTGAATTTTATTTGGCCAAAACCTTACTCCAAATTTCTATTGTTTCTCAAAACTTCCTCCGTGCGACCGTGATGTTTCCTGGACACTGGGTGAACAGAAACAGTTTGAAAATGGCTTTGAAAAAAAGCAAACATTTGTGTAAACTAAAGTTTTTCGTCTGACACTCGTCAGAGATTAAAACGTCAGGACATAGATAGAAAATTCTACGCTAGAAAATAAACATACCCAGTTGTAGATCGAAATAGGTCAATCAGAAGTGCGAGCACATGAATGTGGAGGTTGCCCGATCAGTGCCGCTTGCATATATTTTGTCTACAGAAATAGTTTTTCTGAACAGTTTCCATAGCAAACAATTTCAATAACTGCAAACAGATCTAGTGACTGTGAAACAAAACCTCGCCCATCTGTTGTCAAATATTCTACAAATGATGAATGTACCTCCTGTTCAGAAAATAGGTTTGTTTCAAACTCGTAGAAGTGGAAAACAATAAAAATAGTGCAAGAAATGTGGTGATTTCTTCAAGACAAATAGCTAACTTTTGAATCACTTGAAACGTCTAATTTGGAGCACAAGAAACGCTAAGATCTCCTATAACACATGGGTGAGTGTCATATTTACACTGAAATTGAAATGCACAATGTAATAGGAGCAATTATCCAAACTTTTAGAAAATAATATTTTTGCGATAACAGTCTAGTTAAAAGGAATGAATCTATGTTCGCAGAAATTCAAGTTGGCATTATGATGAAAAACTCGAGTTCAATCTACACGTGACTTTGTGTCGAAGAAAAATCATGACAAATAAAATGAATTTAGAAGAACCTCCATATATAACGTAGTTTGTAGTTAAGAAATTCACATACCGTAAAAAGAACTGTTCTTCCCAGCAAGACCTGGTAAAAGTATCTTCAAATGCCACTTATTCTCACATCATAGTGTTATCTCTAAAAATCAAAAAGGGCTTATTCAATTGACTTTTCTCCTACCTACAAAATGCAATATCTTACAGGTACCAGATTTGTCAACTAAACGTGCTAAACTGCAATATTAACGAATATTACAAACCTGTTTCTAACATTTTATTAACTTAGTCGGTGACATGGACTCTTTAAATTGCATGATAGCTTTTGTTATGGAAATAAGACGGTATTAAATCAGATCTTTTATGTGGTGGGTCATATGTATAGAACTAAAATGTACTGCAGATAGTCTTGTTGCAATGGACTGCGCGAGGTAGCTCCCACAAATTTACCAAAAGCTGCCTAAAACCCTATTTTACCTACATAACAGTCTATATTTGCTATAATCAGAAAGGCAATACAGCTTTGAGAAGGGGAGAACAAATCTGGAAATTACGTTTGTTCTTGAGTTACTATTGATACCAGAGCAACATAATTTCGAGCACGGGAATCGAAGAATAAGAGCGGAGAAGAGGAGAAGCTTCTATTTTGGAAGAAGGAAAAGTAGCTCTTGAAAGACAGATACTCCTCCGCTTTTCCCCTCCAATATTCTATTTCATCGATCGAAATTTTGTGTTACGTACCCAGAGTAGTCCGTGTGTGGATAAGAATTTAGCCCTTTTAAAAGAGCGCTTCTTATGATAGGCATGACGGGACCACGAAAAGAGCTATCTTAAATTGAAGATGTCTGTTGATGAGAGACTGATTTTGTACATAAGTATGATCCTTGTAAACCTCCGTTTTCTGAAAAACTCCTGGCCAAAGAATCATACAAGCCCTCTCACCAAACTTACAAAATTTTAATTTGTTCTCGATGATGTGGGAACATAACCTCACAACTGATTTCCTGAAGCCTAAGGCACTTTTACTAAGGGTGCATTTGCCCAACAACTTGCATTGTAACTTCTGTCCCGTGTTAGAAAGTTAATAGATTTATTGAATTAAAGGACAGAGGAAATGTTTAAGGGAATGAAATTGTTAACTCACATCATATTTGGAAGAGAGAAGCATTAGAATCAAACCAAGCATAAAGCTCTTTATCCTGGGACTAGTCTGCTAGAGCCAGTGTTATGAGGTGCTTCCTTAAAATTTGGCAAGTCGGAAACGAATGAAACTGGCAGCCTTCTTATATTAGATGGAATAGCAAACATAATACTATTTAAGCTAAGGATAAACCTTACCTTTCAAGAAAAGCCTGATGACAAAGAAATCTGGAAGCAACCTTCTTGTGCCGTTTCTCTAAGAAGTCTTGCAAGACAAGATTCTTGGTGCCAGAGCACAAAATCTGTTGTTCAAAGATCGACGCCCGTCGAAGACTGTAGTTGTAAGAGCAAGATCACTTCAGCTGATCTTTTCAAAAAACCTACTATTGATTAATTATCAACTGTTTTGGTCATCAGATTGGCAAAAAACAGACCGTAATTACAAAAGTCATTGATTCTAAGCTATAACTAATGCACCTGTGTCTGCTGGACAGCTAGGATCGAGAACTTCAAATGATCAGAAGAACAGAACATGAAAACTCCACTGCTTTGTGGCTGATTACACACAGGAACAATGAACAAAGTTTATAAACATGTTTTAATAATTTATGTTGACGATAACGTGTAAGGCGATTAGATGATGACAAGTCAGCGCAAAAAGATTTTGTCCAAAGCAATATCTTTAATCGTTAAAGTCATAGAAAATCATAATTAGAAAAAACCAAAGCGGTTGCTTTTTACCAAAACGAAAGTGAATGGTAATCCTATAAGATTTATTGTCTGTGATATTGATAAAGATAACGAGAGATATTTTCCTTTCCAATCAGCAATACATATAAACCTTAACACCTGCATGAGGATGACAATAACTATAACTAAACGTCACAATAACTAAATGGGACTACAACGAGACAAACTCCAATAATATTCTGGAAGACAAAAGCTTCGAAAAACAGCTGAAGTTGGAAACAGGGAAGCCGGAACGACCCAAGGGAAAAATGATTTCCAGGTTCTACTAGTTTTTTTCGTAATTGATATTTCTACTCTAATCTGCTGTAGGTACCAGTAAAGAAGATTAATAAAAAAACAGTACTGTCAAAATATAATATAAACATCTCTAATGATTATGCTGGCCAACACCCCCTCCCCCTCTAGCGTTGCTGTTTTGCACCAAAATTTTGAGTGCGATATTTTGAGTGCGAGTTAGAAAAACGAGTGAAAAGGCAAACAAAAGTCGAAATAAGCATCCCATGACCCGAGAATTCCAGTACTCCCTTCTTTGAACTTTTTTCATCTGACACTTCTAAAAGTTTGACTTTTCAACTAGGTGAGAGATGGGCGGCTGGAATTGGTCAAAAACAAAGAACCAATCAAACACACTATTCTTCCTTTCGCGTTAAGTTTGATCCGCATCTGGATATGAATTTTCTGCTTACCTTTGGACATTATCCGACATTATACTCTGACGAGTGTCAGGCGAAAAGCACCTTAGTGTGAAATAATGTTTCCGCCCTACCTCGCTTACTCCTAAAAGTAAAAGAGCATCATGATGATGATTGAAAATGGGAAGTTAGAAAACATATACCATATTGTGTTTGGGTCGAAATGCCCAAAAAGAAACATCATATGACAAGTAAGGCTACCCAATCAGCCATCAGCCCAGCTCTCCCCATCACAGCACTTCTAATGCAATGACCTGTGTTTGCTATTGGATTGCAATCAGCTGCATAACCTGAATTCAATGGCTGATTGAGACAAAGGATGAAGTAACCAATAAAAAGGTGTGTAATTTGAAAGTCATTTACAATACAGTCTTATCACTTTTTTCTGAAAACTTATTTAAATAAGGGAACAGCTTTTAAAGTTGGGGTTGTGACAGCTTCGAGTGGCACAACAACTAATATTACTATTGTATTTAGTTACTCAATTTTTTGAGCTGCTTCATAGTCGTTGTGTAGATAGTTAAAATTATTATCCAGGTTTGAAAAAGAAGAAAAACAAGGTGTTTTGGCTATTCGTTATCTGCAAGCATCGTACAGTGAGAAACTAAATATATTATTCAAAAATCATTAGAAAAACTAAATATATAAAGAAAAAACAATATCGTGTAGTTATATATGTAGACCAACCTTTTATAGAACAATTTAAATGGTGACTTCAGACATTTATACAAACCCCTTATCCTCGTTTATGCCCCCTCGTTTAAGCCCCCTCATTTAAGCCCCTTGTTTAAGCCCTCTCGTTTAGGCCTCCTCGTTTAAGCCCCTCGTTTAAGCCCCCTCCGCAAATCATCCCGAAATCAAAAATGCAATGATAGTATTACAATGATAGTCTCATTATTTATTAATGTCGGTATCTTGAAATGCAAATGAAATATACGGAGAGTGGATGCAGATGTGTGCCAAACTTTTTATTCTGATTCAAGTTATCGTCAATGCCAACTTGCAAAAGTAGTGGCAGAAATCATCTCGGCGCGTTTTCTCACTATTTCCGCGCATAATTAATGTGATTTTTCTATTTTTAGGATTTCCAGCTGTAGTGTAGAGGTACACCAGGCCTACGCCCAATTGAATTGCCGCAAATCATTGCTACGCCAAATGTACACCATTGCTGCGTCAAATGGTTGGCCAAATACGGCGAAAGGTACGCCAGCGTCGTAGGCTAAGTCAAAATCCGGAAAAATCCAAAACTCGTGTACACAAAGGTATTGCAACACCTGCAAAGGCGAAATAAAATTTGTAGTTGCCTCGTTGAGCTATTGTGTTCTCAGCCAATGGCGCGCAAATAAAACTGCAAAATCAATGAAGCGTAAATTCAAATATTACATTTTCACTGTTGAAAATTTTAAATCAACAATTCAAGTAACTTTTGTGCAATTGAACAACAATTTTGTGTATGTGCTTCTGGCTCTGATAAGTGCAGAAAATCGCTTTTGAATTGATGAACAAAATTTGTTGTTGAAAGGCACTGGGATTCTCCTTCGTTCTCCATAAACTCTCTAAGTCAGTTCTTTTTTGGACTAAAGAGCCACGTGGCTTACACATCGTGGCATCATTTTCATTGGCAACAAAAAAATTGTTCACTTATACTTAGGTTAGGTCTTTGTTAAGACCAAGAAAGGACATGGAGCTTACAAATTTTCAGGTATAAAAAAGGCCTTGTTAGGGGGATGTATTGCTTTTATGGAAAAGACTTCATATCTTATTTCTCTAGCATTGATTTGGTTCCACCAAAGAGGCTATTTTGCATTATTTTGACATATTTCATTGCAATATTTCGCACTTTGCTAGTTAACGATTTATCAATTTATACTATATAAAAAGTTTTGAAATCTTCAGAATAGAAAGACCATCTTAGTGCAGTCGCTTAGCAGTTGAATTGTGCATTTTATGATACAAGCATGAAAGTTGATACAAGTACACAATTTGACATGCTGAATAAGATGAGATACAGAAACCGCTTCAAAAATGCCCCTAAAAGCTATATTTAGACTGGGGTACCTGTACCCAGTCCCCTTTTAGGTCTTCCTCGATATCTTTTAAACTGTTCATGTCATAAACAAAAATTTTGTTTTCTGGCGTAATTTGACATGCTGAATAAGATAAGATGCAGACCCCACTTCAAAACGCCCCCAAAGCTATTTTTAGACTGGGGTACTTATACTCAGTCTCCTCCTTCGGGTTTTCCTTCATATCTTTTATACTTTGCAAGTTATAAACCCGAAACTTGGTTTTCTTTCGTAAATTGACATGCCGAATAAGATAAGATGCAGACCCTACTTCAAAAACGCCCCCAAAGCTATTTTTAGACTGGGGTACTTGTACCCAGTGTTCGTTCGGGTCTTCTGGCGTAATTTGATATAATGAATAAGATGAAAATCTGCTTTTCTTGTAAAATGTTCATACAATTCTGAAACCTTATTGTCTAAGCTCGTACGTAGGAATTGGTCAAGAGTTCATTGGTAACTGCATCTGTAGCAGTGGCGTAGCGGAACAGTTTAAGGCCGTTAGCAATACGTTGCTCGGAGGCCCTTGAACAATGATATTTTTTCCAAAACTAGACAAAAATAAAGAAATCAGCAAGATAAATAATTTATGCGATAAAAAGATTGAAATATCAATATGAAACAAAACAATTTCAGATAGTGAAAAATATCATCAGGCATTTTTATGGGCTCTGACAAAGGTTGAAAAGTGGGGGGGGGGCGAGGGAAAATTTAACACCCATAACGAAAGATTTTCAAAAAAACTCTGTTGTTTTGCAAAAATGTGAGGGGGCAAAGGAGGCCCTGATTTTCTCAAAGTCATTCATCTTGGCAAAACAACAGAAGGAATATACGGCCAACCTCACAGACTTCAAAGTGGAAAGTTAAAATAAACGAGTCGAGCTTAAATTTAAGGTTACGGTAAACGTTTTGAACACGAAAATTGGTTTTTCCTTCCTAAAGGCCAAACGGCTCAAGGAATCTGGATAAACTATATATCATTCGATGCACAAGATTATGGCGTATCTAGCCAGATAAAAAGTATTGGCAAATAATGTTAAATGTTATTTTCCATGCGAATTTACTGGTCAAAGAGTGTACCACCTTCAAAAGCTATTATGTACCCTTGCGTTTGAGGTAACAAAATCTGACTTAGACCAGCAGGAAGTGCAGGTCCTAAGCTACCAAAGTGTGTCTCAGATTTTTTAAATTCCTCCTCTTCTTGAAACTATACCCTGTCAAAAATTGGCAAATAATTTGTCCACCCTCCCGCAGCTGTATTTGGGTATAAAAGACGGACCAGAGAAAATAAAAAAATTTTGAGACACACTTTGTTTGCCCAACGTCTGCCCTGGCCGTGTGCAAATTTTCGAGCCATTCGATTGGTTCCTTGGGTACATAATAGCTTTTTCGTACCTGCATGTAGAGGAATTTCGAGTCCGGAGAAAACGGGATTTTGCTGGTCGCACTTGCAAGATACACTCGTAAACCACAGTGTAATCCGGGTCAAGTCACTTGAAGATTTAAGATCAATAAGCCTGTTTAAATAAACACGGCCGTACATTGGATATATGGATGTGCCATGCGATATTGTAAATGAGACATGCGACCACAACCGCAAAGCAACGATAATCGGCTTAACAGGTCAAGAGATTTTCAGGCCTCAACTAAAAGTTTTGCTAAAGAAATTATGGAAACCTTCGTTAACATGGAATTTTTTCCACTTTCAAAATTTCTGTTTGTTTCAAATTTGGTATCATTGTGCGCCTTGAAAGTTCGGCTACTTGAATGTGAAAAAATCGAAAAAATGATGTTTTCATCCAGAAAACGTTTACCGTAACCTTAATGGTTCAAAATCTTTGATATTTCGGGGACAAAAAAAGGGATGCTGGAGGTATATGAGAAAAAAAGAGGAGACTTTTCCGATGGAAAAGGAGATGGGTCCGGGAATATTTTTGCTACCACACCCTCCTGATTGGCTTTAAACACCATCAGCTTATATTTTGCACCAGTAAACTTCCGACATTTTGCAGCACTTTGACTTTCCCCTGCTTCGGTTCTCTGTTTCTTTTAGAAGTATTTTTTACGTGGAATGTCTTGTCATGGTCGAATATTCTAAGTAACAAAAGGAGAGAGAAGAATGTGCGCAAAGAGTAAAAGTTTGTTTACCGTGTACGTACTTTGAATGCTTTCGTCAGGATTGGTCCGGTGAAAAAAGCCATTCACCTTGTATTGGAAAGTGCTGCTTAATGTTTCTTTATTCTCTTGAAGGCTCTAGCTTTGCATTATTTTCTTTTTAAAGACATCTTATCCAAATAATATACTTGAATAAATAATGGTCTCAGTTAGAAGGAAACTAATGGCCTTTGCGAACTTGAAGTGTCTTAATGTAACATGTTACCAGAAGAATTGGTGTTTCTCAAATCACTTTTCACTTTAACTAATGCAAACAAACCTTTATCGTTAAAACCTTTACGCGGCCCTTCCTAGGGGACCCTTCCTAGGAGTTGCTCGAATCAACAACCTACGTCGGTTACGCCACTGGTTAGTAGCACTTGATAGAGCAACAAAAGGTAATGTTACATGAAAAAACCCTTCCAAACAAATTTTGCCTCTTTTACAAAATGAAGAAACTGTGTCACAGCCAGTGAACGCGTATCTAAATAAGAAGCCAAAGCAAACCCTTTTTTTAAGTGCATTTGTGTAATCGTGGAGTGGTAACCATCTTTTATCTTCTCCTGTCCCAAACTCGACCCAAAGCTGTACTCAGCTGAGCCGAAGTTTCAAGTTTATAACTTACATAGTATAAAAGATATGGAGGATAACCTGAAGGAGGCCTGGGTACAAATACCCCATCTAAAAGTAGCTTTGGTGGCGTTTGTGAAGTGGATTCTGCATCTCATCTTATTCAGCATGTCAAGAAACGCCAAAAAACTAAGTTTCAGGTTTATAACTTACATAGTATAAAAGATATGGAGGAAGACCTGAAGGAGGAATGGGTACAAGTACCCCAGTCTAGAAATAGCTTTGGGGGCATTTTTTAAGTGGGGTCTGCAACTCATCTTATCCAGCATGTCAAGTAACGCCAGAAAACAAAGTTGCAACTTTATAACTTACATAGTATAAAAGATATGGAGCAGGGCCTAAAATAAGAAATTTTTACAGATCCACATTTTTTATAAAAATTGGGCGTGGTACTTTGCTGGGATTGGCATCATGGGGGTGGCAAATATAAAAACTGCCATCATAGTGCAAATAGCATGTCCTAATTGGGCAAATTCTTAAATGAATGAAGTATAAGTAGCAAAAGCTGATTCTTTACATTATATGGATTGCGTTAATAAGAAAATTAGCTACTTATAGCGATGTCTTGATATGTGAGCGGAGAGTTATCGAAAGAAAACTCTTTTTCTTGGTTTGTTCGATCTCTGTCAAAGTTATATTTTTCATTTCACCTTCAAAAACTCCCTTAAATCAGCCTTGCTTCCCAGACTTTGGTATTTTTTGTTTTTTTGAAACCATATCTTTGCAGCTTTTCTCGGAACTCTAAACTTGCGAGATCAAGCATATTAATCGCAATATTTATCCATTTGATAAGTTTTCTGAAGCTATGCTGCTTTCCCCACCTGCTTCTATCTTGTTGTAGGTGGGAATCGGCCTCTCTGCATCGACAGAATTAGGGATTGCTGCGATGTCCGGGACAAAAGCTGGGTGAAGCTTTCTAAAGTCTTGTTTACTTATGGAAAGTTCTTTACTGCATTCAGCCCATCAAATTCTTTGCCATCAAATCTGTTCTTCAAAAAGTTTTGATACTATAAACGAAAAACCTCATTACAGATGGCAAATAAACTCTTCCCCTACCGATGTACAAATTGTGCTTGTTTCTTCTTATTCTCTTTTCGCCCAGTTTGAAAGCATGATCTTTTTTTCCCATCTTGTTTGTAATTCAGAAACCACGCACCAGATCTCAATTTTGGAATTACGCCAAATTTGTCATAAAATTATGCTAGATTTGCAAAAATTATGCTAGATTTCAAATCAAGGCAACCCTGCTCGAGAAAGAGGCTAATACATGCTCAGAATATCAAAAGTGGCCAGAGTTGCAATTTGGCCATTTTGACAACCCAGTGTACTCATTCTTCATAAACAAAAAGGCAATTTAGATCCATGGTTTGATGGCCAAATTTATCCACTTTGGCAGTTTCTCAAAACCCCTTGGCCATCATAAATTGATTTGGCCGAAGAAGCAACATTTGGCTGAATTCTGGCAGCATGTTGCAAAAAACAACGAAAATGCAAAGGAAACAAAACTTTTTGCACAGATAATATTAAAAAATTTTTAAAATAATTTCAAAATTGGAAATGATGAATGATGAAACAAAGCAAAATAAAATATACAGTTTTAGATCAACGCAAGTGAAAACTTTTGTAAACTACAAAGCAAATTTTGATTACGGTATCACTCCAAATAATTAGCAAAACTTAAGCTTTTTTGTATACTGCTGGCTGCATTTGGCTGCCAACCACAAAATATGTGGCTGCCAACCATTCAAAACAACTGGCAATATCCTGAAGGTGGAAAGTCACAATTTACTCCCAAAATGAAACCACAGATGCTGGTGTAAAGTGTTTGCATTTGGTAACGATAGACAAAGGATCAATGGAAACAATGTATCTTCTAAATAATATCAGAATTTTGCAACAGTTATGCAAGATTCCAAATTATGCTAGATTTTATGCTAAATGACAATTTTTGGCCAATTTCATGTTAATATTACGCTTATTCCGGTCACATTGGCACCAGTCCACAAGGGAGTGGCTGGAACGGGACTAGCAGGCTTGCCCCTAAATTTTTTTACAGCAACGCCCTTTGAAACACCGGAAACCACTTCTTTCAGAAAATATTTGCTTTTTTCTGTCCTTATTCATAAACATAACGATTTAAAGAAGATTTCAATTAACATAAAAATACAAAACCGAGTTAGATAAAATACAGTGAATCTTTGATCACACAAGATAAAGCACCATCAAAAAGAACAAAAACGTGTTCCCAGAAGAACTGCTACTAATGCGTTCGTTAGTGTTATTTTTCAAAACATTGTCTAACCTATATTATTGCAAAAAGTTGAGGAGGACTATAGTCCCTGTTATGCAACATTCCCAATTGAATGTTCCTCCCAGCTACTACCAAGGGGCTTATCATCGTTCAGCTACTGTAGCCTTGAGAGGAATTTTTCCAATGCTTCTCCAATATAAAACATCTTAGTTAAAATGGTTTATGACTTTCTTTGAAATCTACTGAAAAATATCACATAAAAAATCCCAAAATACATTAGGGGCAGGAAATCATAATCTCGGTCTTGGTCTTAAGGCTCAGTGTCTCTTTTGAAGCAAGTCATAAAAGCAAACTAAATTGAGATGATGTCTTGAAGTTAAAGCTGTATACAGAGTCCATCTTCAAAATAGCACACAACAATATCGTAAAGCGTAATTGATTTTTCTCCGCATGTACTGAAGCTTCGAGCTCTGAAGTTTCCTATTTCTTCTTTATTATCCATTGCTTATTTCTTATCGCAATTTTCTTAATAAAAAATGAGTGCAATACATAAGGCTGGGACTGGGCATTCACTTCGAGTTCAAAAAATGTTCCCATCTCTTTCTTAGGCGTTTCGATTGGTAATTTATGCTGCACTTTTAAGAACATGCATTATTTACAAAACCACACTTTCTACAATTACAGGTCCACAATTTTAATTTACAACTCCACAAAGTGAGTCAGATCCACGCTTATTTTAGGCCCTGATATGGAGGAAGACCTGAAAAAGAAACGAGTACAAGTACCCCAGTTTAAAAATAGCTTTTGGGGGCATTATTGAAGCGGGGTATGCATCTCATCTTATTCAGCATGTCCAATTGTGTACTTGTACCAACTTTCATGCTTGTATCATAAAATGCACAATTCGTCCTATCACAACTACTCGCTCCTTACCCTGTTAATATTCTGCTTATACCACTGCAGATATTTCGTATAACTGTTTAATTTCTTATGTTAATCTTGTAATTCTTAGTATTTCAAAAAAATTGATTCCTAGTTTATCAAGACTTTGTTTATTTTTTAGGGGAATGTTTCAGCGTAAAGTTATAAGTTTGCAAAACTTCACATTTTTGGATGCCATTTTGATTTGGGTGCTGCAATACTTTTGTTAGCTTAGTAACACTTCTTTTATCGCTATCGGCTTCGTTTTTAGTGTAGTGCCTCTGCCAAAAAAAGATAAACATAGTTTACATGCCGCAAAACCAAAAAAATTTGTTTACTAAGTTATAATCAAACTACAAGTTACCTATCAATTTCCTTCCCTCTTGTCATTGTGTTCTTTTCAGGCCAAACACGTCACAAACCGAATATTCGCGCCTAAAAACAAATTAGGGCCTAGTCCTCCAGAACTATTTGGGTTAGATTGAGTTGCGGACCAGCGCATGAAAGATATTTTCTGCTTTGGGTTAATTTGTCTCATGAAGATTATATTTGTAGGTGCAAAATGATATTGTTGGATGGACCCCTCTTTAGTCCTCTTTATGAAAAATACATATATGAGAACTTCATTAATGAAAACATTGAAATCTACAAGCTGTAATGTTAACTTAAAAATATTTTTGATATAAATATTCTTATACACTTTACATTAAAAATCACCCGACTTAACTAGTTTATACCAGTATAAGCACTATACCTATACTAGCACTTTGGCTGCCAAGAAAATTATTCTCCAGGTACTGCACCATCAAAAATGTACATAATGAGCCATGCTTAATTTCCTCCAAAAGACAGTTTTGTTTGCAACACCTTAGGTGTAGAGACATGAATACAATGTATTTTTTCCATACACCCAGTTTCTTGTGACATAAAATATTAATTAGGCATAAATATTAAGACTAAACAAAATACAAGCAGCTCAAATATCAAGAGTGTTATAACTTGAACAAACTTATAGAAAATAAAAAAAGTACATCATATGAATGAATGGAAGAAATCTACCCATGTTAGGTTATTATGTGTTTGCCATAAACTTAGGATAAAATACTTATGTAAAAAGAACTAAAATAGTTATGTTATTACTGGATTATATACATGCCAATCCCTTCTCCAACTGAGCAATGGAGTAATGATTATGATTAAATACTGATATATGCAAGATCGAAAAATACCTTGTCATTATCAGAGGAATAACTTGGTGAATTTATATGGAAGCCAGTACACTTAAACTGACAACAGATATCATCCTTACTTGGTAGACCTTTATACTTTATACTCAGTGCACATTCTCTAATGAAACAAGTCATTACTGGACTATGGTAGAATCCATCATTTCAAGACTAACCCTAACCCCAAATCTTAGTATAATTTTATTTTTCTGACAATTAAATAAAACTTACTTGAAATTTTCAAAAAGATGATAATGCCTACCAAGCAACATTATTTATCAACACCTATATAAAGAATAATATTATTCATTATAGTTCTCATTGCTTCAATCTGTTTCATCCAGGATGGTTGTCCTCACAATTGCTTCAGTTACAGCATAAGGGTCACAGTTGGAAGATGGTCTACGGTCTTCTAAGTATCCCTTGCCATCTTCAGCACACTGGCGTGGAATCCTTATGCTTGCTCCCCTATGTGCAACACCTGATGAAAAGGTGTGGATATCTGATGTTTCATGGCGTCCTGTCAATCGTCTCATGTTGTCTGCCCCAGAATTTGGATCATACATTTTTATATGGTATTCATGTCTCTTTGACAGCCTTTCAACTGCTTCATACATGTATTTGATTCCTCCCTCTTCTCTCATAGCTTCCGTGCTACAAAGGCAAGGCAGGTAAGACAATCAAATTTACAAAAATAGCAATAAAGCATTAGGAACTGGGAAATAAAGTGTTTCAAACATTGAAAAAACAAAAATGAAAATCAACATCTAACAAAACATAAAAGTTGAAATACAATTTGACAAGGCGTTTTTATGTTAATCACAAAGATTGTAATTTACCTATAGTTGGTATGTGCTCCAGCACCATTCCAGTCTCCAGGCATTGGTTTTGGGTCAAAAGTAACAATTATACCAAAATCCTCTGCAACCCGTTCAAGTAAATATCTAGCAATCCATAAATGATCACCCATGTCAATTCCCTCACATGGTCCAACTTGGAATTCCCACTGAAGTTAATAATATGATAGTTAATAATAAAAACATTAACATAGACTTTCTGAACTATCTACTATATACATTATATATACACACAATTATAAACACAATTTTTACCTATTATAACTATGCAAGCATTGCAAAATTTTATGAAAATGAGAGAGATTTTTCCTGATTATTGAAGTTTCATATTTTTGGTGCCAAACACTGTCTTTAATGTACAATTAAACATAGAACATAGAAAGCCTGAACATAGAAAATGTTCAATTTCAAAAAACTGAAACTTTCAGGTCAGTCTGTCCATCTCCCTATACTGCATTTCCATGAATTGCCCCCCTTAGAAAAGCCCCTACCATAGACCTTCAAATTGTCAATAAGCCCCACCCTCGAATAAACCCCCATTGCTACCATAAATCCTCAAATTTGCCCCCCTCAATTTGATGATTGGTCTTGATTTGTTAATACTTTTGGTAATAACTAAATGTCAATAAAGAAATTCCTACTAAAATATACCTCTTTTAGGTCTTAAGGTGTTTTAACAATATCTTCTTGATGTCTACTATCAGTTTATAAGCTCTCACCTTGTATAAACCCCAACTTGTACAAGCCCCCTAAAAAAACCCCCATCCAAAAATATTAAAAATAAGTAAGCCCCCAGGGGGCTAATTTGAGGATTTACAGTATGCAAGAAACTAGTCATGAGAAGTTCTGCTTTATACCTCTATTTGGAGGCATTTCTTTTTCGAGGTGTGCAGCATTCTAAAGGTGAACTATAAACCAGATATAAATATGTTGTGAAAGATATTTGAAAAGAACCTACCTGAGCAGGCATGACCTCTGCATTCTCACCAGCAATTTTTACACCAGCATAAAGGCAAGCCCTATAATGTGCTTCCACAACTTCCCTTCCAAACACTCTTCCTGTACCAACAGCGCAATAATATGGACCTTGGGGTGCTGGGTATCCACCCTTTGGCCATCCCAGGGGATGCCTGTCTTGGTCCAACAGTGTGTATTCTTGCTCAATACCAAACCATGGGTGCTGCTCCTACAATTGCAAAATTTAACTTGAAAGTTTACAGCAACCTTCGAAACACCATTTTGCACCATTTTGGCAGGAGTGAGAGACAAAAATTTTTGCAAAAAATTCAGGGTTAATGCGTTAAAAATGTCCAAGACCCTAACCGCTGAGCAATCCTCATGCCAGATGCAATGATGGAAGATTGGAAAAAGTCCTTAAATGGGAAGAATTTCTAACAAGAATTCTAATATGCAGCAGCAGTAGAACAGCATAATTGGCTGATGCACATTAATAAAATATTGGTCCTGCGAGTCAAGCAAATTTTAATATCTCACAAAGAGCTACTAAAAAAGCAAAAAGTCAGCTTAGTATATTCAGGGCAGTATAATTACAAACATGCAAAAAAAATTATCAAAAATAATTCAAAATAACCAAAACAGAGTCTATTAATAACTTAAACCTCAGACCTCATGCAAACGTATGTGATACGGGCAAATTTCAGTCAATAATTGCACGCTCAAACCAATTTCTTAGCCATATTACATTGTGTGTACAAGTTTCTGCAAGCGCACGTAAAGAATGTAGACTTTGTACCCGAAGCAGCGCATTATCCGGACATTTTAGTACAAACAAGTTGCTTGGCAATTAAAAACTTTCGAGAGAATTCGAGTTATTCAAGCCAAAGAAAAATAAAGCTAGCGGTTTAAGGCTGCAAAGTAGTCGAAGAGAAAGTAAATCCCCTACTTTAACGCATCTAGGCCTAGGTTTTAACTTTTAACCTTTGGGTATTCTACAAAGCGTAAAACAGTTGACAAAACGTGACCAGACCATAGGAAATCAAATGACGTGCTCAACAAACAATTAATGAATGGCCTACCTTCACTTCCTTTCGCTGCATGGCTTGATTGCAAGTTTTCCTTCTGTTTGATTCGCATGGTTTGTGGTCGTATTTGTAAGTTTCACAAAGGACGATCTTGTTCTTTCCACCTCTGAATGGATCTTTGAACATTGCAACTGGGTGGAGATATGTGTCGCTATTCTTGCCAGTTGCCTGGCCTGTCGACGATCCATCATAATTCCAAACCGGAACATCTTGGGGTAAAGTTGGTTCAAAATCTACTGTTCTGGTTTTGCATCGAAGGTGTTGTCCTGTACCGTCAATCCACACATACTGTACCATAACCCTTCCCTGAGTGTCCAAATCCATGTACTTCGAAAGCACATCTTGGTTTAGGCCTTTATAGACATTAGCTGCCATTTTGTCGCTGTTATTTCTTTCAATTTATGTGGCAAATTTTCAGGACGAAGCAAATCTAAAATAGAAAATTTAAGGATACATAAATAGCAAATGTATATCGTATCGTAAATTTGTTCGGTTTCAACCGATCGTAGGCTAATAAACGATAATGAATGCTGGATAGTAGATTTGCAGGAGTTGATGGTTGCAGAATGGCAAATTTAGGCCAGACTGTTGAAAAGTACAAACAACGAGATATATAATCAGAAAATCCACTATTCGCTTCACCCAGCAAAAGCCGGAAAACTACACCTAAGATTAAGATCACATCCACATGATGCATGCATTTCAATGTTTAAAAAATATATTTACAAAAGTTTCAATATCCCGATTGATTGGAAACTAGGAGACGACAAGAAGTATTCTGTAACTTCTACAGTAACTATAAGGTACAACGCAACATTTCAAGAAAAATAAAATTCCTTACCAATATGCCACGTTGTCACCAACAGCCAAACCTCAAGGCACACAACTACACAGACTGAAGCAACAATGCAGCGCGCCAAAATTTTATTACGCTAGACAGTAAATTCTTTACCCATAAAAGGAAGTTATCCTCGTTTTCAGAATCCACCTGCATGCAAAGACAGATTTTATTGCACGTGATTGTGATATTGAGCACATGTCCAGTGCGTCATGCTCAACGGGAAAAATCCAGTAAACATGACCTTTGTGTATTTTCCGCTTTTTTTGATTGGTTTGTAGCGCTCTCATTTTGACCTTTACCCTCCCTCAAAAGCAATTATTTCACGCAACTGAACCTTGATTCGTCAATGTTTTACCAGTCACAAACGGAAGATGGCAGGGCAAAATACAAACTTTGATCAAATTTCGTGAATAAACAATTACACGTAGACCGTTTGGCCTTTGACCAATTGTCAAATCTGTCAAGCCTATACCTCCATTCATCAAATATCACAACACGAAATCAAAAAAAATATTGGTTTCCATATTTGCAGTCAGTGTCGTGTCCAAAAAGGAAATTTGCTGACTTCCAAAAACAACTGAAAAAGTATTTCCTTGCAAAGACAACAGGTAACAAAGGGGCAATATGATAAGATCTATTAATTAAATTTAAAGAGGTAATAGACGAAATAGATCCAGTTTCTTTGTCGTATAATGAAGATTTTGATAAAGGTTTCGAACCCGTTTGAAATATCACTTCAGCTGAAGGGAAGAAACCAGATAATGCAAACTTGAATCAAAACATTAGATCGTAGACACGGCAGTTTTAAAGAAAAATGGCGCCATTGAAGGAAGGAAGTTAAAAGGGAATAAGTACTACACTCTTTTTTTATAAGAAAAATTTTATAAGAACACGAGCTTCAAAACTGGTCAAAAGTTAAGAACAAATTAAGAACAACCTGAGGCTGAAGCTGCAAAATGCAACTTTGAACAACGTTTTTTCTCAAAATCGAGGATTTTTAGCCTTATGTGGTGCTTTTTCGGGGAATATTCAAATTTGTCAGCAAATTAAGGCTGTCTCGCTCACTTTGTTGGCAAATGAGGCCTGAACACATCCTTAGAGCGAAAAAGCTAGCAGTAGCACTGCTTACACCCTCTTAATTTAAGAACAAATTAAGAACAATTCAGCCTCAGATTTTTGCAAAAATTAAGAACAGTCAGCCTGAACTTAAATTTACTGGTTCTTATAAAAAAGAGTGTATGTATTAGAAAATTGCGCAACCCCAGGTTAAAACCACAAGTTATGCTTCAATTGTCAAAAATGAAAACAAGCTTGCTTTATTGATTTCTAGCTATTTTTACCAAGGTTGTAAAGGATAGTAAATGCTAATGAAAAATTAAAATTGACTTGATAAGCTGTTTGTTATTCCGTGTTGTTTGGACCTGCAAGACATTCACATCGTTGTACTCATTCTCAGCTTGGCCTTTGAGGTAAAGGCATCTTTTGAAAGCCTTCCAGCTCCCTGGAATTTCATTGAGGCCTACGTTGAGGCGTAATGTGAAGTGAAGTGAAGACAGCTTGGTTTTCTTACGATTGAAAGGAAATTTCAATAAATGCTCCTACGTGCAGTGGCATAGGGGGGTGCCTTGATGCAGATGCTTACCTTGATAATGTTATCAATTTTTCTCATATAATAACTTATAAAAATAAACGATAAAAATATATCAACAGCATTCTACTCCTTTCACCCGAGTCACAACCTATCTGGCTAGAAGACCATATTCTTAAAAAGGCACGCCGCCTCAAGGAACTTGGTTACGCCAGTGGCCTTCAGTACCCATGACATTATTTTGCAACTGCAATGCCTGCCAAAAGTCTTTGGAACACTGACGTCAGTTTCAGTTCCCCATGGAACAATGTTGGTTTATTATGAAACGGGTTAGGATTTTAGGAAGCACGTTCTTTTGCGCTTTTTTATGATATTTCTCTAAATTATCAACATTGTTCTAGGGGGAAGGGGGTGGAAGTAGTAATTTTTTCTGAAAAGGAATGAAAGATATAAAATGCAATGCAAATTGCTGGATGTTCCAAGTACTTTTGGCAGGCATTTTAAGTCTGATTATTTAGCTTGTTACGTTTTTATTTTTCTTCAGCGTCAAAGTAAAGAAACAGTCCCAGGTGGACGACCACAATGAGCACGGAAAAGTGGCTTTTGTTGGTTTGAAAAGAAATTTGAATGTATTTCACGGGACTGAATGTAGCATTGGTCCTTTTGTTCAAGCACAAAGTCCAATAAAGCTGATTAAAAAGCGCGGGGTCGCTAGTTTTAAGCAAAAATGGTAAACATTAATATCTTTCTCCCAACCCTTCCACATCTCTCTACCAAATGTCCAGATGCTTGGAGCTATTTTTCGGGGCTAATATTGACTGTGGTATTAATTAAAGATTATTTGTTGTTATAAGCAAAATTCCTGTATCTATGTTCTTTTGATTTGCAATAAAGTGGGGACTATACACCTCTCCTCCTCATTTTTTCTACTTTATGGCCCTTCACTTTGAAGTTTAAGCACTGAGAACATTGAGTCTAAGGGGCAGTTCTGATCAAGGTCTAAAGTCATGAAGTATTTACATGGTCGATGAGCCCAGAAGCATTCTTGAAAATAGGTCAATTTTGTCATAACGCTCGCAAGCAGCAAGATTGATATTTGATTTCATCAATTCTATACTGTTGATTTTGTATCTTTCGTGCATGCTTCCAGTGTATGCAATTATACCAATCTTGTTAATTTTTCGGTTCTTCAGTATCGACCTATATTTCTTTATGTCAATCGCACGTTTCCATACTTGTTAAAAATATTTACTCATTAATGCTCAAGAACAATAAAACATATCTAATTTCTTAATATCTACAAATATAAAATAATTTCTTAAATCATATTGCTATCAAAATTAGTTTGTAAAGTAAAACGTATATTAAATTTTTCCCACTCAAGTATTTCTTGGCCTAGATATCATGCTGCAGTAAAAAAAGGGAAATGAACTATTTCTAAATGAAAAGTCTACTTCTGGTGCTTCAAAGGGTGAAAAGACTTTTATAGTGTATGTATTATAATTCCTTATCATGTTCAGAGACGCGTCTATTAATGAAGTTATTCGATGCTCGAAGACTAAAACACTTCAAAATTGTCTTCCATGCTTTGGTGAAAGGATGCTTTCAAAAATTTGTAAAAATTGCCCTCGTTGGCCTCTTCAATAGGATTCTGCAAACGATTACAAAGAACTAGTGAAAATAAGCATTTTTATTTCTTGATCAGTCAGGAGGAAAAAACCCAAAAGTACTAAGAAAACATAGGCAGTTTATGGAGACATATGGAGACCAAACATTATGCCATCAGGTTAGATATGTGGGTCGTGATTGCGCTGCAGCCTAGAAGCAATCACTTCCTTTGCTTTTTTTCGAATAATAACTGCAATATCGTAAAAGTAAAGGAAAACTCGTAAAGAGCCATGTTGCAATGCTTTGAGTGGCAACACGTGCTTAATCACCCTGTAACACATCAATAAAAATGCTATTAATTTTTATAAAGCTCAAATTTAAATATTGCTAAGTAATTTTGGCAAAAAGCCGGGCTATATTCAACTTTGAAAATTTCAGCCAGCCGCAGTACATTTTCATCATACGATTGGCATAAAATCATCCTCAATTGATTCAGCGTGAAACTAGGAGTGACAACATAAAGAACAGTCCTGTTCTTTGCACTAAAAGTGTGTACAACTCTGCTAGTACGGCAACGAGCACCTTATGACAGACCGGTGAACAGTAATTCTCTAATTCAATTACTTTCTGCAAGCTTAATTTCTTTATTCCTCCCTTCATCATTTGAATGCTGATGTAAACTTTTTTTCTTAAATGATTCTGTTCAATGCAAATAGCGAAAGATATTTATCAAAAAAGAGGGCACTAAAAACAATGTGCTAAAACCAGGGCAGGAATTTAGTGTCATTCACTCACCATATATCCGACACAAGCAAACATACTTTTAAAGAAGTGAAGTATGTCGCAATATGTACACCTACGATCCAGAAAAAGTTATATTATGTTATGAATGCATGTTATTACGTTAACTTTTGTTTTTCTTTGCCTTACTTTGTTATCATTAAAGAGAGCATCCTTTGTCTCCCCTCATATATATACTTTCGATTACAAAAAAATTGGCAGTCATAAAAAGAATGAAAAATGTCCAGTCATGGACAACAAAAAGAGAGCAATCTGACCAAACCCCGCCTTTCTAGCAGAGAATGAGAAATGTGTCAAAATTCTGGTGCCAAGTTATGTGCAATTAGAGAAAAAGTTTTGAACAAGATCTCCTTAAGAGAGACACTGTAAGAGTGACATGTTGGCACACTGTTTAATCTGTAGGGCACATCTAAAATATGCCCTTTTCCTTAGCCCCCTTCCGTCCTTTCTTCGACTAGCCTTTTTCTGTTAAACAGATGCAAAATCAGAAACAACATCAAGGAATCTGAAAATATCACGCTTTTGTTCAAATTCTACTAAAAAAATTCGTGCAATCGTGCAATTGATAATACATTTTTCTACCGTTATCAAAGTGAAGCTAGGTTATATTAAAAATGATCGGTAAATGAATTCTATGTTCCGCGTACATTCTAAAACTGGATGCAAATGTCTCTCGGCTTAGTCTGTCTCATTCAAGATGGTGGTTCTGACAATAGCCTCAGTAACCGAATAAGGATCGCAATTTGAAGATGGTCGACGGTCTTCCAAATAGCCCTTGCCATCTTCAGCACACTGACGTGGAATCCTAATGCTTGCTCCCCTGTGAGCAACCCCTGCTGAGAATGTGTAAATATCCGATGTCTCGTGAAGTCCCGTCAGCCTTCGTTTGTTATCTGCACCAAGATTTGGATCATACATTGCGATGTGGTAATCGTGGCGCTTGCCTAGCTTCTCAATAGCTTCATATATGTGTTTTATGCCGCCCTCATCTCTCATTGGTTTCGTGCTATAATAGATGCATTAATATTTGCTTAACATTCATATTTCTAATTTTGATTAACATTAATATGATTAACATAATTCAACATTCCCAATTATTATACAAAGGGAAAATGACTCCAAATTTTTCCTCAAACTGATATTTCTTGGAATAAAACAATTTGAAAAAATATGTCAAGTATCAAGATTCTTTGTTTTGCATTTATTCATGTCTTAAAGATTTATCCTGAGACGTATGAAGCAAATCTTTACCAGGGTTGCTTAGAAAAGTGATTTGTTCTTCAGGCCAATTCATTTAGAAATTTTACATAACTAAAATGGTTCTATTTGAAAATGGTTAAATTTGGATAAGTGCTTTGTAGGCATCTTTAGATCACAACGCATTATGTGGTTATGCTGTTTGCAACTGCCATACCTGTAATTTGCATGAGCGCCTGCTCCATTCCAGTCTCCAGGCATTGGCTTGGGATCGAAAGAGACTAAGATTCCAAAGTCCTCTGCTACATGCTCCAACAAAAATCTTCCCATCCATAGATGGTCTCCCATATCAATACCTTCACATGGGCCAACTTGAAATTCCCACTGTAAAACAAAAATAAACCTCCTAATGATATATATCTGAACCATTCAAGCCATAAAAGTAAGATTTACAGAATATTACTGAGAAATAGAATATAAGATTTCAAGGATATTACACTTATAAAAGATAAAGAATATAATATTTATAGAATATTCACAGACATTTTATTGTTGAAGTCCATGGATTAACAAATAGATAGAAAAGCAGGCTAGACAACTTTGATTCTACCGTTCCTTTAATTTTTTTGGATACATTTTTCTTATTTATTTTTGACATTCAGGTAACGGGTTATGTATTGATTCACGAGAGCAAAGCTTCTATTTCTATATCTCTACTACCCCAATGTCCTTCAAATTCAAGGATTTCAAAGTTTTTACATCTTTCTGATCAGCCATTTAACAGACCTCCTTGACTTAGGCAGATAACGCTTTGCAGTTGGTTCAACTACAGATTTAGGAACAGGCCCATATCAAGCAATAGCAAGAATATACCCATAGAAATATTTGCGCAGCTTTACGATCACGTGAATCCACTAACTATCACGTGGCTAGTCAAATATAACTCAAAATGGCCTGTAAGGCGTAGTTATTCTTATTACCTTAGCATTGAGACAACAAATGAAAAAGTTACAAAATTTGGGGTAGGGGGGATGTTGCATGCATAATTATTTAACAAAGTAGAATGTCATCAAGTATACCTGAGCAGGCATAACCTCTGCATTTTCTCCAGCAATTTTGATTCCTGCATAGAGACACGCCCTGTAATGTGCTTCGACGACCTCCCTTCCAAAGACTCTGCCAGCCCCGACTGCACAGTAGTATTCTCCTTGTGGAGCCGGGTATCCACCTTTAGGCCAACCAAGAGGGTGTCTATCTTGGTCGAGAAGGGTGTATTCTTGCTCGATACCAAACCATGGATGAAAGTCCTTTGTAAAGGAAGAAATGAAAAGCTTAGAAGGGCGAATCACTCTATAGAAAAATAGTGCACCTTTTGAAGAAATCCTATTGTTTTATCTGAAAATCTCTGGAAAATCGTTTGTGTGCTATTTACAAATTTGAATTTTGCAACAACACACGGCTGAGTTGCAGTGACTTGATGAAAACTGGTGACAGAGACGGGTCAACTTCCATTCCTAATAGGAAATGATGAGCGTAGAATGAAATGGTAAGACCATCACTGTATATCGCAAACATGCATTCATCTAACTATAAGCAAAGGATTATATGGACTTTGAGATGTTTGTAACATATTATAACGCTGTTGCATTTATTCTATATGCAAACCTTGGCTTGTTCCATGACTTGTTTACAAGTCTTCCTTCTGTTGGAAGCAGATGGTTTATGATCATGCTTGTATGTTTCGCACAGTACTATCTTATTTTTGCCACGTCTGAAGGGGTCCTTGAATAGTCTTACAGGGTGCAAGTACACATCACTGTTCTCCCCAACCGCTTGTCCGGTGGAGGAGCCGTCGAAATTCCAAATTGGTATATGGTCGACTTCAGTCGGTTCAAAGTCAAGTGTTTTCGTCTTGCATCGAAGATGCTGCCCGCTACCGTCAATCCATACATACTGAACCATCACTTTTCCATGGGTCTCCAAATCCATGTATTTGTTGAGGACATTCTGGTTTAGGCCTCTGTACAAAGTAGCCGCCATTTTCTTTGCTTACAGTTCTTGCTCAAGTAGAGACGATTTTAGACGGCCGAATTCTAAAAGTAAATATAAATACTGTAATTCATTTTTTTTCTGATCTTTATTTATCATCCTTCACAGACGTTGCTGGGAAATGCAGCTCTTGAACGAAATTTCGAGAAAATTTGTTTTCAATCAAACTCCTCCAACGAAAGACTCCCTTCTGAACGGCAAAATCCTAGCTTGGCAGCTGAGTTGACTACAAACTAGTGCTAAGTTGGCTAGGGCAACCCCCGGCCGCACTCCAAATCTAGTCTGTCAGAAAGTCTCTAGCGGCCCTTGTTCATTCAGTATTGAAAAAAGAAAATTCAAAAAATGTTTTACAAAAACTTTCACTGGCAGAAAATATTTTCGAACTATATAGAAACATTGAAGTTTATTTTTAGACGAAATGAATCAAAAATGCCTTGCAGGGACGCCGGAACAACCAAAGGGCAACGGGGCAGGGTTCAGTAAAAAGACATTTGAAAAAGTTTCTACTAATTCTTTTGTAACTTTCATTTTACTTCGATTTTCTGTAAGCTTCTTGTAAATTGGCTAACTGCTTTCGAAAGAATATCTCTACAGGTTTTGAAAAATCTCGTCATGAGTAAGGCACTACAGTCAGGATTTCATATTAATACATTTAAAAATTATAAAAAGCTGGTGTCAATGGCACATTTATGAAAGGTGAACTTTGGCCCCTTGCCCCTTCTATCAAATATACTCAAGTTGCATATTTTTATTAAACGAAATCTTAGCACGTGCCGAATGTACTGGCCTATCCTAAAGTCATATTGATTTTCATATTGAGTGATATTGAGTGAAGGTGCACTGCCTCTCTCTCTCCAAACAGCAAGCTATAGAGCAACAAATATTTCTACGTAGAGGTCTATGCAGATTAGGAATATCAGACCACCCATTAGACTTTTAACAAGCGAGTCCCCTAGGTGTCACAGCCTCTCTATTTCCAGGAATCGCTTGACAAACTTCTCTTACCAGCAAGAACGAGCTAGCTGGAAACTTGGGAAACTGCCTCCTTGAAAGTTGTCTTTCTTGTTTCATATCTCGAGAGGCAGCTTTCAAAACAGGATAATTCCAACATCTCTCTAGTTTCGACATTCCAAGCGACGCTCTGGAGGCGGAAAAGTGTGCAGTTCATTGAAATCGTAGCCCAAAAACAGTAGTGGGAATAAAGTTTTTGTAATCTGTGCACACTTAATCTTTCTTCTTATTTATTTGTAGCAATGTTTTATTACACGTATGCACTCTTATCCACTGTCTTCACAAAGGGATGTGTGATCTGTATGAAATGTTGAAGTTTTCTCGTGAGGGTTTTCTTTGCTGGACTAATCTGGAAGTACTAATTTGCAAATTTTGCCAATTAAGCTATTCTATACAACATTTTACTTATATTTTTTCAATTTCAACAGGTTTAGAGGAAGTTGAAACACAGTAGGGATTATTCTTCCTGCTTTATTTACTGTACTTCCGTAAAAAATCATGGCGACAACTCTTTATGAAAAACGCAGCAAAGGTTAGAGAAAATGTGGCTCTTCGACTTCAAAAGTTTGAAAATAAAAAGAGGTAAATTTTACTATTTCATAATTTGTATGTAGTAGGAATAATGAGCCTGTCGGTAGTTTTATATCCTTACAACATAGCTCTTATATCTCTAGCAAATTTAGCATATTTTATAGTGAAAGAAGTTTAAAAATGGAGAAAGTGGAGGCAGGGACCGCGCACCAGTCTAAAAAGAGGAGGGGCTGAAATGGGTGTGACCAATTTTTTTGAGGCTACGCCCTCCAGAACGCCTGAAAACGCCCCTTTTAGAAAATACTTTTCATTTCTACTCAATTTTTATAAACAGTCTGGTTCAGAGAAGATATCAATAACTATAAAAATGGTTAAAATTAGCTTGAGAGTAACAAAATACCAAGCTAACCAAGCTAGAAAATACATCATATCATTAAACAAGATAAAACACCTAGAAAATCAATAAAAAAGGTTCCCAGTCAAGAAGAGCTGCTACTACATAGGAGTAAACTGAATGGAGGCGTTAATTAGATAAAATAGGTTTTTTGACTTACTGGACTGAACACATCTTTGACACGATTTGCGTCCTTGCGTCAAAAGTTTTTCGAAGCAGTCATTGGTAAAATGTTCTGTTTACATTATGTTTACAATCAAAACAGATTGTTTTGTTTCATAACTTACTTGAAGTTAATCGTAATACCACATCATGATATCAGGACTATAGATCTAAATATAAACGGAAAAGTCACATACTTATGATACTAATAAAGTCAAGGATAAAAACTTCTAGTAAGATAAATTATATATGCTATGTAGACAGAAGAGAACTATTGCCCTGGAGTAATACGAAGCAAATTCATTGTTTGCAGCCGGTACAATGATTAGAAGCATGTCCACGTGATTGATAAATCTGATAATTTCGATTCGGTCCAAAGTCATGGGCAGTGTAGTACGAAAACGCTGATGTCGCTGCCTACCATAGATATCTATCTCTTACTGCGCTGCCTACCGATAAACTTATCAAACCTGTAATGAAACCAGTTTTAATCTTTACTTATCAATCCATCGATGATGCAAATAGTTTCCCTCTAACTTTCAGAAAACATTGACTAGTAAACATGAAAACACTCACCTAGTTGCTCTCGATGCTGGACGCTTTTGACAAAAAGTACAAATCTTGCGCGCTCTTTTAACTAGGAAATTACCCTGCTTGCAATTCTTTTCACTGCAGTCTTCTATTCATTCTGAGACAATGGTTTCCATATATGGAAGAATATCACTACAGAAGCCAAAAACTCGTGCCTTTTCATTTTCAAATCCCCAAGTGTGTCTTGCTGCCAAATATTTTAAAAATTAATACCCGACCGTACCTTATTGTGAAATGTATTGAAAAACAGTTTACTATTGATAACAAGGGCTGAACCGAGCCCCTGTGGGTAAAGTGTTTTCTGGCAGCAGGCTAGCACAGGTATTCGAGGGAAGGCAATTAAAGCTGATAGCAGGTATCTTGTTTAACTTTCATTGCCCAAAAACTTTGCAGCTCTACAGTCAGTTTATCATGGAGTATTTTTCCTGCATTTCTACATAACCTTTATTAAAAAATATTCTGTTTATAGAGCTAGGAGCTTCGTTTTTGAACGTTGGTGGTCTAGCATAGGGCCTCTGAAAGCCGTCCATTTATCTTTATGTGATATTTGAATCTACGTGGTTGGGTAATGTGAAGGGGTAAGGACTGTCAGTGTCTACCCAAGAGGGTAAGGCAATAGAATGAGCAACCGGGGCTCCTGCAATAAATATCTCCTGGACAAAGGCAAGAAGACAGTCTTGGCCACATCATGGCAAAATGAAGTGAGCTAAGCTCACCACGCCTTCAGTGGTGGCGCCAGCTATTACAGAGTGGGAGGGTAATGGGCGTGGCAATTGTGACCATGCCCCTTTGTCTCGTTCCAGTGATTCGTCCCTTTCCTTGGGAAATTTGATCTACCCATACCCAGCGCTTTTAATCCATTTTTAGAAGAAATATATAGACCATATTTTCAGAAAATTTGGGAGGTAATTACCTCCCCATACCACCCCTTGGCGCTGCCACTGCACGCCTTACTCTCTACCACTGGTCTGCCCCTTTCACTCCATTCTCACATTGTTCTAGAATAATGTCTTGGCTTATCAGAGCCAAACGATTGGACTTGAAAAAATGTTAGACCATATTCCGGGTGCAAAGGATCTAAACTGAACAACAGAGTCTAAACCTACTTTCATCGCTTTAAGTCTTCTGCGAGCAAATCAAGCAATTAAGCTTACATTTTTCCTGCAATTCTTCGAACCTGCTCAAGTTTGATCATCAAAGAATAACAAATCTTTACTTTAAGAAAGGAGTGTATCACTGCTTGAAGTGGCTACTGGCCTTATGTCCCACATGTTTCATAACTTGTAGCTGTATCTAAATAATGGCGAGTGGTAATGTTCCTAACTAATTCTCTGAATTTCTATCAGGGACGAGGTAAGTATTGGTAGCTGTAAAAATGTCATTTTTTGGAGCACTCTCATTCTCATAAATTTTTATGATACAGTTTCATAACAAACAAAAATTTTTCTCATCACAGTAAAAATTCTTCGGGTGTTTCATTTTTCTGTTCCATGAGTAAAGGCAGTTCGGAAAGAAAAATTCTATACTGTTTCTTATCATTTTGAAAGATAGAGAAAAGTATTTATATTGATATGTTATTTTCGAACTGAATATACAGGTACTTTTCGATAATCATAGGCCATCTCATTTTCTAAACAGCAGGCAGCGCTGTTGACTTCGACTGCCAAGTGAGCGGTCACCATTGGCAACAGACCTCCTTTCTGTGTCGCATCATGAAATTGCTTGTTTATAACATCGATTGTCGAAATCTCCAAGCAGTGCAGTGAGGAATACTTAACGTCACAGGATTGTATTTTAGATTTAGATGATTGAATGAAAAAATGAAAAGAAAGAAAATCAACCCGGAAATCCATCTTTAAGAAGTTTCTTCTACGCAACTGCAGAAGGTAACAACAGGCCAAGATAGCCAAAACTAATATCAGTTTTCCTCTTTCGAGAAAAATTCTATGACGGTTTCAATCCTTGTTGTTGAAGTTTTTTCTTGTTACGTTCAAAGCATTGAAAGTTGGTTCTGGGTTCGGATGCCAGTTTGTGATGCACAGTTTCACAAAACTATTTCACAAAATTTCTGCTTTCTACTCGAACTTTTTTCCGTTAAGGTCAAAACAAGATTTTCCTTGAGATCAAATAAAAATGCCTTATCTTCTTGATCCTAACGATTACAAGCCCACGAGTTGACAGTCTGAAATGTTGTTTTTTGAGTTGAATCAATAGCTCAATGCTTTGCAATCAGAAATAAAAACAAAACAAATATATTTACAGACAGTGTTCCCCAATCATTCTAAACCTCTAAACACCGTAGAGAGAACGCGTGTAGAATAATGCAATGTTCGAGTAGGTGCTTAGTCACCTACAGTTCTAGCCAAAAGGTTAGTGGACTGGAGAAATAACCATTAAGATTCCAACTTTACCCCAATAATGTTATCAAAACCCCCATCCCTGCAGTAATGCTTGTTTTTTTAGAATACCCAAATAACAGCGATCGAAATGAGTAGAAATAAGCATATCAACAATGCCTGTAAGAGTGGGGAGTGAATTCTTTCAAATGTGTTACAGTTTGCCAGCCAGTCCAATAACTTTTGGCCAGGATTTTAGTTAATGCAAAGTTCACTTTTAGACCTATTTCTGGCAGCGTATCGGTAGTTAAGAAACCAGAGCAATAGATAGATTAAAGTATGTCGCAACGAGTAGCCTCTTCATCAAACTCTCCTCCTCAGATTTAGCCGAATTCCAAAATCAAGGCTTCAAATAAACTTGGGCACGGCTGGCGGGATCAAACTGGCTTGCTGGGGGACTTACATTATTGGTCCCCATGTGCAGGTGCTAAGTCCATATAACTTGAGTCCAACGCCTAGGGATCGTGACTATCGCTCAAGCTAAAAGAACTAGAATTTCAGAAGTACATAGAAACCACGCCTTGTCGTACCAGCCAAATTACGATCGATACACGAATCCGGGAATTTCAAAGAGCTGTGAATCTGAAACTTTAATAACAGAGATTGAATCAACAGAAATGTGAATAGAACCAGCATGAAAAATAGCGCAACGCGAACTTGTTGCTATGAATCAGTCGGTTGCTGCCTACATGAATGTTTTTTTCTAATAAAGGGATATAGACCTACCTCATCGGGTGGCCCAGAACGATTCCAAATTTAGATTTACCAGCTGTTAGGTAGTTTAAATGAGGCAGCTCTAAAGCGATTTTCAGTTGATCCACTGAAGCTTGGCTAACGTTCCACAATTTGTGCCAGTAGCAAACTATTTTGTTTGATAGGGTGCTAGTTGGTTGGAAAGCCAATTCTTCTGATCATACATACTTGGCAAAAGAAATAGGAGAGTGAAAGGCTCTGAGTTTTACAATATTGTAACTTGCTTGGGTCAACCTTTCATAGCCAAGAGGACCTTCCTTAGAAGAGTTTGGTGTTTACAGTTGACCTGACGAAACGCCTTATCTCAAGAAAATTTGTCACCTATGGATCAACGCCGGAACAGTCAACGATGGACCTGGAAAACCAAACCATCCCTGATAAAGAATCAAGAATCTGACGCAACACGCAAGGACGGGCGCGAAAAAACATTGACTATGGAAATCAGAGTTGGTGATTTAAGGCCAAAGATTGGAAGTTATTTCATGTGGTATGCTTTAGGAGGAGGAGAAGCATTCTAAGAAGGACTTAGTCGCAACGATTCAATTGATAAATTGATGAACATATACTTGAAACAGACTTTGATATTTTGATCTTAATAACTTACGAATTTGTCGATAAAATCTTCACTAAATTGTGATTTATAGTTTTTACTTTTCCTTTTCTGCTGTAAGAGCGATGAAAATTAGTAGAAACGGCCAGGTTTTCTAAACACTTTATACCGGAATTCTATTGCACAGTTGCATATGCTCAAAGTGCATTTCTGGCTGAAAATGACGAACACTTAAGCGAGTTTCTGTACAGAATTGCTGTTCCAAATTGAAACTGGTCGATTTAAATGAAACTAGTAGACTTTTATTCATCCGAAATTTTATCCATTTTGAAAATATAAACATTGCTGTTTTCTTATCAGCATTCTTTTCTCTGAATTTAATTTTCAGCAACTAGAGCCAACTTTTCGGCAAGATAAATGTTTTGTGTGAATGTGGTAATTGTGTGTGAATAAATAAATGTAGGGTGTGTCACTTTCTTCAAATATCCCGATTAGCAACAACCATGAAGAAATTTTCCAATCATAAACATATCCAAAGCAATTCTGAATTCATTTTTTTCTAAGATATAGCATGCAGAAGCCAGTAGATGACATAATACAAAATTTGATTTCGAGACTTTATTTTACATCGAGGTTGACATTTTATGCGCCATTAAATCATTCAAATAATGTTTCAAAATCCTAATCCCTTTCATTAAGAACAATGGTTCTTATAAGAGCTTCACAAACTGAATACGGATCACAATTAGCTGACGGTCGCCTATCTTCCAGGTATCCCTTATTATCAAGAGCACATTGACGTGGAATTCTAATGCTGCACCCTCTGTTCGCCACACCGTGTGAAAAATCGTGTATGGTAGAGGTTTCGTGAAGGCCTGTCAATCTCCGTTTGTTGTCTTCTCCGCTATTTGGATCGTACATCTTTATGTGGTATTCGTGTCTCCTTGAAAGCTTCTCTACAGCCGCGTACACCTCTGACAGTCCACCATCTTTTCGCATATCAGATGTACTGTAGGTACAAAAAAACTTGTTGTAAAGTTGTCTTATTAGAAGTTATCTTATCACTCCTTGAAGACATAAAAGTACATCTGCCATTTGCTTTTGTTACATTCTCTCAGTAGCGCCGTTGATTACAGGCTCAGCCCCCCCCCCCCCCCCCCCCCCCACTTGTTAAATTCAGAGAGATTGAAGACACACAGCAGAGAATCTTTAACACAAATTCAAGCATATTTCGTGGGTATGTGTGTGGTCATGTGTGTGGCCTGTTGAATTTGCCTACAGCATAGACCCCCTACTTCCTAACTTTTTAGTACAGCATCCCTGCATTCTCAATGTCCCAATTCACAAGGCTAACAACGCAATATAACCTGACAATTATGTAACAAAATCAAAAATTACCTGAAGTTCATGTGTGCTCCAGCACCGTTCCAGTCGCCATTCATTGGCTTCGGATCCAGTGTATCAATTACACCGAAGTGCTCGGATATTCGTGATAATATGTACCTTGCCATCCATGTCTGATCTGCAAGGTCAATTCCTTCCACCGGTCCGATCTGGAATTCCCACTAAACGCAAATTGCAAGCATTTAAAAACCTTTATATCAATGTTTTTTGAGGCGTACTTTAAATTATAAACTGACTGTATTTTGACTCATCTAAATGAAGTTACTCTAAGGTTTAAGTTGCTTTGGAAACTATTGTTTGTACCAGCATGGACAAACACGTTCATAGATATATACAGGCAATAAGGCATTGAGTTGGGATCAAGAAAGTCCCATTGTAGAACATACATCACTGTGAGCAAGATTCGAAAGATGTTCAAAACATTTTGCTACCACCAAATCAGGCAACCAAAACAATCAGCTTGTTCTTACTTAGCTGCAAATTATGGATTAAAGTGTGTTTATTGGGTAGATCTTCTTTTGAAAGCATTTATGTACCTGTCCTGGCATAACCTCTGCATTCTCGCCGCCATGCATAATCCCAGCATATAAACACGCCATGTAGTGGGCTTCAACAACTTCTCTACCAAAAACACGGCCAGTTCCAACACCACAGTAATAAGGACCCTGTGGGCCAGGGAAACCGCCCTTTGGCCAACCAAGAGGGTGACCATCTCCGTCTAGCAAAGTGTATTCCTGTTCAATGGCAAACCATGGATGATGATCCTGTAACGAATAAAATTGTGCAATGAAAAGCAATCTTTACAGGCTGCATTTATATCAATTCTCTTAGTTATCAAAAATGAACACGCAGCAACAGGTGTCTTTAAACTGAATTAGCAACATCTTTTAGGCTAGATGATTTAGATAAGCTCACCTTGCATTTCTCCAAAGCCTCTAAGCAACTCGTCCTGTTGTTTGTTGCGCACGGTTCATTTTGGTAGTTGTAAGTATCACAAAGAACAAGCTTGTTTTTGCCTCTGCGAAAGGGATCCGGAAAAATTCTCCTTGGATACAAGAATGTATCACTGTTCTCACCCTGTGCCTGGCCTGTCGATGAACCATCATAGTTCCAGACCGGAAGATCTTCCGGACGCTCCGGTTCATTATCAAGTGTCCTTGATTTGCCTCTAGTGTGGTCTCCGCTTCCATCAATCCAAACATATGTTGCAATGACCTTGTCTGACTGCAGGTCCATGTACGAGCTCAATATAGCTTGGTCAGTACCGGCGTAATGGCGGATTGCACCAAGGCTCCTACAGGGACATACGAAGACACTAAATTAAACTCCACTTCTGTTTGTGCAATTGACTTTATCACCAATTTCATTGATACTAAATAAGTCCTTATAAAATAAAGTTCAAGGAGTACTTAAAATGAAATAAGTAATTGCAAGTAAAAGCGCATTGACGCACTGACCTGGCTGTGTTCAATTCTGTCTTGGAACCACTACGTGATGACATCGCTGCTGATACTGTTAGCTTGGTCGATATAGACAGATATCTCTTTGCTACTGTTGAAGCATTTTGCTTGCAGATATTAAAGAAACACGATGTTACTGCAGACTTGAAAGCCATGGTCGACTTGCCTGGAAAAGAATTGTTTGGAATTTAATCTCGCTGTTTGAATCAATCTAGATGCAGCTCGAATTCTAAACCAGTGTCTAAATCCAAAGCCCCGGGGCCTTCTGGTTCTTTGAATTTATGGTATTGTGGAAAATTTGTGACTGTATAATTCACAAACTATCATATTCATGGAAGGTTCTCAAATGCTCTAAAGTCAATCACTATCTTAATGTCAATCTTGAAATTATGACCCGTTTTGAATACACTCATTTTTTTTAAAGGAAACAAAGGTCAATGTTGAGTGCTCCAGTTTCTTAATGCCTTGCAAATTTAAATACTCATTGTTTCTTAAGAGTTTCGTAATAATTTCTTAAGAATTTCTTATAGCCAGTTTCTTATAAAAAATGAGTGTATTCAAGTACTTTTTTAGTCCAACTTGGCTCTCTAAGGTATCTGTGGCCTTAACAATGGTCTAAAGAAACACGGATCAAACATAAACGATTCGCAAAACTGTGCATAGAAACAATCGCTTTTGCATTGTCTAGGAGAGTGATATAAATCAAACTGTTGAGAAAGAAAGTGTTTTGATTGGTTAGCGTGAGGAATTTGGTTATCTGATTTCTGCTTGAAGGCTTATGTCGTGATATGTTCAGATCTTAAACAGGAAGGATGCGAGCAGCGTTTACGTATTTAATTTAACATTTCATGCCAATTGTTCAAATGATTAGTGAATTTTTGATTGTTTTTGTGTAATTGTACTTGTAAACTACATTCTTTTATTTTCTTTCTCTTAAGTTTGTAAACAGAAACTACGAGCTATATCAAAGGTAATTAAAACCAACTAAATATGCTAAGAAAAACCGTATGAAACAACAGTAACAGTAATAAATGAATTACTAATAAAATACATCAATGTACAGTAGGTGATTTCTGTGTGAATTTAGTTCCATGCTTTTTGACATTTGTACGATATAGTGTTTAATGCACACGCTATAGTGTTTGGTTTATTTCTAGTGAAAGTGAGTCCCTGAGGTTATAAGGTAGTTCAGTTATGTTTAAAATATTTTTCATGAAACTTGGGTTTTCGAGATGAATAGTTTCGTAAATTTCTTTTGCAAGTTGTTTTAAATTCCTTGTATGGATGGTAACCGTGTTGTCTTTGAGCAGCAGTTGTTCAAAACTAGATTAAAAATCATCATAGGCTACGCGCAATGTTTTTGCATGCATGTTATTATTAACTTTATTGCTTTTCCTACTGCAATACATCCATACCAAGGAACAGTAATCGAAGAATATCAAAACAATTGTTTCATGAAAAGTTTTCTTTTATCTTCGTTTAAATAAGGTGCTTTTCTTGCAAGTTTTAAATATCGTTTTAAATTAAGCTTGTACAATAAACGCCATTTACCTTAAACACGATTGTAGAAGATCTGGTAACGATGCGTGCTGAACAGAAAATACGACGTCGCTCTTTCGAGTGCTTGATCGGAGTGTGCGTGTAGCCACTGGTGATCAGAATGTAAGACAGCAGATTATCGATGTTACGTCAGATCAAGGTAGTGCTAGATATTACGCCTGTTATTCGGGGCATTGCAAGAATTTCGCGACAGCTAATAAATACCTGATGTTTGAATATCATGAAATATTATAGAATAGCAACAAGATGCAATACAATTATGCAACGGATAGGTCCTGATATATGGTCCAAAGTACTCACTTGGCAGTTTTTTGTAGAAGCTTTAAATCGTGTATGCAAAAAAAAACAATCAAAGTTCCCTGCTTTTGCAGATGTTTATAGAAACAATATGTAGTCTATCTAGATTTAAATAGCTATGATTGACAGAATAGTACGCATAATAAAAATCTGTTAAATCTAGGCCTTTCTTTCAGAATCCAGTGAAAATATAAGAAAAGAGCGCTAAATATCTGATGTTTTGTTCTGATGAATTTAGAATGGTGGTGAAAATTCAAAACGTGGCACTCATTTTCATAAGAATGAGTTTAAACAGACTTCAAAATCAATCAAACCCGGTTCTTAATAACTCTAGCTAAAGAAAGCAGTAGATTGAGAATTAAAAGCCAAAAGCTTCATAACACATCTAATATTTTCTTGCTATGAAATGTCAGTCTTACGTCAAAATTTCTTGAGTTTACACTCTAAGGATTGAAAAACAAGATAAGAATATTCAAGCTTTAAAGTTGACCAAGATGACGTTTTGTTTGTTGTTGATAGCAAGCCCTCTAAGACATTTGTTTTTTCTAAACATGAACGAATGAATTCATATAACTCACCTCTAAAATGTTATATTATGTCTTTTCTACCAATTTCAATTTTCCGAGTACAAACCCTGTTGGCATAAAAAGAATTTAGGCCTCTTACAGTAAGATGACCTGCATTTTCGAAGAAATAAGCTGTATTTGATAATTGTTTGCAATCATTTTGTGAAAGATTTCCAGGCAACATGCTAGATAAATACAAAAGTTCCTTCTCAAATGATTTTTCGCACTTGGCAACCGTTGGTGAACCCGAAGGCCATAACAGTATCAGCGAAGAATGTTTTTTCACTCAGAGACTTTTTGAGTTAACACACAAATATTTACACGAGAGGCTATTTAAACAGCTGAAGAAAGCATCAAAAATAGAAATAGCCTATTTGGAGACTTTGACCAGAGTAAGAAAACACTAACTAATTGAAAAGAATTTTTAACGACCATGGATGAACTTAATAAAATATTATTGTAAAAGATGAAATGTAAACTCCATTTTGCTCCAGGGCTCCGGGACACAACAATCTAGTGTGCAGAAATTGAACATTTAGAAAAGCAGAGAAGTATAATCCATGCTGAAATTAAGGCTGCTACTTTCGCCTGTCTTTGCAGTAGGGAAAACGAATTCATTGGTTTCTCATTTCAAATTTCCCAGTTAAAATATAAATGAACCATTTGGAAAGGGCGCGTGTTTAAACACGTCACCATAATTTACTCGACAAGATAAACACCCATTGGAGACATGATAAAGAGCAACGAAGTGGTTTAAAATGAGCACAAGACTGGGTGTCATTTTCGGTTTTTTAGATGAATTGAGTTCGATTTTCGCAAACAATCCGAAATTACTGATTGCTTTTTCAAACAGTCACGCACCTCATACCCTCTTCTTCGGCACAACTCGATCATGATTTAATGTTGTTAGAATTTTTGCCGTGTTGATAATATTTGCCGTCATGTGTCTTTATCGGCCTTGGTACTCAGTTCATTATATGAAACAGAAACAATTTCTCTTGGAACAAAATTGAAAGGAAAGGGGGAAGGGGGGAGGAGGAGGTTACTTGTTTCTAATCTAGTACTTTATCAGAAGTGGTGGCACGAGAGTTACAGGCACCGTGGTGCGTTGAGAAAATTTGGGGGGTTTAAAAAGAGTGGGGAGCTAAAACCATATAAAAAGAGGCTCTACTGGTAGTTTATTACTTAATATTTGGCATTTTTGCAAAACGTTCCCCTGCTCCGCGGTGCCTGAGTTAAGGGATTTCTAGCCCCCAAAATTTCAATCTAGCCCCAAAATTATGTCAGCACTGCATGGGTTTCTAATTTTGAAATTTTTTGTTTACTAACAGTTCTGAATGAGTCAAGCTTATTACATGTCGGGACAATCTAGTTTTTTCTTTTTCCTAACACCACAACTCTACTGCATAAAGGAGAGTATAGATTCTGTGACCCGTGACACTGCAAAAGGCCCAGTCGTCTGGTCCCGTTGTAAACCTATTGTCTCATTATTGACTTTCTCTCAGCGCCTGTATGCTATCGATCTTCGAGCTGCTGTAAACTTGATATTTCCCTGAATCCTTATTGCGTCCTGTTTAATAATCTCAGACCGTGGGTCGGAAAAGATTATGAATTCTGCTATCGCCTTTGTATATCCTAGATTTATTGGCAGGATTAAAAGTTCCTTATTGAGATCTGCAAAATATCTTTCTTTTGTGACTTTGATAACAACATTAATTCCCGGCATTCACGGTGAAGAAAACTTTTTATATCTTTAATAATAAAGATTTTGTTAATCTTTTTAATTTGACAGTTGGCAGCATATCACTCAAAACGTACAATTAGAATCGCTATGAGCAAAAATATACTCATTTGTACGTAAATGTCCAGATGATATTTCGTTCGAGTATGCAAATAAGAACCAAAAAGAAAGCGACACGCAATCTTACCTTGCTTAATCTCGCCAAACTGTTGCAAGGTGGCAAATTGAGAAGGTGTAATCTTTATTTTCTTTCTTCTACTTGTAGAAATAGTTGATAAACAAAATAGCAAATTTTTCCAGAGCTTTCTTGATGGTGGCACGAACGCCCTAAATCATCGTGACAAATAATCATGTGATCAAAGGTCGAGTTTGTCTCAAGTATCCAAGAAATAAATGGGTCATAATAATAATCATGCAGACTGTGGATTGTTGAAAATATACAGGCACCGCGGAGCGTTGAGGAAAGTAGGGGGTCTAAAAAGTGGGGGGGGAGGCTAAAGCCCCCCAGCCCCCTTGCTCCGCGGGGCCTGATATATTGAGAATACTGATATGTTCTTAGCTAGGAATGGAGAAATGGCCATTATCATTCGGTGTACCAATTCTAAAGCCAGAAATTAAGTTTCAGCAATAATAAATTTGCAAAAAGTAGACAGCTGAAGTTCGAAGAGTTATGTTGTACAGAACAAAATAAAGCATATATATTTTATGAACTGCTGAGACTGATGGGCCACTAAAATTATTTTGAACCCTCTACAAAGCCTGTCTAGGGGGTTTGTACTAGGGGTTAAGTGATTTTTTTAAAAAGTGGAAAATAGTTTTTTGTCTGAAAGATGGTGGCTAGAGTCTCCATTATTTAATCTCAAGAATATAGACTCATTTTTGTCACCACAGCCATATACAATACTGTATCCTCGCCTCGATTCATGAGGCTCTGGTACCCAGGGTAGAAAGGTGGAAATGTCAAGGGGGATGGGTTGTAATCGCAGTATGTGACAAGAAAACAGATCAAAACACACTGTTCGAGATCGTTGTTAACATCTCTGTCGTCTTACTACAACCATTGGAAGTGGCGTAAGAGTAAGTAAAATTTCAGGAAGCAGAACCCAAAATTTAAAGATAAAATCAGCGTTTGTCTACTTTCTTTCTTTAGAAACTTGATAATTATTACGTACAATTATTGAAAAATGTTGATAATTTCTCTTTTTTTGATCACATGAAATCTTCAACGACTTTAACCAACTTTTACCGTGACTTTCACCAATATAATACTCAATCGAATGTTGGGCGAAGCAAGTATTGAAGAAAGGGGGAGGGAAGGGGGGTAGGACTGGTACACCTTCCAGTTTATACATCTCCAGTTTAAACTTCTTGGGCAAAAAAAACAACAAAGGAGGATACAACTTGTTTCTACAAGCGAAGAAGAACCATTTTAACTTAAAGGTCCGAGCTGTGAAGATCCCCTCACCCCAAAAAAGTAGCAGTCTCACCCAATTTCATTATTTTCATCGTTCTAGCAAAACTTTCCAACGATTTCAGATTCTTACAAACCGTAATCCTCGAATACGCCCTCATGCTCGAATAAGCCCCCACACTCGAATAAGCCCCTACGCTCGAATAAGCCCCCACCTAAAAAATTAATTTTTGCAAGTAAGCCCCCAGGGGCTTATTCGAGGATTTACGGTACAGCAGGGCCACCGGAAGCTGGAGCCCCCCCCCCATAATCGTCAAACTGTACTATATTTCCTTTATTACAGTGTACTGAATTAGAAGCAATACAATGGGCAGCCCCCCTCTCCCCTTAATGCAAATGTCGCTCCGACGGCACTGTACAGGGGACCTTGGAAAAGGAAAAAAAAAATGCGTACAGCCTTCAGGGTAATTGAAACTCTTTGGAATATGTATTCTTCAGTTCGAGATGAAAGTCTGCAAACAGATTAATCGTCAAAAAGTATCGAATAGTTATATGCCGGAAGCAGTGGTGTAGTGCTAGGGGGCTCAGGGGGCGGTGCCCCCTTGTCAACGACGAAGATTGACAAATTCCTACTTTTGCTATTGTTTTTGCAACATATTGTGCAAAGCCCCCTTGTTATTTAAATAGCATTACACAACTGGTTGGAAAGTGTGTCTTTTCCAGAAAACTTGCTTTTCTCTGAATACCCCAATTTTTTCTTTCCCGGATCGACGACAATGTAGCGAAAGAATTTGTCAAAGAAACAATGCGAGCAAATTTTATAAGCAATTTACTACATCCTCCATTTGGATCATAAAATCGCGATTTGCGTCTATCACCGTCGTCACCAAGGCAACAACGGAGGAAAATTTTATCCTTGGAGACCACAAGACGCAAATGAATTATCTTGAAAGAAAATATAGAAAAAAACAGTTTCCATTGGTAGTTTACTCAAAATAAACAGCAAATACAGTTGCTACTGCGAAGAGTTTTCCCGTTTTGAACTCCGATGTGGCAAAAGTGTCTACCCCTGGGTTCCACAGTGCTCGGCTAACAAACCTCATTTCCTGACCTGTATCACTTCCTATGTGCACTAGACATATAACACGGTATCTGTCAATGCTCAATGCTTTCACTTTCGATTTAATATCATCAGATATAATCTTTGCTTGAAGTGGAGACTCCTTTTGATCGTAGTCCATTCCATCCAAATGTCGCTTCAATGTTTCAGTTATAATCTCTCGTACACGGCAATAAGGAAATGTCATATCAGGCTCAAGTTTGTACGTGTTTTCTATTTTTTCTTTGTTTATCTTGGCTTCCATTGCCTCTTCCGATACTTTATGTTGAAAATGGTGAAAAATACTGCTGCTAATTTTTCTACCACCTCTTGGCTGGATCACATCCCTGAAAGCGTCACTCGCCAGCATCATGTTCGATATCTTCCTAGTTGGTCCTAATGGTGGATGGTATTTCGTATCTGTCGATATCTTCCTTGTCGGTTTTGTGACATTTCTGACTCCTGGGTCGACTGTTTCTGTTTCCATTCTCGGGTTTCCTTAACGACAAATGAGATTTCTTTATTTGAAACCACAAAGTTAAGAACAAGACTAAGGTGTCAAAGAGCTAACGCGTTTTCGGTGCTGCCAGTACAACAAAATGGCCTGGTTGTTTATCCGTCCTCCTTCTGTTCTGAGCGCTCAAGCTTATATAAATACCTTTCAATCTCTCTCCGTCGTATATACTGTTCAAACCATCGGGCCTCTGATTTTCTCATGAATAGAGCCCTTTATGTCTACTCAGAGGTTGTTCATAAACAGTACAATAGGACTTACAGATGCATGAAAACCAATGAAAACCTTTTCAATAAATACTGAAGTTCATTTTACGACCAATCCACTGGAAACGGAAATCGTTCACTGCTTTAATAACCTTCTTGTTTTACAATTCGCGCAATTCTACACGAAAGAAATAAATTCCTTGTAATGACATCAATGCCATTGTGATGTCATTTAAGCTCGTATTGTGTTTCAACTTTCAACGATGAATCTCCCCTGAATCTCTCAATCTTTGACATCCACTTCCTATTTCAGCTGGCCTGTCAGAATGTAGTGGCTTTCGTATACCCCTTTTCCATTCTCCTACATCCGGGCGGATCCAGAGCAAATTTGAAGGAGGGGCAGTTGGTAGTGGGGGCGCTGAAAATTTTTTAAAAATTGGTGACGAGAATACGCTGTATACAACAATTATAGATCCATTTTCGAAAGGAACAACATAACTTTTAGGTAATTCTTGAAGAAAATTAACCTATTGGTCTCAGAAACTTTTTCACCTGATCAGTTTTCAAAAGGAGCGCACAATTTCCAAAAAGGGGCGCCAAACTTGCTTCAACTCGTTGAGGGAGGGGCAACTGCCCCTAGTTGCCCCCCTTAAATCCGCCACTGCCCTCTACAAACTTCAGTGTTCCTTTTGCAGTCAAATTTTAAAGATAGAAAATGTACATATCTCAAATCATTGATAAGTGATCGAGAAACAAATATTGACCGAGATTAATTGTAATTGTAATTGTAATTGTAATTGTAATACGAGGTTAATAAAACAGAACAGAACACAACATGTCTACGAGGCTTTAATTTTTTTCAAATAATTTCAATGCAATCTCATCCATCTAAACTTGCAAATAATTTTCCAAAAATTAATTAAATCTAAAAACCTACATGTCTACATTCAGTAAACAAGTTCTTTAAATTAATCTACCCAAAAAAACAAAAAAGAAAGAATCTATTGTATAAACAATAATCCAAAAACAGTCCTTGATCCTTTCAAGCACAGTAAAGAAGCGCTTGCAAATTGCTTGCTGCGAAAATAACACGAATGGATTCCGTGAAATTGCATCACTTGTTGGCTGCTCAATTAGTGCAGCTTTTGTAGTGTGTAAAAAGTTTTTCCTTAAAAGAAGAATAAACAATTTACCAAAGGTTGGTAGACGGAAGAAGTTTACGACGCCGAGAGACGAAAGGTCTTTTCTGAGGGAACTACGAAGTAATAGGTTTGAATCCACACCGACCACACATTTCGTTGTCGTGTTAAAAGAAGCTAAATTTAGGAACATATTAGGAAAATAATTTCATAATTTCATGAAAAATTGTAGGAATTTAATGCTTTTATAGTTATAATTCAAAAGTTAAAGTGCTTCTTCAACTTTTAACCACATTATCTACATAGGCTCTAGATTATTTGAAAAAATACGTTCAAAAAGTATGTACATATATCTTAACAATTTTCAGTGGTAAAAGCGAATCCAACGCAACGCCATAGATCTTTTATCGAATGTGTCTGAATACTTTTTAAACGTGAGTGCAACAGGGCTGGCGAAACATATTTGAAAGTGGAGGGGCCAAAATATCAATGTTTTGAAAGGGCTTAGGAAAGGGCGCCATCATGGTGGCGGCAAGAAGAATTTTAGAATTATGGCCAGAAACTTTATCTAAAATTAATTTTGACTGAAGGTGTCGCATAGTCGCGTCAATTGTGATGTTGACTTGAAATAGAAAAGTTTTGCAGAGTTTCAGAATAACCACTTGTATGAATGTAGAATAACCACAAAGAATGAAACCTTTTTTAGATTCTAAAAGTACCCGAAATAAGATGGGGGAGAAAAATAAATAAAACACGGGTTAATAAAAAACATTAACGTTGGAATATCAACAGAAGAACTATCAACTAAAAATAAAAATTTAAGCAATTTTGCACGGTTAAGATATAACTTTGTAACATCTGATCTTAACTTTTTCGGAAATAAAGTGCTTTAACAAAAATTTGAAAAACCTTCAAACTAGTCTTGTCAAAATGAGTTTAATAGAATTTATAACTGCGTCGATATTTTCTCTTTTTATAGTAAGAATGGATTATCCAAACGATCAATCTCTGAAGTTTTCTTGATGATACTTTTTAAGAACAAATCTGCCCTTACTTTATTTGCCATATCCTCAAAAAAGTTCTTTCCAGCTGTTTCTTTTCCTTCAACAGCTGATTTCTCTCTTTTTGTAATGTTTCTGAGAAAGTTTTCGTTAACAAATAGACCTTGTGTGCCAAGTTTAGGCAATGGAAAAAACAAAACTCTGTCAATTTGTGTTAATTACGTTTATTCCCATATTAAATTTGATGTATGTCTTCTATGGTAAAGACATGGCAACCAAGGAAAAGCTAAGGACAGATTACTAGACAAAGTTTCTTACAGAATCATATGCTACATTTATTTCCACTTTTGCCTAAAAATTTTCTTTAGATCTGCAGAAAGGTGGGGGGCCATGCCCCCCGGCCCCCCCGGTTTCGCCGGCCCTGTGTAATTACCACTTCTCTTAACACATTGCGATTTAATTATTAACGCGTTATGGTTACTGACTGGGTTCATTTTTTTAAGTTCAACTTGAGATCACAACCAATTTCAGTCACTTTTTCAATTAGAAAAGTTTTTAAAAAAGGGAAAAGAGTTTTTTAATGAAGGGTGGTGCTAAACAAGAGAAAAAACTATTGCTGCCATTAAATTTTTGCGGCTCTGGTCCCCATCCCAGGATAGCTTTTCAGAAAACTACAAAAAAGTAATAATGTTTCTATGGTCACCGTGGTAAAGAGGCTACGATTTCTGAATCGAGAATTCAGAACCACATGGCCTAGGATTCCAAAGCGTAGAGTCAGGAATCGACATCTGAAATTGATACTGGGAAAGTTTTGAATTGTGGCTCAAAATGACGTCTCTTTCGAGGCAGTTAGAAAATCTTCAGATTCCAGATGCTTTGCTTGCTTACAACTTGCAAAATAAACGTGCCTCAATATTATTTGAAGCGCAAGAAGCTGCTGATATAGACATCGATACAATTTTTTCCATCGGGAACACAGGACTGGAAGAGCTCCAAAATATCGACCCTGAGTTTTTGAAATTCGAGAAAACCCTGTTCAGCGAAACTGCAAAATCGATTGAAAGAACACAACAGCCTAAAGAGTTTAATGATAGATTAGACAAGAAATTAAGCGAATTTCTTGTCTGTGTTTCACCATATATATTGACGAAACCGGCACAGCAGGCTCTTGAATGGTTGGTGAGACGTTTTCGCATCCATGTCTTCAATACGGATTCGCTGATGTCCTGTATCTTGCCTTTTCACGAGACAAACCTTTTCTCTAGAGTGGTTAGCATAATAACTTTCAATAAGGAGACTGAGAAATGGCAATGGCTGGCCTCATGTCAAAAAGCTGGGACCCCGTTATCCAAATTGACCCTTATACAGCACTGCTTGAGTGACAGTGCATTTCTCACCTTCGTTTGCGAAATGATCCCAAAAGCAATTGGCCTCAGACAGGGTAAATCAATGGAGAAATTGAAAACACTTTTTTCGTTCTATGCAAGTGTGTTACTCGGTGTTGCAGAGTCTGCGCCAAACTTAAACGAATCAAGGGTTGGGAAGATTCTGCCTTACTTGTACCAGGGGCTGAAATCTGACATTGAAGACTACAAAGTATCATCATACATGGTGCTGTCACAAGTATGCTTGATGAAGACTTTCAAAGAACAGACAATTGTTCCTTTTGTTGATCTTATATGCAAGGTATGTGTCATCAGGGGCAATCCCAATGAGTCCCTTCAAAGGGTGTTTATCATTACAAGTATTTGCTGAGTGAAAAACCCATTGAAATAAAGTCTAAATATTGCATTCTAATTTTCCAATTCAGTTGCCCTAGAGAACATTGATGAAAAAGGTATCTTATAGCCCAAAGTGCTACTGGCAACAAAAAATTTTAAATGAATTCAAAGTTGCTAATTCATTTGGTCTTTGATGAAAACTTTTTTGTCCCTGTCATGCTGAGACTTTGTACAATAAGAATTTTCAAAGTCTTCACCAAAGAATTTTTTCAGACATGTGCAACTTATTTCTTAAAAGCAAGTCATTGACTTTACCATACCCAATATAAACATGATAAGTTATAGCTGGCTCAATTATAGGTTTTTTATATCTTTTCAGCATAAATTTATAATGTTTGAATCAAAACATAGAATTTAACACTCTTTGTGCACCAGTTTAGCTCTAAGTCCCATCTTTAGACCCAATGTAGTAATTTTACATTTGGTAAAGGTTTAAGACTCAACTATTTATGTTTCACCTTTCAGTCTTTGTCTGCTGACACAATGAAGCTTGGAATCATAACCTTAGAGTGTATCTATAGAAGGCACAAAGGACAACTTCCTAACAAGTAGGTCTTTAGATTACACAAATTCTGCTTTCTCAGATTTTCTCAAATTTTCTCAAATTCTGCTTAATGTTAGAGTTTCAATGCATTCTAAAAGAAGATGATTGAAGAAGTGAAACAGCAATCCAATGCCATTATATAACAGTACCTAACTGTTATTTGTTTTATCCAAAAGAAACAGCTGTTGTTTTGTCAGGCAATTTCAATTGCTTGGTTATTGCCTGTTTGAAGGCCGACCTCCACTTGGCGGCACGTATGGCACTATCAAATTGGTGCATGCTCAAAGGCAATAAATTGAGAATCACATTGACAGGACAGTAGAATCAGTGCAGAAACCTTCAGTAGTGTTGAAAAAAATTGCTTTTTTACTTCATTTCCCATTTAACGCCAATTTTGAAGAAGTTGGTGCAAGTCTCTCACAAGCTGAACGAATGGCTTACCGATTTTGATAATGTACAAAGTAGCAGCTGGTATTACCGACACAGCATAAAAGCAGTTGGTCATTGACTGTTAAAGACTATGGATCAAAGTTTTAGCTATGCCGATTTTTTTCCAAGAAAATTTTATTTGATTTGTTCACTTTATACAACTGAAGTCATACAATTTCTGAAGAATAGTTTCTCTTTCTGTTTTAGGGCTTTAAGAAGACTTTGTGAAACTAAAGGAGCAATATCCTTGATAAGTGAGCTTGCTGAGCAGAATTCTTTGCCATGCCTCCTTTCCATTCTTCTAGTTGGGATTGTTAATCTGGCATTGATATCATCACAATCTGATGAGTCAGCAACAGAAAAATCCAGTGACTTCATCTCAGTCTTTACAACACTATTTCAAGTGTCAAAATTAGAAGGAAATTCATTGAAGTACATACTGAGGTATATGCTTGGAGCTCTATGTTTGACCTTTGCAATATATTCTAACCTATCAAAGTGACACATGACTAATATTTATCAAACCTTATCCACTTCCTCCTTGACTTACCCATGCCACATTTATCTTAAGCATTGTCTTATTTCCAGATCTCGAAATGAGCAAAACTTAGGTAACTGGTTGATCAAGCCCAATATTTGATCAAGCCCAACTGGTTGATCATTTAGGTATTGATCAAGCTCCTAGATGATATTTATTTTGAAGCAAAGCAAGTCAAAAGTTTTGGAAAATTTTTCAAACAACAATGGCTGTAATCAATACAAATATAAACGGCCCATTTAGGGTGTACATTATGTGAACATGGACTTGATTTTTTTGAAAGGGTAATGAATTCCTTCACCATTTTATAAATATCTGAGCAAGAAACCCAGTGTCTCATTATTTTTGCGAGACACAAGAAACAACTAAAATATGTCAAAATGTTTATGTAAATTACATTTACAAATACTGCAGGTTAACAGAATTTCATGATACTAAAAGTTACTGATTGTTCTGATTGTAGAGTGTTTGATTTCTTATCTTTTTCACTTTTCCCTTTGCTAGTTGTATAGATGCTGACATCTTACTTCTCTCTATATAGGAGGTTTTTTGAGCAGTATATAAAGCTAAGAAAAGTGTCTTCTGATCCTGGAAATCTTTTAAAGCTTGGCAAAAAACTTATGCAGTCCTTTGAGAAACGGTATGTATTTAATTTACTGAAGTGAGAAAACTGCATTAAGTTATTTTGTTAACATATTCTTTAATTTGTTTTAAGAAAGTTAACTTAAGCAACAAATCATGAATCACATAAATAAAGCTGAAGTAGAGCATATTTCTAGGCAATTTTTGTTTTGTAAATTATAAGATTATAAAGACAAGATCAGGCTTCGGATTGTTATTATTATTATCAGGATACTTTTAATGGCATTTTGGCATCAAGTACATATTATGCAATAGACTGGTAAAAGTTCATCCAAATATTGCTGTTTCTTTAAATTTTCACAGGCTTGACTTTAGAAAGTCTTGGAATTTTTATCCTTAATAATTTTTTCATTATAACATTTTCATAACATCATTTTCAAAAATTGTTATGAGCTTAGAAATTAGCTTAATTTTTGCCAACTTTCTATCAGTTACAATGAGGTTCAGTTATTTGAATTGCCTTGGTTTTACATGGCTTGTAAAGAAGCTTGAAGAATTTTAACAATGAGTGAATGTAGTAAAGGTTTAATAAAATACTTCAGTAGAATTCAGAACCTCATTTCACGGAATTTACTGAAATATCTTGATCTTTTTAGGTATCCCGCAGAGACAGACTCTGTTGTCAAGGATTTTATTTCTCAAAACTCAGAAACAGAATTGCTTCAAGAACTGTTTCTGGCAGGAGGCGCCTCTTCAAAGTATAAAGTATGTTGTTTTCTTCATAAAGAATACACTCTATAGAAGTACACTTACTGGATTATGTTATGAAAATCTACTTCAGAAATGTTTGGATTTTGTCCATGTGTTATCAAGGGCCAAGCACAAATTTTTAAAGATACACTAATTTTCAAAAGGTGATTTTGAGAGCCTTTATGTTCTTTATAATGACCAAAATCAAAGCTGCCACATTTTGAAACCTATCTCAGCCCTTGTCAGTTATATATTTAAGAACTGTATGAAATAGCAATTTACGCTATTTGGTTTATAGAACAGGATGGATCTAAGTTGCTACCTTGAGTTTCAGGCTTGAATCAATCATCAGGCAACTGCAGAAATTTACATGAAAAAGCAGTTTGATATATCCAGAATGGTTTGAGAGTAGACATAAAAACACCTGCTTATCACCGTCATTTATTATTGGTTCTAAGTTTTCAAATGTTGATGTGCTTAGAAATTTGAATATTTGTTGTTTTTACAGGTCATCCCAGGTACAGAAACGCTTCTGATTGTCAATCTTAATCACCCAGAACCTGTAAGGCGCAAGATGGCTGTTCAAGAAGTGATAAGAAATTTGAAATCTGAGGTTTGAAACATACTTTATAACGATCATAATCATTGTTACTACTACCACCACTACCATCATCATCATTATTATTATCATCATCATCATCATAATCATAATCATAATCATAATCATCATAAATCACAATTGTTGCCAAAAGTCTTTATTTCATGTCTCTTTATTTCAGGATGAGAGCGTTGAAGGCAGAGAATTCATGCAGAGTGCTTTGGTCCAAAGGCTGAACGACGATGATGATTCTGTTTTTATGGAAATCTTGAAAGCAGGTTCCTGTCTCCTTAAGGTCGTTGAAGAAGCTACCTTGCTGGATTTGTTTCTTAGGAAACTCAAAGCTGCTCCTTTTCAAGAGAGGTAACATCAAAAGTTTTGTTTATTGTTTTGTTAAATGTAAGAACATCGCTGGTTAATGTGACTGTATTTTGCAAGCATCGCTACACGACTGAAGCGATTATGCTGTTATAACATCTTTTAATGTATCTAAAAAGATCTGACATTAAACGGCTGTGTCATATTTTAATTCCAAAACGACATTCTTGCCTTTGTTTAATATAATGGTTTTTACTAAAAGGCAGAAACATCTAACTTAAATATATTTTTCGTCTCGCAAGCCTCAGGATGTAAATTTTTGGATGATAACCAAAAGCTAAACGATATCTATGTGCAGATCAAAAGTGACATAAGAGGAAGAATGGCGCAGTTTTGAAAGTACTGCTGTACTTTAGGCTCGTTATTTTTTATATTATTACTTTTTCTTTCACGGTCTTTAGCAATTCGTACTTCACCTTTAATGTGTATCCGCCACTGTTAAGACTGTTGAGTAACAAATGATTATATGTCTGTAATTTGGGCTATTTCATCACATTTTGTGTCCTGGTCCAGATGGAAAAGCAGCTTTTTCACTTAAAATATACCCTTTATTTCCAGATTACCCTTGGCTGCAAATATCGTGGAGATTTTTAGAGAACACAAATTTTCAGTCGATTCTGATCAAGTATCAACACAGCTAATCTACTGCTTAATTCCAAGTTTGTTGCCTTCTATAAGTTTTGCAAAGGAACAATTATCGATTTACAAGAACCTTCTCGAATCGGACTTCGGATTGAAGAATCCTTTTGTGTTAGGCATCCGCACAGTTTTGCAGAAAACAGGTAGGTTAATGGTGTTCATTGTTGAGAAATTTGCTGCATTAAGTAAACGAGTCGATGTAACAAACAACATCGCCGAGGTATCGGATCTTCATATGAGTATGCACTTGATAACATCACAAGTCAAGGGATGGCAGAGACTTAAAGATCCTAAGAGATATTCTTAAATACATCAAAATACTTTCACTTCTCGGCACTTGAAACCTAGAATTTTATGCGAGTACAATTTTTATCAGAGACCTCTAACGCTTAGTTGATTCAAAAAGTGATTAAAGTTGTATCTTGCGTGATGAACTTCCTCTACATACAGCTATACGGCTACTTCTACTTGGAAACATTGCTTTGCGAGAATGACTTTTGCTATCGATTCTAAAGCAGGGATTGCAAAATACATTCAAGCTGTTGTTTAACCCTTTGTAATGCCAAAAAAGTGCTTGTGAAAAGATTTTGATTAATATGTTTTGTTTTTTGAAGGGAGAAAGATATTTTTATTGCAACAGTATCATTTGATGTTTTGATGTTATGTCAATGTATTCCATGAAATTTCTTCAGCTAAAACCTCGTTTTAATAGCATGTAATCCCAGATGGAGTTGCATTCAATTTTTAGGGAAATTAGTTCTAAAATATGAGCATGTTACCATTTGATTTCTCTAGATTTTTAAAGCTTTGCTAGGAAGAATTATTTTCTGTAATTTCACAATGCCCCATCTATAAATCTTGTTCTCTTTGTAGATTTAAAAGACTTTCAGAATTCCTCTGAAAACAAAAACCTTATTGCTACCATGTATCTGAGCATATTGGATGCAGTATCATCATTGCTGACCGAGGATAATGATAGGGAATTTTGGGTAAAACATTTTATGTTCTATGTCTATCTTCATAAAACTATCGTAAATTACTTGTTGCTTGTAATTGGCGACTAAACGCTCTACAAAAAGTTTTCACAGTTCCCCATTTGTTAGCAGAGAATTTGCTAATGGTATTGAAAAAGTTTAAAGAATTTCTTATTTAATCGTATGATATTTACTTGCCATTGATCCTAATTTAAGCTATCGAGTGCTTGATTAATTTCCAGATTTCTGGCTAAGTGCTTTCGAGGGGGCAGTAAATTGAGGGGGCGCCGATTACGAACTATGATCTCGTAAGAGGGTTTGAATTTAATTTCATTTGACGATGGCATGAAATCCTTTGAAAGAGTTTGATTTTCATAAAACTATTTTGATTATTAACGATATCAATAAGGCAATATATGATATAAATAGCTACGTTTTTGTCTTTTTTATAATAATTTGAAACTTTAATATTAGATGCCTAACGAATTTTTAACACATTTGGTTTCTTTTTTAGATCAAATCTGCCCTTGAAGCTGCAGATACGGGAAAAACAAATTTTGTATTTGAAGCTTTTCTGTATGCCGTTCTATTCACGTTGCTTGATCAGCTGCCACAGGCGCAAGTTTATGACTTTATTTCAAAATTTGAGGATTTCATACGAAAAACAGTAAGCTCATTCACAACTGTGGAAGGAAAGGAGGGTTACACAAAAGTATGGCTGTTTTCAAATACACTTGAGTTTCATTTTTACTTCTTAGTTGCTATCTCATTGTTTGTTTTTTTATGGTTTAGTGTTACTTCCTTTGATATTCTTTTACGTTGTCGGGGGAGGGGTTGAGCTTTATATATTAGGGTATCGAGGGCATGCTGAAAAGAAGACATAACGTCAAAAGCTGTTACGGTCATCACTATTCCAGGAATAAACGTAATTCTAAAGAAGTTTATATTTGTCTTGTCTCTTCTCTATTTCTCAATAACTATAATTTTTCAACTTCTGACCTTCAAAAAAGACCCATTACCAATCTTTACAATTCATATTTCTTTAAATTGGATCTTTAAGTTGTTGTTTTTGTTTCAAGCTTTTTTCCAAATATCATTGAAATATGTAGCGTATTTTGTTTTCAGGCTTTGCGAGCACCCAATGATGTTAAGGCAACATTCTCCGAGATAATCAACGCCGTTGCCATCAAAAGCACTGCCAAAGATAAAGCCAGATTTACGCGGATGAACGTATTTTGTTTGTTCCTGAGGAAGATCTTACACAGATTAAGCTCTCAAGACACAATCACAGGTTGGCTTTTTCAATCTTTCCACGTTCTCTTATTTATTCTGTGCCTTTTTTCTCTCAGCATTTCAACGTAGTTTTAGAAGTTCCATTCTAAAGCCAAACCCACCACGGAAAATTCATTCCATTGAAAAAGTGAACATATATGATTTTTATTTTTACATCATCTGTGATGACTAGATCTTTAGTACAACATCCATTTTAAAACAGTTTTACGACAGCCACGGGTCCATCCCTAGTCACTAAAATTATTTTTGTAGACATTCGGATTTGTCAAGAATTTGAAGACATTATAATCAAGAATTTGCTCACTTAACAAAAACTGTCATTACCAATTCTATACTGTCATTACAAATTGTAGAAAGTTAGTCTCCGAAATTTGAGCCCGGGTTCTCAAATGTGTGGTTTTTATATGCAGGTTTTGTTCTAGATGGCATTGAAATGTGTCACAATACAAGACTTGTATTGTGTCCACAAAATCTCTAACAATGTACTGATTTGTTTGATTTCCAATAAATCTAGGCAAAAAAGTATAGCATACTCTATTCCAACCAATCTTGTTTTTATTCATATTTATTTTGTTTCGTGTCGTGTATGTATTTGCTTTCTGTTGAAATTGAAAGGCCTTAATCGTATGTAGTGAATGAATCAGTCAGGCAAGCGATCAATCAGTCATAATATTACAATCAGTCAGTCAATCAATCAGTCAATGAATCAAGCAAACAAACAAACAAACAAACAAACATAGCAATCAATCAAAACAATCAATAAATCAGTCAACCAATCAATCAATCAACCAATCAATCTACTACTTGGTTTGATCAATTGGTCGATTTAGAACCAATCATAACCTTTTCATATGTTGAAAGTGTTAAAGCAATGCAGTCTTTACATCATTTCTGCATTTTCAGACGAAGTTAGTCAATCTTCAGAGTTCCATGTAAAGATTTTTGAAATGCTGGCTTCTGCGAGTGGCAAAGAGAAAAAAAGACGTCCTTATGTGTTGGTTTTCAGATCTTTGCTTCAGGAATTTTTAAAGGTGAGTAATAAGCGTGTTAATTCTACGGCCCTATGACGTTTATTTCCAAATACTTTGTGAAAATCCCTATTAAACAGATTTTGAATGGGTCTTTAGTTGATTGGGAATATCTTTTAATTTTAAATTTAAAGTAACTATATATAAAAATGTTATATTTCTGTTTACGATTTCTTCATTTTCGGCAACTAACTAGCTGAATACGCTTTAAATACTTTTATGCTTTTTCTAGCACTGACAGACATGTTTCCTAACTTTTTAAAAGAAGTTTTAGGGCACGATTGTTCATAGAGCCTTTACCTGTGTCAGTAGTTCTACTAGACACTAATATCTTATTTGCTTTCAGCTGCACTTCCCTTCGCCAAAAGCACTGTTGAAGTTCCTCTGTCAAATATTCATGATTCCAAAGTCCCTCAGTTGGTTGGTGGATCGTAATTGCGTTCTCGATCGTGTTGAAGTTATCGTCTGTGCCCTGCATATATTCAAAGTTTGTATGGAAACACTAGAGCAAGATATTGAGTCCATGTTTTCCTTTGATTCACAAGGTATGTATCGACTGAAAGGGTATTCTGGTTAAAGAATATATATATATATATAAGGCAAAGGCTGACAGGAGGAAAATATTTCCACAAGGGTGCTGCCCAATTGTATCGAAACACTCTTGGTCGGAATCGAACCACTCTTGGTCGATATAGATATATATAGATATTTAAAGTGTGAATCAAGAGCTATTTTGTAATATGATGTCATGAAATATTGAATCGCCAGACGATAAATATAATGGCAATTTCATCTGTCGCTTATTGGTCTGAAGTTTTAGACACTAGAGCAGCAAGCTTCCCAGATTTTTTAAGAACCATTGTTTAATAGGCTATGCTTACTTTTCTCTCTGTTGAAAAACGGATTTAGAATGATCTCTCTCTAGATTTATTGTTAACTCAAGGGTAACTTAATGCTTTCGCAGGTTCCCATCCGTTTGTAAACAATAGATGATATATAGCTTACGTAGTTGTGACCGCTCTTCCACTTGTAGTCATGGGCCCTTCCATCCGCTTAACATATCATTCGAGTCCCCATTTATCATGCTCTACCCAAGCAGAAGCACCCGTAAAAGAGTGATATATATCCACCCTCTCTTGTGACAATGATAGCGCTTGCGCCGCAGTGAGATCCAGCATGCCCTATATTTCATTTCATTGTCATAACATTCAGTTTGTGTCTATTTACAGTTCTACCAACCCTGTTGTCGTTGTTGCATCATCCTCTAAAGGTTGTGCGAGAAGCTGCGATTGGCTGCATCCAAGCACTAAATGACAACGACCGGATTAAATTAGACGATGGGCTGAAGTATTTGCTGAAGTTTACTGTAGGCAATGACACTGAAATTGTTGAAGACTCCCAGCAGATTTGCCAGTAAGTAGAAAGCAATCAATAGTTATAAATTAATTTAGTGGATAATTTAAGCCAATGACAAAGTTAAACATGGAAAAGTATGTTATATCAATTGATGGTCAAACATATCAATTGTACATCTGGCAATGTCATCTGGCAATTTCATCTGGCGTAACAGATCTACCTGGGGCCATAAAGAGAATCTGAAACGGGGCCCCTATTAACAGACTGCAAAAAAGTCCCATCCAAGGGTGTAAAGCATGTTAAACACATTTATCAAGATGTGAAGGTGACACTTTTTCTCATTATTTATAGGGGGGCTGAGTTATAAAAGCTTCAGTTCAAGAGCTGTAACTTTTTTAAAAAAAACTGTTGAACTTGAGAAGAGCCTTAAAAGATAGAGCAAAGGCTTGAAAACATGGATATAAAAACAATTTGGGGCCCCTTTTGGTCGGGGGCCCTTAGTTATCGAACTAAGTTTCCATGAAGTGCGTCTGGATGAAATGCCTGCTAGTGCATTTAAGAGTGTTTCTCAGGGGTATTTGTTCTCACTCGAACGCTGAGGTACCTTGAAATAGCTCGCTGTCTATACGACATCGAGCACCCTGCAAATTATTATTTGACAGTAGTTATCACCATTACTATAAGTGAACAGCGCACCCCCCCCTTTTTTACGTGTAACAAAACGTTGAGGTGTTCCACTTGTGTTTGATGAAAGCATTCGTTGTACTAAGAAGCAAAGTTTGCTGCACTGACTCCACAATTCTAGTTTATTTTACGCATCTTCTTTCGTTAGATCTCCTTTAAAATCTTTAAAATGTTATCTACATGATTTAAATAGTCAACGCTTTATTGAAAACACCTTGTAACCAAATCTTTGTTTCTCGTAATAGCGTGGTGGAGAAACTTTTCAAGCCCCTTAGCAGTAGCAGCACGGATGTTGAGATGCTCGAACCCAAAGAGCTTGAAGACATGAGGCTTCTGACGAAATATTTCTCTAGTTTTATCTGGCATTCTAATGTCCATCTGCAGCTTGGAATTGCCACAATAACATCGTCTGTGATATTTCAGGTATGTTTCAATGAAGTTTGGATTGATATTATGACATGCAGATTTTTTCTATTACTTTAATTGCTGGCATTTCCCTAAAGCATAATTTCTTTATATAGAATGATTGCCCTATTGATAGGTAACGAGAAACCTGGAAGAATCAGATATTATAATCCGATTAAGAAAAATGCAGGAATTTTTTTTTGGTTTTTAAAATTGATAAATGAAATTCCAAGTAAAAGATCTGAAAATTGCGCTTTGAGAATAATATGTTAAAAAGGGTCAAATTGCTGTCTGTTTCAATTTAGAAAAATTTTCATGCTTAGAATATCAATTTTTCATGCATAGACTTTTTATGCTCGAAACGCAAAATTTAAAGATGGTTTACGGAAATAATACTTTATCGTTAAAACCTATAGTTTGAATACATAATTTGTATGTCTGTTTCCAGCACATAATGCCATATTTAGGTTCACAATAAAAAGAAACTGCTGCTCTCCTTCAACAAAGTAGTTTTCATCCAGTAAACGGACTGATATGCCTTAAATAATTGTTTGATTGTGACATATATGCGATTTTTACTGTAGGAATTCTTGCTGCATTTAACACCCGTCGTCGGAGAACTGATAAAAGTCGCTCAAACCAAAGGTAAAAGCAGTGATTATTTTATATTATCTTATGTCAAATTATATTATGTTTTATTTTATTTTATTATATATATTATATTATTTTATGTTTTGTTATCTTATATTTTATTGTAATTTCATTATTTTATCATTCATTATTTTGCCATTTTATTATTTTGTCATTTAATCATTTTGTTATATATTGCAATTTTTCATTACAACTTTGCTTATTGCCCTATATACATTTCATTAGAAAAGATATTAAGTAGCTCTCTAAATTCCTTGCAGGTCTGACAGAATACGAGCTTCAGCTCCTGAGAATCTTGTTGAGAAAGTTCACTCCTGCAGTTGTTGATGTATTCGAAAAGTTTCCCGCATCGTTAAGAGTTTTTAAAACTGCACTGACCCTCGGAAGCGCTTGCCCTGGTACCATCTTGACTATCCAAGAAGAATGTCTCAAGCAAGTTAGTATTCCTTAAACGCATATAAGATGTTTTACTTGTTATTCTGATGTTCGAATTTTAAGATAGTTGTACCCTATTCTTCCACATCAACATTTGTAAAAAGTGTGTGTAATTTGATATCCTTTGAAATTTTAGCCAATTGGTTCGAATTTCTTTGTAGGTAACAGTACCCCTCTTCGAAGCCATCACCTCAAGTAAGATACAGAACGAAATATTTGAAACACTGCTGACGTCATTTGTAAACAGCAGCAGCACGTCTGTTTCCAAGGTGATCCAAGCGAAGCTTGTGGAGGTTCGTTTACATTTTCACTGCCTTAATCTTGTATGAAAACTGTCACAATTTCATAATATTTTATTCCTTCTTGAATTCTTAAAAAAATTCCATCAGAATCTCCTGGAAGACCATTTGCCTTGAGTAGGCATTTGTAAAGGGCAAGTTCGTAAAGTCTCTTTCGATATGAACTTGTGTTCACTAATAATTGCTTTGTAAGTTATTTGCTGCACAGTGTATTTCTCCTTCAGATTTATTGATTGACTATCGAGTCTAATTTCAGCTGCCAATAAGTGCCGAAGACATTGCTGATCAGATAACAGGTTTCAAGGAACATCTACAAGGGCCGCAGCCAAGCAAATCAAAGAAGGCTCGAAGGTGCGAAAATTTTTTTTACTCTTTTCCTTTGAGTTGAGGAAAATGAATTGCTTGTTTCTAAACATTGAATGGCTGGAAATGCTAAGGTTGAAGAAGAGATCACACAAAGAGACCCAATTTCTAAAAAGCAATGGAAAATTGATTCTGAGCTTTTAAAAACTCAGTAGGCGCCAAAAGTGACAGTTACGAAAGTAATAGATATTTAACGCAAAATCAAAACTTTAAACCAAAAAAGTATGCAGAAAAAAGGTTTCAGGTGCTAAATTCATGTGTAGTTATAGCAAATTGACGGACTATACATCTTTTTATCAATTTGAATATTTTCAATACACGACAATGGTGACATCGATGATTGAACACAAACGATTAAGAGAAGAAGCATACTTGGATTTCAGTTCTGGAATCATTCATTAGCGCATGACATGTATCTTCTCTCGCATGTGCCGACAAACTAAACGTTAAATGAGCCTTGATTCAAGCTGTTTATATTTACTTGATCTGTCGAGGATTCTTAAGAACTGTCAAAGTCTCCTCTTGTGCTATTTCTTGGTGATTTTTTGTTTCAGGACGACAAAATCCTTTACAAATGAAGATGATAGCTCCCTAACAGATTCTCCTCATTGGAACAAAGTCGTTATCCTTCTTGAAGTCATTCAGCTAAAATCAAACTTGGAGTTCAATGAGAAACTGGTTGTTTCCATCTTTGAAATGCTTTCACTGTAAGTAAAATTATTTTCACTTCTAGCGAGTCATAACCCCAATGCTATTTTAATTAGAGTCGTAATGTGACCCAAAGTGTGAAGTAAATAGTTTAGAACTGATGGTTTCGAAATTCGAAGCTCTCAAATGTATTTAATGAAGTTTATGTTATGGTAGATGAGCTAGCGACACAGATACAAAACCGAATTTTTATCGTATTTGATCATCAAAGAAGTATGACGCTCAATAACGATTATTCAATATTGGCCCTACAGCACTGTACTAAACAAGGATGTGATATTTTTCAGCTGAGTTGGTTGTTTTTTACCTGTGAGCTTTATTATTTATTCCAAATTAAGTTTCTTCTTGTGGTGAATTCTTTATTCTCTATTGAGGGTTTCCTGTGAAAGAAATTGGTTCTCTTCTGATTTCCATAAAATCCTCCTATTGAAATCCATAGAATAACGACCATCTTTTGTTTTCTCATATCTATATAATGTTTTCTTCTTGCCCCCGTCCACCAAACCTGTTGTTTGCCTGACTCATTAAATAGCATTTAGGTTTATGTAAACTTAATGATATTAAATGCTTAAAGCCTTTTACCAGCTAAAATATAGAAGATAAGGATTGAAAAGTCCTGAAAGTATTTCTGTTAAACCTTCTTTGTGTTGCACTATTTGACTTAGTTAAAGAATAAGTTTTGTTCTTGGTTCCAGATGCTTGGAGGTAAATACCACAAGCCAGCCATCAATAGAGTACATGAAACAACTTCTACTTGGTGCAATTTGCCGAGGCGTCGAACAGATTATTGAATCAGGCTCACGAGGTAACAACAGTATAAATCCATACAGCCAATCAGTAAACAGCTCTTGTAAAGATTGTTAAACTCTTTTGTCAAAGCAACCTTCTTTTTGTTAACTGAATTAACAGTCCCCCAGAGTCCAGCTAATGGCCATTCTCTCTCTTTCCCAATAAGCCAAACTTTGAGAAGTTCATCAGAAAAATACTAAGATCATGATTTTGTCTGGTTGTGGTAACTCAGACCTTTTGCTGTTAGTGACATCACTGTCGTCCTTGCGATCGCCAATATTTTGGCCCTTGTGCAATCTCGTTAGCACTTTTTTTGTTTGACCTTCTGGAATTTTTGAAATTATAATTCAAATGAGTAGTAATTGCAAAATCCGCTAAACTATTTAGCAAAATGCACATTTAAAATTAAAGGAATCCAGAATTGTCAATTAACGGCACATTTTTCTTCGTGTTTGCTATGTTGTTTATAGTCGTCTGTGTCTTCTTGCATGAATGCCATTTACTTTCTTATGCCTTTTTTCAGACATTCTCCATCAAGATAAATTCAGTGTGGCGAAAATCATTGAGTGTTTCCGAACATCAGAAAATCCCCAAACACATCATCAAGCATTGTTGGTTCTCGGAAAAGCTGCCAGCTTGTTTCCGGTAATTTTTTTTATGTTTTATTGAGGTTGACCTAGTCATAAATAAGTCGAGATTTGCCTTGCTGCAATTTTGATAAGTTCGTAAGATTTTTAGTATAAGCAATCTCTGATAACAATCTCCTATTGTTGATTGTAAAGCTACACAAATCCAACATGCAAAGATTTTCGATCAAAGTCACTGGGTTAGAGAGTTTGCTAGGGGGGGGGGGGGGAGGTTGTCAAAATAAAGGGCTACGGAAAGTAACAGAAATTTTCAATTGACAACATGCTGTAATAGACAAATGTTGCTACTTGCTTTTACTTCAACCAGCTTTATCACTATATTCAATGCCTGCTAAAGTCTACATACACTACTTTTCCCTTTCCTTCTTTGATTAATGAAGATTTATGCGTTTTCAAGGCACCTGATTGTCCACTTCCCTAGGGGGGGGAGGGGGGTGTGAGGTGTATTGAGCTCCTTTTGAAGGATCGGGTGTGTTGAACTCCCCATAAGGAACTGTATTATATTTGTGATGTTACTGAAAGCTTCGAGTTTGTACATAAGCTACTGGATGATGATTTATATTTTTGAAGGCCGTTTTATCAACAAAATATAACTTTTATATTTTTGTATACGGTCGAAAACCTGTAAAAGATACATAGTATGAGACGAGGATATTCCTATATGAAAGCTTGTTTTCTTGGGAAATAAGTATTAAGAGAGAGTGGGTCATCTTTTAGAGTATGATACAATTGGCTTCAATTTTGGGTTGATTAACAATAAGGTACTTCAGATCTGTGAAAGTTGATGATAGATGGTCGTTTTGTCTAATTTCTGTTTATTCTTAATGACAATATTAATAGCAATGTTGCTTTCGTTTGTAGCTTGTTTAAATTTCTATATTGTCCGCTAATATATTGGTTTTATAGTGATTTTATTCTTTTTCTCATTTTTCGTAGGACTTGGTTTTGCATAACGTAATGTCAATTTTCACTTTCATGGGTGCAAACGTTTTACGGCAGGATGATAGCTACAGTTTTGAGATCATCAAAAGAACAATAGACTCCGTCATACCAACTTTAGTGTCGGTAAGAGCGTGTTTCTCGTGCATGTATTTCTCTCATGTATTCCCTTTCTTGCTCGGGTGTTGAAGTGGGGCAAAGCTGTAAAAAGTCACCCAATATGCAAACATCCCTAGCATCCCTGGATGTAACGACGACTCAGGGGTTAGGGTCACACTAAAATTTCTGTTGGAGGGAGAATTGTCAGCGCTCTGCTCTTCAAGAAACAACTGCAGATAAATATATAGATGCAAATCCTGAGTCACAGCTCTATAGCACTTGCAGAATAAGCAAGCATGCTGGAAAATAAAATCAGTTTTTCCTGACGTTGCATTGATGCATGTTGCTTATGTGATATTTTTGCTTTCATAAAATCCAAAAAGTAGCAACTGTAATGGTGCAGACACATTTTCTTGCTGTGATCTTGAACTCATGCACACAAAACGTTCAAGCTCTCATGTGGGGTTTCTCAATAGAGAGACTCTAGCGAGGTTGATATGGGTGATAATAAGAGGTTGCTTTGTGTGTAAGATCATTAGTGAAAGGGCAGTTGCTTGTGTAGTCTGGCAGACTGAGGCAAGCTGTTACGCTTTGCATTGGTTCTGTAGCTCTAGGAAAAATTTACTTCATTTTCTCTGAAAGCTTTGTGAACCTTTCTCCTTTGAAAGGCTTATTGTCATTGCTCTAGGACATCAGTTTTAAATGTGTATCTAGTCAATGATATATGCTTGGAATTATTGAACGTGTATCAGTTTTTAAGACTGAAAGCTGCTACCATTAATCCTTTTCTTCTACTTTCCTACGCAGACAGATGAAGATGTTTCAAGCTCAAGCAAAGATGTTTACAAACCAAAAGTTAATGATATTGTCAAGCTAGTGGTCCGGGTTTTTGTAGACGCTGTTCCGTACATTCCAGAGCATCGTAGAATTATCTTACTGCATCATCTGACACACGTCTTGGGTTCTGAGAGACATCTCTATGTTGTTGTTGCTATTCTTCTTGAAAAAATGTTCCTTAAAGCTGAGAAACAAAGTGATAGTGAGGTAATTTAATGTCATTATTTGCCTTTACCATATGACCATAGATTTCAGTTAATAACGAAGATAGAAAAACAATCTTTTGGTGGTACAAAACTTGAAAATAGAAAAGATAGAAAAAATAAATTAGCTTGAATTCTTTGGCCTTTCAGTAAACGTTGTTGAGAACCATTTGTTCACATTTTAAGCAGATTTGATGAATAGTTTCGTTGGTGTCAGTTGAACTGATCTTTAGATACGAAACTTTCTGCCTAACAATGCAAATGTTTCTTCAGTGAGGCTCCACTAGTAAGTAATAGAGTAACAGAGACATAAACAATTTCTTTCATTTTTTTGTTAACGACATGTTCTTATCATTCTCAGCAAACTACAGAGGAGATGTCTTTATCCCCCGAATTCTGCTTTCTACTAGTGAAGAACTTTTCGTTGCAAGAGCAGGTTCGTATCCATTCCAATAAGCATAAATTTTTGAAAATTGATAATGGAAAGTTGAATAATATCTTGCTTTCTCTGAGATTGAATGGGATTTTCTGAAGATTAGTGTAAAGGGTTTATTTCTAATTTCATCAATATGCATTTGTTTAGCAAGTCAACACGAGCAGTTAAATGTACCTTCGTGCTTAGATAAAAATACGTAATACAGATGGAGAATCTTTCATGATTTGACACTGAGTGAGAAATGAGAGTGAGAATAAGAGATGCATGTCTTTGAATATGAGAGATGTAGACCTTCCTTCCCACTTCGGGAAACATTACTTTGTATGTTGAACTGTTAGTTTAATAATACTAGTAGTTATGATGAAGTTTAAGATTGATGAACCTTGGAGTTGCCACTCAAAATAAGGCTTAAAAACAGACTAGATATTTTTAAAAATAGACAAGATTTGCCACTCAAAGTAAGACTTAAAAACAGACATTTGATGCTGTTGAAAGGAGGGACTGGTGTTAACAGTGTATTAGTTATTGCAATCTCTGGAATATCTTCTCGTTCTAGGCAGTAACAATTGCAAATCTTATCGAGTTCCTCTCTTCACTGCCAGATGATCAACAGCAAGGTAAGGGGAAATTTAATATCAACTTTTATTATTTGTTTCTATCATGTATTATATGTTCAAAAGATGCTTTATTTTGTTGCTCATCTTTTGTCAAACATATTCTTTTCTAAAATTGAACCATAAAACTAATCCATGGATTTCTCCACGATAATAACTGATAATTAATAATATGATTTAACAGAATACCCCAATTTTTTATATGGGAATGGCTAATGTGAATTGTGAAATTCAATTATAATTTTCACTTTTTGTAGCAAAGATTGGAATATTATTTATTTTTATGTGAAGATTGTTTACTTTCAAACGAGTCATAATTGATTAAACTTACTTCAAATGTATTCTAATGCTAAAACGTTCACGTTGTTTATGTTCAGTGCAATAATCAGAGTACCTGTTTAATAGATGATTTACTATAAATTTGACTCTGTGATGAATCGAATATTTATTTTAATTTACTGCAGAGAGCCAGTCAAGGCGAGTGACTAGAGGGGTGCAGCAGAAAACTGAAGAGTTGGTCCCGCTTTTTGACACAAAGAAACACACTACACAAGAGATACGGCAATATAAAAATCACTGTTTAGAGCTTGTGTCTCAGATGCTGTCAAGTAGAGATTTTGACATTACGGTTCGTTGTTTCTTCTTAATGCTATGTTAGAGGCAACATCACTTTGTGCTTACTTGAGAGGCTCTCAGCCAAATACCTTAAGCTCTAGGAAATTGGAACGATATGTTTCGAGATTTTGCAAAAGAGCTTTAGAAATAAATAGACGTAAGGTTTTCTTAGTCGCGAAAATTCTAGATCAAGGCCTTAGCTCACCATTGCCCAAAAGTACCACTAACGGTAAGAAACGGAAAATCTTTTTAAGAAGTTCAGCTTTTACAGGTTTTTGATCCATGTTCTGACGTTTTATGCGCTGAAAATGTGTCAGACGAAAAGCTATAGTAACATGTTTCAAAACGTTTGCTTTTTTCAAAGCCATTTTTAAACTCTGTACCACGAAAAGACTGTTTCTAAAATTTATAATGTTTCTAAAAATTACCTTAATGCGTTTAAGATCGTAAGCTTCCTTTTTTTCTACTGCAGGTCACTAGGCATCTCACTTTACCGATACTGAAAGAACTTTACCTAAGGTAAATCTAGAACAATTTCTGTTATATTTTTCTTCATTTTATTCTTGTGCATGCTATTCATTGTCTTTCTTTTCAAATTCCTTACTCAGTGTTGAACCCATGTTTCTGGTCGGCGTGGAAAGTTTTTATTTGGATGAAGCGTTTAGAAATTGCCTTGCATTAGGGGGGGGGGGGGGGGGGTGGTAGGCTAAAAGATGATGTTCTCGTAATTTTTGTGAGGTTGGAACTGGCAATGATTTCCAGGCCAGGTTTTGCCAAATGTGTCTAGACAAACTTTAAGAAATACAGAACGAGATTTTTTCAGCCTTAATAAGTTCTGTTGATGTATATAGTCATAACTAATAAATCTGGGTAATTTCCACCAATGTCATTTGTTGCTTTCTTAACGATTGTTGATTTCAACCAAAAGAAATGACGCATCAATCTGTGTTGGTGCATAGCATGCGATCTTATTATCATCAAAATTTTCTTTAATCCATCACCAAACAGCAATTGGGTGTGAACAAAGTATTTTATACTATAGGTTGGTTGAAGAAATCTTACAGTTTGTTTGTGCAATCAGCATAAAGGCTGAAAATGATACCAAATCATCTTCAACGAAATATTGGAAAGCTATGATGTTAAAAGGGAGTGAATTAGTTCAAAAGGTTAGTTGATATAATTATCTTTGTTGCCATTGTCATCATTGTCTGCATCCTTCTTGTTTCCGTCATCATGGTCCTTGTTATAAATCAATCAACAGACAACATGATTCAGTCATCAATCATGATGAATCAATAATGAATTGATCATTATCAACCAATCATTATTATTCAATCACCATCAACCATAAATAATTACTTCCCCTATTGTTGTTGCTTTTGTTATCATTGTTATTTTGAAAGGCATGAGCCGCATGTATGAGAAGCAGGGGTGGATACTTGCTCAAATATTGGGGGCAAGTCTATTGTTTGGATAAGATGACTTCACATTTTCCTATTGTTTTAGAACAAAAGACCATTCCCCTCTAAAATATTGGTGGCGACCACTCTCCTCGGCCCCAGGTGTCCGCCACTGTTTAGAAGACCGGGTTTGATCAGGTTTTGTAACCACTGGTCGGGTTTTCATAATGATTCTTAATCAAGTAGGTGCCTATGTAAATTGAACAGTATGATTGGCTCGTTGCTCAATTGAACTGTTTTCAGTGTACTTATTAAACTAGTAAGTATCCAGTTTTCTGAAATAAACTCAGGATGTATATGCATCTACTATATGTTCCTATTTGAATTTATCCTTCAAGGTGTACAGGCTTCTAGAGTTTGACATTTTTGCTCATGTAACAAGCCTGCTAATGCAGAATGAGAATCCAGCTATACGAAAGAAAGCCATTGAACTCACAGCTGAACATCTGAAGGAAGCAAAAGAGCTTAGCCGTCACCAGGTCAGTTAATTTTGACGTCACATTCTTTATGTATAGAAATTGTATAGGAAACCTGGATCTCTATATTTGTCCCGCATCCTGAAACTTATTTTTAAGCTAATTTTGCAAGTCTGCCTGGTTCCAGTGCTTCACTGTTCTTCTTCTTTTATATTTAGAAAGGTTTCTACCAGTTTTCAGGATTACGGATGTCTTCTTCATGAGGATATCTCAGTTGGTGTTGAGTCCTTTACATCCGTAGTATTTAGATCAGGCTGTTCCATTCGGATAACTGAATGTACTTCCCCTACTCTATACTGTTGAAATCTGGTATTAAAAGTAGCATGTTGTCCATAAACCTTGTCACACGGCATAAAAGATTGAAGAATAATAATAATCATGACAATCAAAATATTGATTTACTGTTGAGATGAAGAAAAGCAGCACTGCCGGCTGCTTTTCATCACCGGAACATTTTCGAATCAAATCTCCAAAGGACAAAATAAAACTTTCATAGTGTCAGCCTATGGTGAAATGTGGAAAAAGTTTGATAACTTTGTGAATATGCATAACTGCAAATGACGTTTTTGGAAGACTAAATAGATTGACATGAAATAAGAGTCCTATTATTGGCCATTTTCATTAGTTTTGATAAGTACTGTGCAGTTTACAATGTGCTTTATTTTGCAAAATCAAAATTTTTCTGTGTTTTTACTTAGAAAATGGCGTTGATTGATATTGCAACAAGCCTTGTTAACTTGGCCAACACCGACTCACCTGAACTTCCAGCCATTAAGCATGCGGCATTGCAAGTATTGAGGTTAATTGTTCAGTTGTTGGGCAAGGAGTTTGCTGAAGAACTGAGATGTGCTGTTCCGGTCACAATTGCTGTCATATTAGCATCTGATGGGAATCCACAGATCACTGCGAGTGCCTTTGCCTGTATTGGAGAGCTCTCCTCCTGTCTCAGTTTTGAATTCATCGAATTTCTACCAAAGTTGATGCCACCATTGCTACAGCTACTCACTAAAGGGTTAGTCATTTTTTCTAGTGATTTGGTTGCTAGACAGCGTGCCATTTGGAAATTTATTATGTTCCATCTGAGATTTGAGTACATTTTTATTTGAAATTGAAATCAACTGTAAGTGGAGGTGCGTCCAAACATATTTTCTGAAAATTATCATGATGTGCCAATTTGGCACCTATCAGAAGCATACCAGTTGCGGAGATGCAGCAAAACTCCGGAAAGAAAAACATGAGAATTTAAGAGCCTGCAGGCTGTCTATCTTCCATTAAGTACCTTGTATTTGTGAATCATTTTTAAGGCTGAGAAATAAATGAAGTTCTTAATATAGCAGGTATCTTCCTTAAGTGTTTATGTTGACTCAGGATCATTTGTAATTTTAGTTTATGTGCTAGCATTTTGAGCTATAAATTTCCTATGAAAGGTCGACTTTTCATCCCTTGACTATAGATATTTGTTTCACTTGATTCAAAGCTAAACAGCATCTTTGATTTTTTGTAGGAAGGACTCTCTACTTCTCAATGCATTTACAGCTTTGCAGAAGATCCTTGAATCCTTGTCAAAGTTTATGAGTCCATACCTTGGTGAAATCTTAAGTTTAATTACCAAAGCTGGGCCGGATGATAACGAACAAGTCAGTAAATCATCTACCAAAAAGCAAATTAGATCCAAAATTGCCTTGATATCCCAAACAGTATCAACATCGGTTACACCAAGAGTCCTGCTCCCAGCTTTGGACGCTTGCTTTGATCAAGTCGCACAATCTGATGAGGTGAATAGCTTCAGTTTACTTAAGATTTTTTACAGCCATTTGCTCATTACGCTGGATACTGAAAGCATATTTTTTCAAACAGTGACCCGTGAATGACACATCCTAAAAAGACATCCCATATTTTTCCGAACATAAACTCCTGAGAAATGAGACATCCTTAAAAAACGCGATTTGTTTCAATCCCTAAGCATAATTTAGTTTTTTATCTCTAATATTAATTCGCCAAGGCAAAGCACGGGTCTTTTGGTATACCAATCATTCTGTCATTCAAAGCTGAGTTTTATAATGATAAGCAAAGTTTTTTCCAAAATTGGAGGAGCTTTGCATTTGAAAAGTTCGTGCTAACTTAATTGGTATATTAACTGTAATTTCAGTTGATGGAAGAATTTTCATAACTAAGTTAGTGTAAAAGCAAATTTTTTAAGTTGCTAGACAGGGAAATGACATTTATTTTCCTTTTCAACCGTTTTTGTATATCGATCACATTAAAGTACAACCAAAGCTGAACTGTGAGTTGATTCCAGCAATAATCATATTGAAGCCTTGTTCAAGTCAAAAGGTGATAGAGATATAAAACATTATTGCTGGAAAAGAATTTCGGGAGTAAATTGATGTGATATACAAAATCTCGTAGTTGTATTATTGGTAGAAAGAAATTTTATTATCAAATCATTGAACTTGAGGTTAGCAGAAGGCTTATTAATTCGAGCGCGATTTGTATCTGAAATGAACGTGAAAATGTCTTTCCCTATACTTATAGCACTCGTTGTCGTTGCTCATGGATATTGCACAAGATGCTATTGAATCGATGCCACGAGACAGGATCAAGACACATCATTTGAAGCTTTTAGCCTTTTTCTTAAAGGCTCTTGATGTTCGTAGACTACTGTCAAGGAAACCAGAAAAGCAAATCAATATTGAAGAGGAGAAAATCATTACAGCTTTTTGCTCTTTGGTAATGCGACTCTCAGAGAACATTTTCAGACCAATGTTTCTCAAGGTATGGATAATTCATTTGAGAATAATTCTGTGATTCGTTTTTTTTGTGAGATTCTGCTATTGGCGACATATTTTTTTGTCAGAAACCCTGCCTGTACCCTAGTTTTTCAGCCAAGACAATTTTCAACATGCAAACTGCTATTTGAAATCTACGTTGAGGTATTTTTTGGCTGTCAATGGATAAAAGTGACTACGAATGAGCTTAGGGTTTGATCAAGCAGCAGTTTCTTAGTCTTAAAAAACAACTTCAAGCCCTGTCCTTATTTAGTTTTTGTGATCAAGATGTGTACATTCAATGTCTGACCATGCCATTGCCAGATAACTTAAACATTCTCTATTTAAACAGAAAAATTCCATGTCCCGTTTTGGTTCTAAATTTGGATAATTAAACCCTGTGATGACGCAAACAAATTTTTCTCTTTAAAACTTGAATTATAGGTCTCATAATGTTTACTGAATAAGAACATGGACCAGAAACAGTAGTCTTAATTATCGTTATGCGTTTAGAACCACTTTTTGTTGTCTAAAAAAGCATACATTTACACAGACATTTTTTCTTCTGTTTCGCATGCCTTGGAGGTCATTGGTTGAGATCTGGCGGCCTAACGTAACCAGAAATGGGTTAGTTATGTTTGCAGTAGAGAATGTTTACTAATTCCCAAGGACATTTCATGTTTGTTGGTTCATAATTTAAGATCTGAAAGAGTGTTGCAAATGATTTTTGTGAAAGTACTGGAATGAATCAATTTATCAACTGTTATTCTACAACCGGAGACCCAAACGATGGAGTCGTACGTGCAGGCTATGGAATATTGTTACACTTGACGAGCATAAATATAGTCACCTCTACCCTAGGATGGCTTGCTGTGCTCTTGTCAATACATATTTCTGAAAAGTATTGTTTCTGAACATGAAGTAAAATACTTATTGATGTTGTATTTATTGACTGGGTTGATCCTAATACAGAACTATATTCATTTGGGTGATATTTTTTTAGATTTTCAGTTGGGCAACAGCTGATGAAGAAAATTTAACAAGGTTGATAACATTTTATCGACTTAGTGGAGCAATTGCTGGAAAGCTGAAAGGCCTGTTCCTACTGTTTGCTGGCCATATCACAAAGCCCTGTGCAGAGCTTGTTGCTAAATGTAATACGAATTCTGAAGGTATTGAAATATTATCTCTGCAATTATCTAAATTTATTCAAATTCACAAATCACGAAACGAGGGCTTGTATACACTTTCTCCTCGGCACAGGAGCTGCTGTTACCCTGACCAAACATTTACTAGCAATGTTCCTAGGCCTTACTTTACTTTTTATCTTTAGAGGTTTTTCAGACATGGGAGTTTTAACATTGATGATAAGGTTGCCTTGGGTTTCTGTCATTTTGTGTTTAAAAACAGCTGAACACTCTATTTCTTATTAAATTTCTCAACATGTGATGGTCAGATTCTGGTATTTTTTTTGTGGCACAAGTCTTTATTTCTCCTAAATTACGACCAATTCTTTTGCCTAAGAAAATAAGGATTTTTTTGTAGATTCAACTTTAATTGAAGAAGGAAACGAAGAGACCATAAATTTGCTGCTTATTCATATATTTGATTGTTTGCAAAAGTGTTTCTTGCATGACTCTCAAGGATTCGTTAACAAGGAGAGATTTGAGTATCTCATGATGCCCCTTGTTGATCAGGTACTGTATCATCTATCTAAATATTTAACTCTTGCTTTATCTCAAATACTCGTTCCTATCAGAGTATTTCTAGCTGCATATCCAGATATTTGTTAAAGAATATTTAGGAATTGTTTCTATACGATTTTTTATAAATGACAGACTACTTGTCGCTTTCAATGTCTGTTGTTTGTTTAAGTGACAGTGATAATCTAGCGATTTCAAGACACTGCTCATAGCGATGTTTATCACTAGTTTTTATACGATTGCGGGGTAGCTTTTACAACACTGTTTCCAGTTTTGATAGTTCATAATAAAAATAATAATAATAATACGAATTTTTTATACAGGATAAAGACACTTCAGCGAATCATCGCTGTTATCAACGTGTGTCCTGTTAAAAATAATAAGTCAAATGAAACTAATAAAATTCCCTTTTACAACTTTTTAATGAAATAAAAGGTTATAAAGATATTAACAATAGTCCTTTAAGCTGTTTGATATGTTTGTGCATTTTGTTTATGTTCGTGCCAAATGAAGCCTTCTATAGTAAGTGTATCTACATCTTGATTGTATATAAATTACATTTCATTTTGGCTCATCTTCGTCTAACTTTTCAAAGCGTGTTTCACACTTCTTCGACCTACCGTTAAAGGTCTATCAATATCCTTAGGGCTTTATTGAATTCTGAATATTTTAGAGGGGCTTTCAAGAGTTGGGGCTTTCAAGAGTGGGGCTGCTAGAGGGGCTTGGGACAAATTTCAGAATTGGGAAGAGAGAAAACATGCAGCTCTGAATATATCTACATGGCTTTCAAGACCGTACTAAAGTCCTGGTTGATCGTTTGCCAATTTAATTATGGTTTTTGTTTAAAAAGATTTTAAAATACGGTGACCATTTAATCAGATTCGCACCAACCAAACTAAAGATCTTTTAAGATGGACAATTTGTTTCAGGAACACCTAGTAAATTGTGTAATTGAAGAGCGTCGAAGAAATTAAGTGCAAAATTGGCCAAAAAATTGACTTTAATTAACCGTGGTATTGGATAGGAAATATTACGTGAGAAATTTCATAACCAGGATTTAAGTTCTTGCTTTTTCTTAATTATGTAGGAGGAGGTCCTTATCCTTGTAGAAGGAGTTGGAGGTCCAAAAGGAGAAGGGGCTTAACCCAAATTTCTTTTTTTAACGGAGAGGGAGAACTTTGAAGAGAGTAGGTTTAAAGGCGGCTAAAAAGAGCTTTTTCAAGGTTGTTTTGTCGCTTGTTTTATAATTTCGTTTCCTTTTTATTATTTGGGCGCAACTCTTTGTTGTTTCCTTACAGGGGTGTAGTGTTATGAAAAGAACAAGGGGGGCCTCCCATAAAATATTTCAGAAAACAATACCAAGTTCTATGTTCTCACGTTTAATGCTCTGGAGAGTGTCAGACGAAAGACTTGAGGATGTTGCAAATGTTTGCTTTATCAAAGCCATTTTTAATTTTTGTACCTCAAAAACAGCCAGATTCTTTGTGTTTGGAACTGTTTCACCTCCTGTAGAAGCTGGAGCCTCTATTTGTTTTTGATTAAAGATGTGCAGCGTCTATTCACAGATAGTTTAATGTGTCTTTTCTGAGAATATTCTGTTTTAAATTTGTGTTTAATGCAGAAGAGAAAATATCATAATTTTAATTTTAACTTGAAAAGGAAAACTGTATATTTTGCCAAGTTCAGTAAAGCAGTTCATTGACTGTGTTTAAGTGCTTACAAAGTATAATGTACAATCGAATCTGCTTATAGTCACTCTGGTGAAAGTCACACTACTGGTTACAGTCACATAAAATTTAGACCCAATGTGCAAAGCTACTCAATGAAGCTCTGTTTACAGTTACGCTCCATTCACAGTCACAAATATTCAAGCAACTTTTAATGTGACTAAACCCAGGAGCCGAATTCTAAAATGGATATCTGCATGTCAGCAGTAACATTACAGTTTGGTGTTTCAAAGATTTCATAAGCAGGAACAAATACAATGATTTTCACCAAGGTATAAGAATAATTCATGATAAATTATACCTTCCCAAATATAACTAGTTTATGCCATTTTCATGCTTTAAACAAGCAGTGTTTAATGGAAACTGGATGAGTTGTAACTTCTTCCTTATTTCTAGATTGACAATGAAATAGGAGAGGAGCCAGTCTACAATGATCGTGTGATCAACCACCTTATTCCTTGTTTGGCCTCATTTGCTGTCGCAGTAAATGAGGAGTCATGCTGGAAGACATTGAACTATCAAGTCCTTCTGAAAACAAGGCATCAGTCCACACAGGTTATTCAGTTGTTTTTTCTTGTTTAATTTCTTTACTTACTATCGGCAAGTCCCAACTTGTCTTTTCAGTTCCCCATTCTACATTCAATTCTTAGAGCAGTTTGTTTATTTATATAGCTTGTGAATCCTAGTGTGTTGCAGGATTTTTGAGTGCTCAGATCTTGCACACGATGTTTGACTGTTAAAGCTTGATTAAAAACATCTGCCTAAATATTTTTCCAACAAAAACAAAGACCTTTGTTCAACAGTGGAAATTTATTTGAACTGTTTCAATTGAGAATTAAACCCAAGTAGTTTTATTACTTTGAATAGTTAAATATAACAATCGTTTTCAGTCTGATGAAAAAAGAGACAATTAAAATGGAAGTTGAAGAAACCTAATGTGCCACAATTACTTCAGAATTGATATTCCAATGTATACCTTTTTCGCACAGGTACGCTTTGCCACATTAAAGCTTCTAGAAGAAATCCACAAACAAATTGGAGAGAGTTATTTGATTTTACTTCCAGAAACAATCCCATTCCTTGCAGAGCTAATGGAAGGTAAATGCTTCAAACATTTCCCATTTAAGATTTTTTGAGAGGCAATTAGTAACTTCTCTGTTAAAGTGCATTCTTTGCTGAACAATTGCTACAACACATTCACAGTATTGACAGCTTGAACAGCTAACTGATTTATTGCAATTTATTTTTTTACAAATCCTCCATCAAATAAATATTTATTTAAATGGCGAGCCAATAAAATGTTGACCTTGAGCCCATGAATAGCTGTGATTGATAGCTCAAAATATTAGCAAAATGTCTGCTAAACAAACAAATATTATGCTTTTATTTCTTGGAAAGGGAAGACAAAATTCTGAATAACTTGAAAAGGAAATACCAGGCAGTACCTAAGAATTTAAAAAAACTCAGGGGTTTTCATTTCTCTCTGCATTTCTTATCCTTTATTATAAATTGAAGAGAAGGTCTAATAATTTGTAGAGAAGAACTGGCCAGAGCACTTGGCTGCAGGGTCATGGGTTTAAATAGAGGTTCAGCTCATGATTTTTATTCCAACCTGTCCATCTAGTAGCAAAGGGGTATCCTATAGCACCAAAATGGAGCAATAAAAATAACCAGCCACTATTCCTAATCATGTTGTTGGCCCAAACATTTCCTTTCTAACAGGACACTCTTACAATCATATTTGGGACTTACTTTCACCTTTTTCCTTGCAATTTTAATTTTAGATGAGTCTTTTGAGGTGGAGAAGCAGTGTCAACACGTGATTAGTCACATGGAAGAAATACTTGGAGAATCCCTACAGAAGTATTTTTAGAGCAACAATCACTCTGTTATTCAATTATATATTTGGTTTGGTTAATAAATGCAGAAAACATATTTTGTTTTCTTCCTATTGCTTTCAAATGGATTTTCTTCATTTTTAAAAACTCTTATTTTGGGTTTCAATGACTACAAAATTTCTATGGTTGTTTTCTTTTAAATCTATTAGCATTCTGACAGACTCCAAACATAAAATTTTATGAGAATTCTGTTGAAATATCTTTCTGTTCTTTATGGGAACAGGGCTGGCCCCAATCTATCTAAGAGGGTTAGTTCATCTGTAGTCATATCTCTTAAGCTAACTCAAGTCAACCTGCCTTGCAAGGGAACCCTTCTTGAGGGTAGGGCTGGCCTGTTGAGAATTTTTAGGAAATTTTCTCATGTGAAGTCGGGTTTCCTTAGCCAGGTGTTGTGTAAACATATTTTTAGCTACCCAACCCAGGTTACCTTTTTAGCATCAAAACTAATGCATAAGCTTTTTCGCACAAATTGAAAAACACACAAACAATTGTGTTGAAGAGAATCAGCAAGACATTCTGCTGGAACAGAGGCAATGGAGTGGAGCTATGAAATGGGCCAAAATCCAGTTTTTTATTGAAGGAGCATATAGATTATAAGAATTTTAATTAAATACAGATGTTGTTGCTCTTTACATACAAATTTGCATTGGAATGGGAAGACAATTTCACAATTTTTTTGGTCCTGTATTGCTGAGTGTGCCAGTTACATTACTCTAAAGAAATGATGGAGGAAAAATTAAAAGCATCCAACATCAGTTTATCCGATAAAAAGTGAGGCCAGCCCTCCCCAGAAATTAGCTGATTTGGGTTCCTTTAAATGTAATTTTTAATGAAAACATGTTAACCTAGCCTTGGCTTGTGTAAAAGACCCCTTTAAAATATATTTCAGAATTCATTGCATAAAAAGTCCACAACATTCTGGAGTCAAGCTTGGCCAATACTTCTTTTACATAATTGCTATTGATGTCTTGGTGATTAATAAATGTAGGTGTGTTTCCATCACTGTACTCTTGGCCTGCCACCCCAAAACTTGTCAACTCCAAAGCATTTTAACAGCTGGTAAACAAATAAAGTTTAAGGCCAAAACAAATTTTTTGGGTTTTAAAATAGCTATGAAAGACTATTTAAAAATTTTAGGATTTTATGATTCTGATGGTCCTTATGAACACTTTTAAATATTATAAGGAATGACCAAGTTAATACTTCAAGAAGCACAAGTAAAGTAAAATAAAACAACCTGATATAATAATTGTCATTTCAAGGGCAACAATAAATGTGTAAAACCACTGTCATTTGCACAACACGCTGACATATTGAAAATTTTGTTGATATTTAACTATACTAAAAGTTCTTCTAGCATTTCGTCCATCAAAGAGATGATTTTCTTGGGCTCCAATTCAAATATGCTACAATAAAAAGTCAAGGAAATGAGTCTCAACCAAAACTGTTTTATGATACATAAATTCTTACAATAATCAGGTTAGTTTTTCAACTTTTTTTAAAAAATATTGAAACATAAATAAAGGGTATACAAAAATGGCTAACTCGCCTAAGATTGTTAAATCCATCTCCTTTTAAATTTCTGGTCAGTATCACAACAAGTATTTTGACCTAGACCAGCGAGTTAAAGAGATGCTGCATCCTTCTATACTGTCACTTTCATTTAAAGTTTGAGGAAGCCATAAATCTTCAGTGATGCCTTAAAGTAAGATCAGTTTCTACAAAAAGTGTTTTTCATTTCAAGATATCAACATTATAGAGAAAATACTACCTTATTCTAGTGCTTTGATAAGGGCTTCATGAAATTCAATTCCAACAATGGCCTTGGCCTTATCGACATCTGTTGAGGCAGTTGAAAGTAAAGTTTGTGATGCCTCTAGCCCTTGGCGTGCTGCATGGACATCCAAATCACTTAATGGAGCTGCCTCTTCAGCTAAGATTTGTGCAGATGAATCCTTGTTCACTGTGATTGTACCACTGCTGACAAAGAACTTTTCTGTACTTCCTCCACTATAAACAGTGACTACGCCAGGTTTAAGAACTGAGATAATGGGGACATGGCTTGGAAGTATACCAAAACTTCCTGTGAGTGAAGGCACATCAACTTGTGAAACTCCTTGTTCATTGAAAAATACCTTAAAAAAGGTATACTTAAATAAGAAATTAATGTATATAATATGTTAGATAATATGTTAGTAAATAGTTTCCAAAACTATGTATCAGATAAGATCGTCTCAAAGCATGTTATTTATGAAAGAACTGATTCTTTTAATAGCTTGGTGACTTATGTTGCAGATGTGGAATCATGTAGCTAAAGCCAGAGATGTCTGGCTTGAAGTAACAATTTTCTATTGTATTCCTATTGTTTTTTGATGGCATATACCAGATGTACGCTTTGCATGGGTTCCGCCAAGGTTGCTTTATATAACTACTATAAAATGTCACCTTTGAGCTAAAATCCATACAGGACAGCTTGACGTCCATTCAATAAAAAATTGCAAAACTCTTCCAACAACAGTTTATGGTGGACTAAGTATATATATTCCTTTTAAATACCCTTATTTCTGGTTGCTTTTAGTCTTTTTTGGTTGAGTTGGGTTGAGGTTCTACATACAGAAAAGAAATCCCGTTTATTTAAAAAATGCGTTTTTCACCAATTATTTAGTGGCATCAGTAATATATTCAACCTAAAGATAGCTTGGCAGTTTCATCTATCTATCTATGCTCTATCGTGCAATAAACCATTTTGGTTATTGGGTAGATTTATCTAGTAATAAGACTTTTTAATTTAGGCCACACTGACCTTGTGAGGTGTTCCAAATGTTAGCGACAAACCACCTGAGACAGCTTCATCTGCATATCCTCGCTTAACAAGAGCCAGTCGAAGTAATTTAGATGAACCCTGAACTCTGCAAACATTGCGAATAGCAGCAAAAGACATTTTTAACGAAGTATTTGGAACTGTCCACTACTGTCTACAATGAGGCAACAAGAGAGATCAGAGCAAATGCTTTTTGAAACAGAGGCGATACATTCCCAAAACGAGACTATAACAAAATTTTCATATTGCTTCACTTAATCTTTTTTTTAAATCGGTGGTTTGTTTTGTCTTTTGTCTTTGTACATTTTTGAATTTATAGGTAGCAGAAAATTTACTAGCAGGATTTAAAAAAAAGCAACTTGCAAGTGAAATAAATCACTTTGCAAAGGATACGAGTTATATGCCTATGCTATTCGCAGAAGATTGTGCTACAACGACTGTGTCCTAATCCTGTAATAAGGACAAAGTAATGACCGCGTACCATTCATCCCCAGATTCATCCCCAGATTCATCCCCAGATTCATCCCCAGATTCATCCCCAGATTCATCCCCAGATTCATCCCCAGATTCATCCCCAGATTCGAAAACTTGCTTGTACTGCTCGAAATGTATCGAAATGACAATGATTAGCAAGAAAATATGTTATTTCCAGAGTTTCCTTTCTATTTCCACTCGATAAAAGTTTTTTCTTGCCAATTTATTCTTGATGTTTTTAGCGGGCCTAGGCATGCGTATTTTCCATCCCCAGATTCATCCCCAGATTCGCGTTTTGTATAATATGGGTCTAATAACAGCATGAGAGGTGTCAAAATACAATAATTCGATAGAATGTGTAGCAATATTACGATTGAAAATATATACGATTATAATGTTTGATTTAATTCTTTTTTTAAATATTAATGTATTTTAACCAAAATGTTGATTAGTTTATGTAATTGCGGTAACTAAGCCTTGTTTTATAATCAGTTTTGTATATAATTCCCAGTTTTGTTACGTTTTGTATATAATTATAATAGATACATCAGTACAAACAATATATAATTATAATAGATACATTAGTACAAGCAGTTTCCATCGTAATATTGCTACACATTCTCTCGAATTATTGTCATTTTGACACATCTCATGCTGTTTTTAGACCCATATTATACAAAACGCGAATCTGGGGATATACACTCCCCTCACAAAAGTATTGCACCACCTCGAAGGAGGGAAAATGGCGCAAGAATTATCGAAAGCTATTGTTGCGCGAATTGATTGTGTTTAAGTGGCGAATGGGGGTGTGTCGGAAGTGAAACAACCACCAATCAAAACTTCAATCTTTTTAGAAAACTTTTTTCAAAATAACAGTTTCAATCCACTTTGGCGAATCTGGTCGCGCGAACCTTGCCATCGCTCGATTGCTATCGCAGGATTGATTTCCACTCTTGAGATTTGGCCGCGCGATCCTTGTCAGTGCTCTAGAAGAATTAGGCGCGTAAACAATATGGCGATTACAAAGCCACAAATTTTGATTCTCATTTTATTGAGGTGACGATTGAAAAGAAAAGCACTGCAGACTCGTAAGAAAAGGAGATGCTGGGTAAGGAAAATATGTGCAGAGAGATATGAAAAGGGAGAGTATCACCAGCTTGTCAAATAGATGAAACTTTTCGACATTTTCAAACGCAAGATAATTTGACTGTACTTTAGGGGATTGACTTTGCTGAAATTGACTTAAGAGCGACATGACTTCTGAATCGATCCTTATTTTTCCATCGTCTTCTTCTCAGCGTAGCAGAGCGTGGAGTTGACTTTTTGGACAAGCGCCAAAGAAAACAAGACAGGAGGCATTTTACGTAAACCAGACAAGAAAACAAAACATCTAATTGGTTCTTGATAATCTGGTCGCAGAAAAGTTAAAATCTATTCAACTCCCAAAAGCGGTCGAACGATGGGTTTAATGCGCATGCCCAGAACAGCAGTCGCGCGATCGCGTGACCTGAATCGCCGAAGTGGAAACCCGCCTTAACAGTTTCAAATTTTAATATTTTGACGGGAGATATGAACTATGAAACCGCTTTATGCCTTCTTGAATTGGTTGCATATAATTGGGCAATGTATATAATTGGGCATTGTGGAATTTCATTCCAAACCTGAATAATTCTTTTAATTAACGATTATTTGGTTCTTCAGGAACCTTTTGAATCATGGTTCGGATTGCTTTTGATACGAAGCCAAACATTTTCAACGATGTACAAATCTGGACTTGAACGACGCCACGGAAAAGCTTGAAATCTTCTTGTTCGGAAATAAATCGTTGTAAAAATGGTTTCCCTTTACGCAGGTGAATTTTTATTTTATATTTGTGTAAGACCCACATTATTTTTTGTTTGGAAGAATTTTGAGCTGCAAAACATTGCTCAGCGTCAAGTTGCATGTCTTTTACTGTCCCTTGGTGTAAACATGGTGAAAAAACAGACAAAATCGCCACCCCTCTAACGTAAATTTTTTTTGTTCACCCACCTCTCGGTTTATTACTACTGAAGCACTCTCGAGAAACCTTTTTTGATTTATTGAAGCTGTCGTGTGGCTGCATCTAACTTGGTCAACAATTTTTGAAAAACTAAAGACCACTTCCCTGTAAAAATTATATAGGGACTCGCCTCTCATTTGAGATTGATTTATATAGGCCTGACGATTCTGACGATTCGCTCTGACGATTCGCACGCAAACTACCCTCCAGTTTTCCTTTAATAACTTTTGACTAACTACATCTGTAGGACTGATTTAATTTTTAAACATCACAAATACCATAGTTTTACTGTTTTTTCATATTTTCATAATTAAATAAAAATTCCGGTTAATATGAAAGTCTCCGAAACTTAGACAAAAATGTGGAATTTGTGAAAACAGCCCACCGGTTTTCCTTTAATAACTGTTTGCAGAAAAATGGTAAAAATACCATTTAAAGTTGAATCGATAGAACAAAGTTTGCTACAATGTTTTTTTACAGTTTGCAAGAAGTTAAACCTGCTTCAAGAACATTTTCAGCCCCCCGAATGTTGGCAAAATCTCGATTTCCCCAAAACCGCTCTTCAGTTTTCCTTTAATAACTTTTTTAAATCTCGAGTTTTTGGCCCAAATAGCCGTTAATTCTCTTTCTCGATACCTGCTACACTGTTTTTTCATAGTCTGCACTTGGGTTTTGCACTTTTTTTTTATTTTATTTTGCGTCCAAAGTAGGGGAATTTTTCGAAAGTGCAAAATCCGCCTCTAACCATGATGTAAACTTGAGTTTATAAGTCGTGCCAGGCGCTATCCCCTGAGCTGTTTTTCATCTCCAATTGTTGAATATTCATCGAAATATTTGTTTAATTCTGTTTTTAAAGAAAATTATACGTTTTATTTGACTTCCGAGGTCTAGGAAAATGAGATTCTTTTCCTGTCAAACTTGTTTAAAACCACTCGGCACACCAACTGCCGTCAAATTTTTTCTGACTTTTTTCTGAATTTTTTACCTATCCAGACTTGTAAATGATGCCATTACCTAAAGTTTTATTGCTTTGGTTGTCCAAATAGAACGGCCAACGATTCCAAAACGGTCGCTTGAAAACAACAAAAATCACCGAGATCTCCGGTGTGCACGAGCAAAAAGCCTTTGTACCGGTGTGCACCACCAAAAATGGTTGGTGTGCTGGTGTGCACCGACTATTTTCCTCTGTTGTGGTTAAAATTTGTGAATTTACATTTCACCGTAAAAATGCGTGTGAAGTATACTGTTGAAGATAGCGCAAGTTTTTATTTGTATATTTTTCAAGTAAGATTCATGATATCTCAAATTGTTCATACACAACTGTGCTTGTTTATATCAGCTGACATTTTCTATGGGACCACACCAAGCCACACCCATCTTAGTTGCCACACCCAAAAATACCCGGTGTGCAACAGGTTTTGCACAAAAATATATCCGGTGTGCACATGCCATACTCTGCAGACTGGGTCCTAATCCTGTAATTAGGACAAAGTAATGAAGTACGAGAGTACGAATGGTGTTGTGAAAGGCGCATCCTTTCAAGATGTTATGCTCAGTGGGTATGCAGACGATGGAGGAATGTTTCTGCCGGAATGCATCCCTGAAATATCACTTGAAGAGTTACGTCGGTTTTCTGCACTTACCTACGCGGAACTCTGCAAAGAAATCGTCAAAAAGTTCTCGACAAGCGAAGAGTATACAGCTTTGAACATTGACAGTAAGTGATAAAAATTAGTTCATTTCAGTTCATTTGTTTTTAATTCCATACTACTGCATACAGATACATAAAAATTACAAGTAATGATACATTATTAACTAGTGGGTCATTCCATGATGGAATACTGTGCTATAATGAATTTGCTAAAAATTTTTTGAAAGTTTCCATTTGTGAAAGTTGGGTTTGCCAAATTCTGCTCCTTGTGTCCTAAGTGATGGTGTGTTTTAATGGGGTCAAAATTTTGCGACTCAGTCAGTCTGTGTTTGCACATTGCATCAAAGCACTAAGCTACTTCTTGCTCCAATAGGCAAAGATTTCAAAGAACTAATACTGATAGCAGAGAATGTTTGGTTAAAAGATGCCCAAGTTGTGCAAAAATGTTTGATGCTCTTCAAGAATATCATACAAATCATTGTCAGATTATCAGGATAGAGCTACCCTTACCCAACAGCAGGAAACCTTGCTGAATATGTTAACCTAGTTGTGGAGCAGCTCATTGTCTTACTTCACATTCTTATATTGCAAAAGCCCAGTCAAGGCATTTGAAAAAGATATCAGAAGAATTAGATCATAAAACTGCATTAGTGTCTTTGGGATTTTCAATTTGTTGTACAGGATGAAGTTTAAAGCTTTCATTGGAACAACCCTCAGTGTACCCTTCTTCATCCAGTGAAAGTTTGCTATAAAGAAGGTGCTACCCTTGAGCATTATTCATACTGTATCATTTCAAATGACACGGTTCATGATACAAGCTTTAGTTATGAAGTCCAAAAGAAGGTTCTTCCTGACATCAAGCTTAAATTGCAAAGAATAAAAGAATTAAATACTTTTTTGATGGATGTGGGGCACAATAAAAAAATAAAAAATATTTTATTAATTCATGTAGATTTTGGGCTAGCAGCTGTGGTAATGACAATGACAATAGGCAATGACATAGTTGGAACAGTATAGTGCAGTGCCTGGTAGCTAAAGCAAGTTTGCAAAAAAGCTTCATGGATCAAATAATTCATCCCAGGGCATTGTTTGAATTTATAATCCAAAACATGAAAGAAATCACATTTATCTTCATTGACAAGAATTACCTTAATGTTACAAGAGTATTACTTGGAAAAAGATATAAAAATACTGTTGCTGTTCCTGGGACACAAATGTTCCATCAGTATGATGTGATGCGTGATAGCGCTATTCAAGGAAAAAGGTGTAGCGAAGATGAACAGTACTGTTTGCAACACAATTTGCTAGGAACGCAGCAAAGAAAAAACTTAAGAATTGAATTGTTAGATTTTGTTGCATGTGTCTATAAGTCAAAGTGGTGGGTTGGTTTGGTGATAGAGACTGATGAAGAGTACAGACCTCCCTAAAAACTTTTTGTGCCTGCGAGCACAAAACATTTTGCAGAAGGTGCCTGCAAGATTTTTTTTCATATGTAATGCCTAGGATATAAAATTTTTTAAATAATAGATGTAAACAAATGTTAAATGATGCGTCATACACAATGTAAAAAGATAAGTCTTGTTGGCAAACTGATTTCTGTCTAGAATTCAGTAGTTTGTTTGCTCTGGAAACAATGACAGCAATATGACATTCTGTTTAATTTCTTTTTCATGAGCCACTTTTATGGTCCAAAGACCAGTAAATTTTCAAAGAACTAATTTAACAGAAAATTGCTTTAGAATGATGATGGTTTAAGCAAGAAGAATAGCATTATAGAGCTTAAATAAACTTCAGCTTAGGACAAAAAGGAAATCTGGCCATTATTCTTCTATTCCTTCCAAAACATTTGAAGCGACAAGGTCCTTAATTTTATTTGAGCAATGAACGAAATGGTAGTCATTTTTATTGCTTGATATTATTTGATACTTTAATTAATGATACTTTCACATGCTCCACCAAGATTGGTAGTTTGTCCTTATGTCATTTATGTACACAGGAGCCTTCACTCAATGACCATGTTAACCGATAGCTTGCTGCAGCAACGCAAACAGAATAAATGATCGCAACAAGATATTTGAACATTTTGATCTTACTGTTAGGCAAATCCATTGTTCTCCCTTTGCTACATATGTCACTTTCACAAAGCAGTAAAGTTCACTTTTGCAGACGTCACAATTTCTCTGAATTTGAACCAAAATTCATGGCCAGATACATTTGAGATAATCAACGCAATTCATTTGAAGTTCTTGACAAATGAATATACTTTAGGTGCTGCAGCTGCAACATGGGAAGCATTGCTTCCCTCACTTTCAGTGCACCTGATTGTAAATCAACTAAATACATTCACAATCTTCAAAGTTTCCTAATTGTCCTCACTGTACACATTGTGTGATATATCATCCCTAAGCCTTTTCACAAGTTTTGACCAAAAAATGCATGGATTTCAAAATTTACGGTCTCTTTGTTTTCATAAGTCAGATTCATTTCATTATCCTCAAGGTTTTACTGGTTTAACTGATGCCACATTATGTGCTTCTGGGCTTCATATCCCTGATGTTATGGCCTCATTCATCCTTTTTCCGAGTCTCTTAATCATTTAATTAAAAGGAAGAAAAACATTTAATAATATTCCTATAGTGAAAATTGTAGCTGAATTGACTCTCTAAATTCTTAAATAATTGGAAATTTTGAAAAAGACTGCTTTTTCAGATGTGTCTGCAGATATAATTTGATCATAATTTGGCTTTTTTGGGGGGACACATTGAGTCAATTGTGGTCCAACGGAAGTTAAAAAAGTGATACTCTTTGAACTGGCAGCAACTTTTTGTGTGTGTCATGAAGGGTTGTTTGAGTGTCATTTTTGAATTCTACTTACTTGAAAATACCAAGTTACTGATTTTCAGTTCTGTGAATGATGTGAGACTATTTTGGTTCAATAATTTGTACTGAAGCATGATTTTACAGATTTTCCAAGGGAGGGGGCCATATCAATGGAAAAATGGTAAAAATTTAATTGGCTGTAGATCCTAAACAATTCAAATTTTTTTTCAAAAAAGCTTTGGTTAATTGATTATAGCACATTGTTCAATTTCTGTATCATTTTCAAACAAAATCTAGGAGGTGTTTTTGAAAAATTTGAATTTTGTTGGTGATTTGGAATGGAATGACCAACTTACAAATATTAGAACAGAAGGACTAAAAACAGATGGCAAACTTAAGAACAAAGATGCCTACACAATATGAATATAAAGTAGAAAAAATATGAGACTATAGATTTTTTACTTTGCAGCACCCACCTTTTTCAAGAATATTTTAAATGAATATCAGTTTCGGTTTAATTCAGTTTCTTCATTTAAAGATTCCACTACATTGAGTTATGCCAAATTTTCCTACAGATAAGCATATAGAATTATCCTGTATCTTTATATAAGTAAATCTTTAAAATGACATGCAAGGAAAAGAAACCAAACACATGCAAGGAATTGCTAATATCCTTTCTGAATGTCACAATATGTAGAGCTACTTCTTCCATTAGGTCTCCCTCCATAATAAAGCACCCATCCTGACAGCAACCACTCAAAAAATTGAAGCTTTGACTTTGTTGCACAAAATACCATTTATCCATTCACAAAGCACATACAAATATTTTTCTGGTGTCTCTCTGGCAATTTCTTTAAACATATATTTATTATAGATTTTGGCAGAATCTGTTTTGGGTAGTAATTGCTGCGTGATGTCAGAATCATATGCTAGATGAGTTGTTGTTTCCAGTAAAAATGTTTAATTTTTCAAGTATGTAGGTCAGAATACCTCAAACTAAAATCCACAGGTAGGGCAGCATTAGCATTAATGTGCCACAACTGTTATTAGAGGATACAGGGATAATTTTTCCTTTGCTCCCCCCCCCCCAGTTTAGAATTTGTGCAACAAGATGGTGCTGGAGATTGAGATGCATGAGTGCAACTGTCTCTTTTGCTCTTTGATAGGAGAAGCAGGGGCTAAAGAGCCCTTTTCATGTTAGTGCCCATGACATTGGTCTCTTTGTTTGTTCTTGGGTCACCGTTTGAGGGAAGGGGTATGAGGGCTGTTGATCAAAACTGAATATTTTCACAGTTTTTTGGAGATCCACAAAAAAGCATACACTATGGGTACCATAATATACTGCAGCTGACTTCATAAACTAACTTTGTGATCTTTACTACTCATATAAGCATTCATTCAGGGACATGCGTTTTGTAAAGTTTGTGATATCAGCCTTTTATTTTCTAGCTCTGATTGAAAAAGCTTTTTCAACATTTGATTGTAAAGAAATTGTTCCAGTAAAAAGCGTTGGGGAGTTTCATGTGGCAGAATTATGGCATGGCAAATCTTTAGCATTCAAAGATCTTGGAATTTCTTGCTTGGCTGCTTTTACAGAAGAATACTTAAGAAAACGAGGCTTGCATGCTAACCTCACCTGTGCAACGTCGGGGGATACTGGGAGTGCAATCATGGAGCATGTGAAAGGCTCTGATTTTATCGATGTTTTCACATTATACCCTGAAGGGCGATGTCATAATATCCAAGAACTACAGATGGCTTGCATTGAGGATTCCAATGTGCATACGTTCTGTGCCCAAGGAACTTCAGATGATTTTGATACTGTGTTTCAAGTGATATATGAAGACAAGGACTTTGTAAAAGAGCATAATATAATCTCCTTCAACTCTCTCAACTGGTTGCGAATTTTGATACAGATGACCCATTACATCTATTCCTACCTTGATGTAGTGAAAAATATTGGCGATTTGGTGACCATTGTTGTTCCAAGTGGTGGACTGGGAAACCTTACAGGTACAGTGAAAATGAGTCTTAATGTATATGATTAAATCTGTCCTGTTTTACAGTAATATGCCGATCTATAAGAAATCTCAATGAAGTAATGAAATTATAGTTTACTAGTCTGTAATGATGTGCTCAGGCAGAGCTGTACACAGTTGCCCGATGATTGCATTAATTACGAATCACGGAGTAGCAACTTAGAACTGTTTTGGTCTTTACACCAAAAGCTTATAAATAATTTAAAAGGCACTATGTAATTGTTAAAGACAAAGTTTTGTCTGATTCTTTTGTTGAACTAAATCACTATTGGTGGTCCTGAGACAGATAACACGAAGTCACTTTGTACTTATTTTAAAGATAGATTACGTCATCAGACAGAAAACAATAGTTACCGAAATCACATGAAACAATAGAAATCACACCACACGCTATTGGCTCTCTATAGAAGAGGTAGCTACATTCTACCTTCTAACAGATTGAAAAACACTGTTGCAGTTGTTTAAGTATGATTTCTCAAATAATCGCTTGCATTATTTTTATGATTACGCAGAGTGACTCTCCGTGGGATTACTGTAAATCCAGTCACTAACGCTACCAATAGATTAATCGTTGCTGCGACTCCTTAGTAATCAATTTAATCAGAGCCGTGCTCCCAGATCGCTATTTATCACTTAATCGCTAATGATTTATGATTTATGATTTATGATCAAAACGCTATCGGGAAGTGTAAGAAGATTACATTACTTGAACTAAATGAAGATGATGATTATGGAAGCATTTCTTTTCACCATTGACATAACTGTCACACAAACCAAACTGGGAGCAAATTTTTCTAGCTACTACTCCACTACAACAGGAACACAGGCATTGATTTAAAAGCTCTGGAATCAATGTTGCTCTTGATTAGTTTAAATCTTTTAATGATCGATCAAACTGAACGGTGCGTGAATTTTGCTCCAGTGAAAATAAAAGTGGAAATTGAAAGCTAAAGGGGACAGACAGCATTTGATCGCTAATGATGCAGCTGCCTTCTATGATTAAATATGAAGTGCAAGATGGGGGAAAGAGATGTGAAATGACAATAACTGTAATTGAAGATTAAATATCTTCTGTTACATCATAGCTAGATATCAAACCCAAAAAAATATCTAGTAGGAAATTGATGGTAAAAAATGTTAAAGTAAGAATATAAACTAACTCCGAATTTCCAAAACATAGCTCAATCACGTGCAATCACAATCTGTTTGCAATCAACACTTGGACCCACATTTGCCGTGAGTATGATTGCTGCAACATCAACGATTGCTGTTCGTTCTGAAGAAGGAGAATTTTAGACTGAATTTACCGTGTATTAGTTAGTCTTACAAATGGCAACCGACATAGAAAAGGTTATTGAAGCATCAGAATCTCTACGAATCTCCAAACAAGAAAAATATCTCGACACAATCGCTGATTTTTGCGCGACGAAATATGAATGGGGCTTTGCCAAAACAGTGGCCATATTGGAAAATGCGATCGTCGAATGCAGCATGATGACTGCAATAAAAAACAAGAAATTGTCTTATCGCATCGAAAATATAAGCGAAATGGAAGCTGATAATGAATGCAAGGACAAACAAACAGATTGCTGCAACATCATAACCAAAGTCGACTTTATTTCCTCTAGGTTTTATTTGACTTCTTGAAGTGATTTGTACGATTTAAGATTGGCTCCTTCTGGCATTTTGACTTCTTCTGTGGCTCTTTCTGATATAATCCTACCTATGATTATCATCTTGAATATCATCTTGATTATCAGTAAGAGCGCCTTCTTTCTTTGTAGCCGGTTACTTCTGCTATTTGATGGGTGTGCCAATCAAATTGGTGGCAGCTGTCAATCAGAATGCGGCTACCCATCACATTTTGTCCACAGGGATCTTCAGTGTACCAAATGAAGTTCTGCGATCATCCTCCTGCTCAATGGATATCGCTGTAAGTATTTCACCTCATTGGAGTTTAGCAGACACTTGTAAAGTCGAAAGCAGTCAGTGGAAAAATTTAAGTTTTAGTTGACAAAATAACTTACAGGATTGAATGCAAGATACACATTTATTTTAGAATTTATTGGCCATTGCGAGCAAAAAACTTTGTTCTTTGATTTGAAGAAGAGTTTTTGTTATGAAGAAGGGTATACATCTGCGTTGTAGAATGTCTCGATTTTATTATCAGTGCCTCAGAAAATGTACTCTATGTCTTATTGTTTTTTAAAAATGGTTAAAAAGATGTATTACCATATGATTATGATTTCTCTGATTGCATTATCACGCTGTTTGCTAAATTCCTATTTTATTGCTGCGCTCAAACCTTCATCCCAAACGTACTATATGTTATGTCCAGCTACTGCACCGATGCCTTACTTTTCGTAACAACGTGCTTACATTTCATAGGTGCCATACAATTTTCAAAGACTACTGTACCTAGCTACAAACAGGGATAACACCACTGCTCGCCTGATGCAAGAGCTCACGGAAAAGAAAGTCACTAGAATACCTGATGACGTCATATTCAAGGCTAGTTGATACGATTTAGCAACTCGATTTTGCATTCTCAGTGCTTTTTTTCGGTTATTTAGCGTTTCATATTTCTTTATGAAAACAATTTTCACACTGAGATTAATGAAAGTCCATGTCGTTATCCCGTGGTACTTTATCTCAATGATTTTACGTGCAATTCTTGGATTGTTGGGAAAAAAGTCGTTGTAATTTTTCCTTGTAATGAATCTCATGGTCTTTACGATAAATGGAGGACAACAAGCATTTGTTTGGAAAGACTATCTTTTGATTTCTCGATTATGTATAAAGTAATGACAAAATATTTTACTCAATGTGGTATCAGAACATCGGACGAAATCCATCAAGTTCACACGAGGTTCATGCGTGGCTCACGCGAGGCTCATGCGAGGCTCACGCGAGGCTCATGCGAGGCTCACGCGAGGCTCATGCGAGGCTCACGCGAGGCTCATGCGAGGCTCACGCGAGGTTCACGCTATTGCAAACAGATCACCAAATCATAAAGATGAAAGTTTTACAAACAAAGCGCATAAAGCTCATAAATAAAATTTCAAGGTTATGACTTTTTCTGCTTTTTATGATAAAATCAAGTACAAGAAATTAAGCAAGTATAAAATAAATCAAGGAAAGAGCAAGTATAAAATGAATCATCGATATGCATGTTACAGAGCTATTATATTTTTCCATTTTTCACCTTCTTTCAATTGTAGCTTAGACAAGCTGTCCAATCAGCAACAGTCTCAGAAGATGACGTCAAAGAAACAATAAAGAAAGTATGGGATAATTATGGGTACCATGTTGAGCCTCACACTGCAGTGGCAGCGTCTATCGCCCTTGATGCGAAAAAGTGAGTAAATTTACGATTTAAGAGCATTACAGATTTGTACAATTACTTTCATATGGCATTTGAAGTAACACTTGAAAGAACAAATAAACAAAGAGTCCATACACAAAACCGTCAAAAACTTTATGCTTCAAATCTTAAGTGCCTCTCAAAATTTACCATTCATGTGAACATTCATTGACGTAAAACGTGAATTGCAAACAAAGAATCTGTTGCAGTTACCTGAAAAAAATGCAAGCACATTAGCAAATGCATGTATTCAAAGACGCACTACTATGAAACACATAACCTGATACGATCAAAAATTTAAGCAAAATTCCAAAGAATGATCAAAGAATGAAATGGGTGAAATTACGCACGCAGATCTGCAGCCCAAAAAGTGAAAGAACGACGATTGAGGATCTCTAAGCTGAATTTTTTGTTTTTTATCCTTTCTTTGTTTATAAGTTTTTGTTTGAATCAATTTATTACTATAGATTTTACCAGCTTTAAATAATTTTATAATAATAAAATAGGCTGTGATGTCTCATTATCGCAGCATATCCTCTCAAACGTAGGAAAACAGTGATTTTTTTAATAGTGTATAAGTTATGGTTTGTAAGAAATCTTTTAATAATATCAAAAATTTGTTTATCAGTTCAATCTTTCCTCAGATATGGCGTTGATTTTGCTGGTACCGAGGTAGTTGTGCTCGCGTGTGCCTCCCCTCAAAAGTTTCCAGAAGTATTCCAAGAACTCGGTGTTCCTTTTGAGCAAGCAAACAGCATTAAACAATTATTGTCTAAGGAAAAGCACATCAAGCGGTTGCGGGAAGGTGAAGACTGGATCACTCCTGTAAAAGCAGGAATTGTAGAAGCGACCAAGAAGTTCAGGGATAATAAAAAGAAATGATTCCTGCTGGCTAGCAAAATTTGTATTTTCATGTATTGTTTTCATGGGAATTTGGCTATATGCATTATTATTTTCAGATATGGATCAATTGCAGATAGGGTACAATTTTTTGGAAATTTTATTTTTCATCATTTTAGATAAAAACCAGAGTTATTTTTCGATGAAAAAACTGTTCTTCGGCCAAATTTTGGAAACACGATCGATTAAAGAAACGGTAGCAAAAATTGGCTTAAACAATTGTGGATACAAGTTATCAATTGGAAAATGAAAATGGTTTTGCCATATTTTGCTCGAAACAATGCTGTTTACGGCCATGGTTGATATAGACATTATTTGCCGAGTGATTTCAGTTCTGGTTTAGCTCAATTTTATTTTCAGCGTAAATTCAGGGCAAAAAATTGTTGAATGCGCACAGTTTACGGTCTTTAGAATCCTTCGATTTTTCTCTTCTTTCATAGTCCGTTTCTCCGTCGAACGAGCACTGTTGTTAGAAACAAGAATATTATGGACTGAAGCAGCATAGCCTTTTCTAAGGGAAATTAGCTGTAAGCCTTTCTTTATGTAAAGAGGAGGACAGTAGCCTAAAACAATAAAGAGTCACTGGGGCTGGAGGGGCAATTGCCCCCTAGTTAGTATGCTAAAAAGGCCCCGAAAAGCAGGCCTTCACGTACCGAATGAGACATGGCTGTTCTATATCTTTTGAGATTCTAGCCTCTTTTCCTTGGCAAATTCGAGCCAACTTTCAGGTTTTTTGGTGCAACTCTTCGCTGCATGCGTCTTGCAAACTTTCCCCTTTACCAATTGGCCATTTACTAGAATACGATTAGAAGGGATTATCAAGTACGAAACGATTTCTTTCCGAATCAGATATTGGGTCGTCAAAATTCAAAATGTTTATTTTGGCAGGGTTATTGTGTTTCCAGTTTCAGTTTGTTATTGTTATAAATCAAACATTAATCAATGGAAAATATAAAATAGTCAAAACCGAATTAGTCAGCATGACATTCTGGTATGTTCCCTTCCCTGCATTTGAGCCACAACCATTGGGGCAACTGACCTCCATTTTGTGGCCAACCCTTTTAGCCTCGTGTGGATACAGGCTAAATATTTGAAGCCTCTTTTCGATCCCCAGTTGCAGACAAGAAAATGGCGGACGATGTATACAAAAGTACTGTTGTTGGTGGACTGAAGTTGAAAGGGGTAAAACCATCTGGAATTAAAAAGTAAGCTTATTAATAATAATTAGCTCGTATTGGGACATTTGTTCACCAACAAATATTCAAAGAATAACGCATTATTATGTTGTTTTTTCATCGAATTCGATTTCTCTTGCGCTTTTATTGTAATAAGCCTAGGGTCACGTCGCCCTGCCTGATTGAGAATACCTAGATACCAGCTAAAATTTTTCTATTTCGCGTGGGCTTAGACATAAAACTTGGCACTGAAAAATTCCTTCAGGCTCTTCAGATTATATATTTCAAAAGATCAGGTAATTGGTTTTACAAAGTTTTTTGAAAAAGCTGCTATACTTCTTAGTTGTCTTGACGGCCCAAATTTATGGTGTTTTGTTTAAAGATATTTGACAATTTGAAATTTACAGGTTTTTTTAGAATTAAGGCGAAACAACTACCGAACTGAAACAGCCGCTTTAATGTACCCAATCAGGGGAAACTTAGGCCATGTCAGTCAGCTTTATTTCACTCCTCTTCTGTGGCAAAACAAATTAAAAACGGAGTAATTTATACAAAGACCCTTATTCCTCACAGTGGCGAAGCCAAAGGTCCTGCTTGTCCTGCCGGGCAGGACCACAAATTTCCAAAGATAACAATTTTTAAAATATTAAAAATTTATTCATTTTATGAAATCATTATATGCCTGATTCAAAGGCATTTCTTGTCTTATTCTACACTTATACTTCGTGGCTGTGCCCTTTTTCAATTCTGAGACACAGGGTGACTGGAATGGAATTTCGAGTATCCCGTTCGTAAATTGATATCGTCAAAAATTTAGCCCTGTGGTCAGTCCTGCCCAATACTCGTAGGCAGGACTAAACCCTATGTTTGGTCCTGCCCAACAATGGGCAAACGCCTTGTAGCCCTGTTTTTGGTCCTGCCTCACAATAGAAGAAAACAATGGCACTCCTGCCCTTCAGAAATGGCAGGACCTCAGGTCCTGCTCTTTCACGAAGGCAGGACCTAGACTTTGGAGCCCTATGTTTCGGTATAATTTGTTGATTTTCTGCACCGTGGTCACAGGTCACAAAGAATTTTCACTCAGGCCATAGTCAGGCTTAACTATTTTGAAATCATGGATAAAACTAACTGTAACCGTCATGCTTCTGCTGTTGAAGAAGTTTTGCTGCTAGAAGCTTCGGCCGTCGTCACTTGATTTATACAAGAATCAATCGTTTCAAGACGAGTGGTACTTATGGAAATAAAATTGTTTAGAGTCGTTCTGTTGGTCCTATTTACTGTTATAGGTCAAGAATATCACAGACATCGCGAGAAACCTGACATTTAATAGTTTTCTCTCAGACTGCAGAGAGCAAAGGAAGTCATATTCGAAGGCCTATTATAAACAGTAGAAAAAGTTAGCAGCCGCTGCCGAGAGAGAATCTTCGTTTTTTTATACCAGGAAAGTCGAGATCGAGGGGAGATGAAGTGTGCATGACAGAAAAAAGGCTTGCTTAAATTTAATTTCAGCAGTTCGTCCTCCTGCCTTAAACAGGAACTACCATACAATTCAGAGGTCCCAATGAAAAGGACGCTTTGAAAAGGATGAAAAGGAAAACCATGGTAATTACTGGGAGCTTTTGTACTCGGTGACTCAGATTGTATTGTACTGGCAAAATGTCAGGGGTCTCCTTTGATATTCAAAACAAATTGATTCAAGACCCTATTACCATGTTGTGACAAAATATTTTTACTTTTTTTAAATAATTTGAATCAATTATGTTTCCAGTTTGTATTACAACTGTATATGCCTATCTGTACAAGCAATTTCTTTTTAGTCAATGATTTCAAAATTTTCAATCAATGAAAACATTTTCTAATGTTACTTATTTTAGAAAGAACTTCTGTGATGCTCTTTTGACAAGGATCCGAACCTTCATCCCCTTTTTTCCAAAATGTGGCAGTGAAGAATGTTTCACTGCAATCTTGATTTCAACATATCCAGAAGGGCGTTTCCCCCTTTTCCGAGGGTCTCTAGGGCGTGGCTTCACGCGATTTTTCTGGGGGCGTAGCCCCCAGACCCCCTTTGAGCAGGACCACCTGTTCTTGGTCAGCTTCGCCACTGATTCCTCATGCATGATATGTGCCTTAAATTGCTAGGTTAGCAGCTAAAATATGCTCGTCCCTTTGAAAAAATAATTAGTAAAAAAGAGTATATACTGAAAACATCCTACTCAAAATGGCAGATGCATACTTTTTTGTTTCAGGTGGTTCGTTCATTGATTGAGTAATTAAACACATAATGTCTTCTTAACTATGTTGATAAATGGCGTATACACATGATTTTGCACTTTTTTTGTTTGCAGCTCAGCCTCAATCTCCCATTTTTTTCGTAATAGTTGAAGCGATGTAAATGTCACGTTTCCAGATACATACTCATCAAGGCGACGTTACCCTGAAACAAAATGATGCTCATGCATGGCTTTTGTTCCTGAGTCAACATTCTAACAATTCAAAATAATTTGTCAGTTACTGCTAGAACCAGCCCTGTCCAATCTGTATTTCTAGAAAAAAATTTCAAACATTTTTGGGGAATTACTTTGCTTTTATCCAAATTATCCAGAGTGGAAACCTTGTTTCTTGCGCAGACAAGTTCATTTTGAAGTTTTGCGACTGCGCGCCTGAAATCATGCACATTTAAATACTTGTAGTGGTAATAATGTAAAATGTTATCAAATAGGAACTTTGTCTAGTCAATGTGCAAAACCTTTGTCCAGTCAATGGAAAATTTGCGTATGCACAACAAAGTTTCCAATTTATCTGCAACACTATATGGCACACTCATTTTCGCTCTCAGCTGTTGATTAGTGTTCCAACAGAGCCTTGGGGGGTGCCTTTACCATTCTCTCCATGGTTGCCTTGAAAAAAAACATCTATTCTTATTTGCCTCTATAATTCACTATTTTCTTCTTTCCTCAACTATAGTATCACATCCTATTGCCTTGTCAATCATATCTAAATCCTCTCTTTTTCATGCAGAGAAAAAAATCAAATTTTGTTCAAATTTTCTAATTGTTAATATTCAGCCTGTGAAGCTCCTATCTTCCTTTCACTTAAGATACTGAAAGTTGAGGACTTGCTACATTAAAATATTCTAGCCTTTGTTTATTATTCCTTAAATAATTTACCTCCCACCTTTTCAAATCTTTTAAATTCACCACTGCATATGGTTTGCAAACAGTTCAGTGTTTTTGCTTCAAGCTTTGGAATACTTTCGCATTATTCATTTTTTGTTGCTAGCTTTGTTGCAGTTTTTCAGTTAAAACTAAAGACATACTTTATTAGTTCCTTTAAGTTAGGACTTTTTTGTACCAGCCATCATTTATAATACAGACCTTGTTTATCATTGCTGTTGCTGTTTTTAAATTGTTAGTTTCTTTGTTTTTATGGGGTGAGGTGCTCTCTTGATTAGTTAACCTATTTTGAGAGCTCCTCTTTAATCAATCATGTAAGTATTTTTCCTAGTAGAGTATTCTCTTTAGTATTGTTTGGTGTCTTGTAAACTAGTATTTGTATATACAGTAATTATGTAGAATTGTGTTCAGGATTGATTGATAAATGAATGAAGCTTGAAACATTGGCTGTTAAAAAGGATTTTTGCATGTTGAAGATAGGGGAGACAAATATAAACAAACATTTTTTATTAAAGAATTGAATCCAGTAACAAATTAATTTCTTTCAAAGATGTAATAAAGCTATGGGACAGGCCAAACTATGCTTATCAACATTCATCAAAGTTTCAGAAAATCATTTAGGCTATGAATTAATAAAATCAATCAAATATTTAGATTTTATATTAAAGTATATGTATATATTTATATCTTATCATAATTTTCATAAGTGCTAAACTTATCAGAGTGGATAGTTAGAATTTATAAGCCAGTGTTCACACATAAAACTCAGAGTTGTGTCACAATAGTCTGTTTATTTTAGTCTCACTAAAAAATGTATATGTGAGTGTGTATTACTTTTTCTAAAAGAATGGATCATTAATGATTTAGCAATGCAACAAAAAGTATTAAACCTTTCTTCCTGTATTCATATATATTTTTGTTTATTTGTTTATTTTTAATTTTTCCAATTAGAAAGAAAAAGAAGAAAAACAAAGCCAAAGAAATAGAGTCATATGCATCAAAAGGCTCACCAAAACAGTCTGAAAAGAATGAAGAAAATAATGAAGTTGAAGAACAAGGCAGTACAAAGACTCCAGCTGAAATTGCTTTTGAGAAGGCTCAACAAACAAGAGTATGCATATTATAAGTTGCTGTGTTTAAAGAAAATTGTAATATTTTTGCTGTTTGGGTTGGTATTACATTTTGCAAATGGGTTGAAAGAATCTTGAATCTGCATTTTTTTGATATTTGAAACACAGTGTTCTGATTCCTGTTCTGATTTATAAACAATAGGTAGACATATGTTTTCATTTTCAGAAAAGAGTTTTGCTAACTTTAACAGCATAGTATCTTTTTGCAATCATTATAAAATAGACAACATTACTAAAGTTTACTTTCAAATAATAAGTTTATATAGCATTGTGTACCAAAAGATGTATACTGTTGATGATATTAAGCATTGAGCTCAGTGTAATATCTTAGAACCAACTTGTTCTGCACAGCATATCATAATAGTATATATATATAGTTGTTCATCATTATGCTGCAAATCTGGCCTCTTTTTTGATACCTATGACAATTGGTTTGCAGTATGGTTTAATTTGTTCCTAATTGGTAGCGTGATTGCCACTTTTTGGATTTCAAAAAATACTTCTATTGGATGTGTATAATATCTTACAACAAGGCATAAACTTGGCGAAGAAAGATTTCCTAAAAGGTATTTCTTTGTATGTATCATTTCTTTAAGGCTGTGACTTTTTCATTCAATCAATGTGAATTTTTCTTTTGTGTTTCATTAGGCAACAGAGCGGATAATGAAAAAAGCAGCAAAGACCCATAAGCAGAGAGTTGAGGTATTTGAATAAATTAACTGTACATTAAATGTTCTGTGGTTAAAAATTCTGGAACCATACGACCCCTTGGTGCTGAAAATAAAAGCATCAATGTCTGTATCAAAATTCAATCAAATGGCTTTCTTCAAATCATTTTCAATCAGCAAGACTTGAAATACAAGCATGAACAAATGTTAAAACTTGTATCAATATAAGTCTTTATTCAGTTTTGTCTGTAATTGTGGTATTAAATGGTTTCTGTTAGGCTGAATATTTTATTTTTCAATCAAATACAGGTTCAAGTTCTTACATAGCCTACAGAGGCTACAACAACACAATCAAATTTTTTGGTTAATCGGAAGATCTACTTTTTTGAGTGATGTAAACCTTTTAAATGGTTAATTAGTTAGTGGAAATTTTTCAACATGCTCTTCTAACTTTTGACAGTTTACTAATAATCTATTCTCCTTAGCGTAACTTTCAAGGTGACCTAAATTCTATCTAGATGATTGAAAACCCCTGCTTAAATAGTTATGCAGTTGGTATTATGAGTGGTTGATTAGTTGGTCAACTGAGCTAACCTGAGTTGAGCATTAATCAAAAATAGACACAGCAGAGCTTATTATGATGTAGGGCTGCGAATAAGTTGTCAGTATGCTAAGAACCAAGAGGGACACGATTCAGTGTATCGTTTAAATTATTTTGAGAATTCTTGAGGGGCTCGGGTGAATCTGGCTCTTTGGCCACTTGCTCCTTTGCCCCTGCCTGGAATCAATTCAATTCTCATAAGTTATGTAACTAAGTATCTATTGTATGAAGATGTTTAAATAACTTTAATGTTTTCTGCCAGGAATTGAATTCTTACTTGGATGGTCTATCTGAACACTACGATATACAGAAAGTTAGCTGGACAAAATAAAGACAAAAACTTCTGTATATTTTCAGGTATATATGTTGATAGTTTGGACTTTGATTGGTGCCTAATTGTATTATCATTATTTTCCTTAATATTATAGTAATAGTACTGCACTGTTTACTAAACCATTGCTCTTGCAGCTGGAAAAAGTGCTTTATTAATTGCTTTTGGAAAGAAAAAATTAAGTTGTTTTTCGTTTTAAATTCGTTGACAAAATAGGTATCTCTATTGTAAGGTACCAGACCTCAAGTCAAAGCTAGCATCTCATGACTTTTAAAAAACCAGCACTGAGATCCTATCTTACTGTGACACTCCTTGCTGCTTGGATTGTCCATACTAGCCTCCTTTTCTTTTTTCTTTGCTTCTTGCAGTCTTTTTATATCAATCACAATTCAAAATTGTGCACGAGTCTCTGTAAGAACCCATACACACGATTTCCAGCAAACTTATGCATTTAATGCCTTCATTTGGTATTATTTCGTCATTTATTGCTCTTTATAGTTCACCATAGATTTGAAATTGTTTTTATTCATTTGTGTTTATTTCTTCGTTGCCAAGGAACCTAGACCAGAAAATGGTTAATCACCTGTGGTGAAGCTAATTGGACTTTTCACTCTCCGATTAGTTGACTTAGGCGTACGAAGTAAACTATTAACATACGAAACTATTAACAAACATATGGGAAATTTGAAATCGGAAGCATGACTGAATTGCTTTCAAACTGTGCGAGGGTTGTAAGTTTTGCTGTTCTACCAACTGCGCTCATTTGGAAAGTGTTTCACTGAATTTTGCTGAAAGTACAGCTAACGATCTGAGTACGCTTTTCCGCTGCCAAGCATTTTCTCGTGTTTACATAGACACATCCACCAGCTGGCGAAAGATTGCTTAATTTAACGCTAAGACCACATGTGTAAAGATGTTTTGTCTAATGTCCAGCACCTTAATTGAAAAGCATTGTACTTCATTCCCTTTAACAAGTCGAAATTAAAACGGGGTCTTTCTAATCACAAAATGTGCAAGTTCTAAATCAACCGTAGCTAATGTTTGATGAGTGCATGTGTTGGTGTTTGTGGAAAGCACTAATTCTTACTGCAGAATTAAATTGTTTGAGTTTTTAATCTGGAATATGAGCTAGGAATGCTTTTCTCCACTTTGAAATCAATTTAGGAAATTCGACTCATTTATCAGTTGTTGTCATTTAGAAACAGATACCTCATATCTCCGCAAACCTGCCTATTTAGATCCCGTTACCAGTTTGAGATGAAATTTAGAGTAATTCCTTTGTATAGAGTAAGTTCCATACTCCGAAATAGCTATCCAATTAACACAAATGTCAAAATTCAGTGTCAATAGGCTTTGGCTTAGGAGCTTTGGCTTGGCTCAAACAATACATAGACCCCTTGGCTGAGCGTAAGTTTCTGATAAAGTGTTATATACTACCGAATCCTTATATATTGTTTTGTTTGCTTCTACAGCAACTTTGAAGATTACGGTACGATAAAAAAGTCCGGGAAAAAATACTTTGCATGAGATTTTAGCCATAAAATGGCCCTTTAGCCATAAAATGGCCCTTTAGCCATAAAATGGCCCTTTAGCCATAAAATGGCCCTTTAGCCATAAAAAAGGCTTAATAGATATATAATACATATATTATAAGAATAAGCCTTCTAGAGAAGCTTTCAGTTTCAATACAAAAAGGGCCTTTATCAACGGGGTTTGATAAAGCAACTTTATCAGAAGAAGCCATTGATTAAACGTCTGACAGCATGATCAAGTGTGATAAACTATTTAAAGCTACACAAGACATTCATCACCATTTTTCCTCTGATTTCTCGATTCTTTGTTACTATTCGCTGACATCATCCGTCTTAGTCTTTGAGACCATCTCTAATCTAAAACAAGAACCCTGTAACTTCATTAGGACTAGGTCAAATACAATATTCTAGTCGTGATAAAAGAAAACTTAACAATCGCTGTATTGGCAAAATTAGTAACTTTATGTTTGCATCGCCTTTAGTTCTCAAACCTACTTGATTTTAAAAATATTTTTCCACACAGGCTGCCGTCATTCACTTAATTTCAATCTTTAGCTTGTATATTATTAAACCGTTCTTTTTAAGTTTCCGTTATCTGTTTTAATCAATTACCGGGTCTAAACGTTTTAAGAATAATTGCCCCAATCGCTCCTTGGCGCTATTTTTATTTCAAAACACGATCTTTCTTATTTCTAAACTCTAATGAAACCACTAATTTATCATCTTTGTAATGTGACCTTGTTTTGTAAGGCAAATTCACATCCTAATTAGCGAAGCTCGGTTTGATTTTGGCAGATGTTTCTGTTCTTCACACTTTCAGGGTGAAGATTCTACTATGAAATACATTGGGTCAACTGCCCTAGTTTGCTCATTTTCATACGAATTTTGAAAACATCATTAGCTGTTCTAAGATCTTGAAGTTGGTCTTAAAATTTATATTTGTATTTGGTATGGTGTACTGCAAGATTCCTTTATACCCCCAGTTTTGTTTATGATTTTTGTAAATACTCTTTCACTCAGTGATATTCACTTTCTTTCATTCAATAAGCACTTTCTTTCATGAATGTTCATGAAACAATCATTACTTGTAACATTGAGTCTATTCCAAGAATAATTATTTTAATCTTTGGAAAGTCATATTCATAAGAATCTGGTTAAATCTATTCCCCTCTTTTTTGTTCTACTGCGCTTTGCCATCCGATTCATTTGAAGCATTTTCATGGTATCCTTAAATCAGATTTCAACTTTATCACCAAATGTTGCTTTATATGCGTATATTTTTGTAACTTAATGACATACTGTGAGAAAATCAAAATACACCAGAGAAAAACATTTTGATTTTCACCAAACAATTATTTTCAAAAAGTGTTTAAATAGGGAATGTTGATATTTCGGAGTAAAATCCAAACGATGACTTGGTGATGCTCACAACGCTGAGCACCCCCCGTTTCTTATAAAGATATGTTTTTCGCAAGTGTCTGGAAATACTGTCCTGGTTAATAATAACATCTTGTTGAAATTATCGTTTCTCATAAGATTTAATCATAAAATTGAAGAGGCAATAAAACAGACAAATATCCCTTGATCAATATTTCGTCTTTTCATGCCATAATCAAATTGACCCAATGCTGAAGCCAAAAAAATCACAGTTACTGCCATCACTATATTGTATTGTCAAACAAGTTTCTTAACTTATGTAGTTACCAGGTATCTCAATCATAGTCTTTTCGAAGGGAAATTAGCTGCGGAGGCAAGCCTTTGTCTATAAAAGGGGTAGGACAATAGCCTATTGTTTAAGACAATGGAAAGTTACTGAAGCCGAAGGGGTCATTATTATTATCATTATTATAAAATTATTTACAGTAGGCGAAGCAAAATTTGTTTAGCTAATATAACAGCTAATTAAAGCCTTTTTCTATTTTCTATACCATAACAATTTGATTTTGGTTTTGATAGCGATATTCGGGATATGTTTCTAAGATTATAGCATGTATTTCTTTCAGTAAAGATTTCTTTCATGAAACTTGGGTTGAGATTATGTAAAGTTTTATATATTTCTGTAAGAAGCAATTTCAGACTTTTATCATGGATAGACATCGAGTTGTCTTTTTCAAGAAGAGTTTGAAAGCTTGATTCATAGACATCATAAGCAAGACGCAAAGACTTTTGACGAATTCTGTTTATTCTGTTGTTCATCTGTCGATCACAAAACATCCAAATTAAAGGGCAGTAGCTAAATTGTGATAAAATGAAGACGTGCATGGTCTGTTTTAATTTTCTATCATCCATGTAGTTGGAGATTCGGGATAAAGCATGTAGCTTTTGGCTGGCCTTTTTGCATATCGATTGTACGTGTCCTTTGAACGACAAATTATTATCAATACTTATTCCAAGAAGTTTTTGTTCTTTACTTGGTTTAATTATCGTTTTATCTATTTTCAGAGATGTGTCATTGCTGCCTTTACCAAAATTTATAAGGTGGCATTTGTCCCCACTCATTTTCATATAATTATTTTGAAACCATTCTCTCAAAATAACTACGTCTTGTTCTAGTATTTTAATAGCCTGCTTGATGTCTTGGTGGATGACATATAGCGTTGTGTCATCAGTATAATTGCATATTTGGCTATTTGATATAAACATAGACATGTCATTTATGTATATATTGAACAAGAGAGGTCCCAAAACTGATCCTTGTGGCACACCTACACTCGTGGTTTTCCATTCACTGAAAGAGCCGTTTATTTTGACTCTTTGTTTCCTCTGGCTAAGGTACGATAATGTGAAATTCAAGGCGCTTTTACTAAAACCATAAGCATTGAGTTTAGCAATCATTAGGTCATGATTCAGACAGTCAAATGCTTTTGACAGATCCAGCAGAAAGTTACTGAGGCTGAAGGTCTATCTTGTTGTGTTGTTTTTTGTTTATTTAGTTACGTTACAGTTTGCTATTTTCAAAAACTTTGCTTTACAATAATAAAGCTTGGATTAATCTGCCCATAAAATTCAAGAAACCGTTAGAAATATAGACTTAAATGGACTTCATTCATTCCCTAAGACGGTGAGATGTATAGATAGAGATTTACTTGATATCTTTAAATTTTCAATTCTTCTAAACATCGATCAACGGACAGTTCTTTGTGGACAATGTTTTAGCATGACTATAGTTTGATATATTTCAACAAATGGAATTTTCAGCATACATAGATAGGATAAACAGGTTGGCCTCGAACAGACACGAACAATATTTGCCTCATTTTCAAAATGAGCGGCTTCGTAGATGGAGAAGGAGATTGAAATAAAGAGCGGGGACGCGGTTATTTGCTACCCTAGATAATGCTAATTAGACTCGCATTCATGCAACGAACGCTAGTCCAGGGGTCGCCTGAGGAAGACGATGGAGTTGTGGCTCTCCCTCATTTTTGAAAACATTAGCTTAAATAACGTTATCAAACATAAATAAAATAGCTAAGGGGAGTTCGAGGAAATGCACG